TGCCTTGAGCCAATGGGGCCTGGGAAAGAGCCCAGAGTCTTCCGGCCAAAGCCAGGCCCAGGCCTGGCACCCAGGTTGCAGGACAGGACAGACAAGATGGGTAAAAACAGAAGGCAGGCAGGAAGGCCAGGGGGACCCAGAAAGTCCCCAGAGGAGGTTGAGAAAAGGTGACTCAGAGGCAGACAGGAAGTAGGAGGAACAGAGTGGGCCCCGGGTCAGGAAGTCCTCCCTCCCCAGGGTGCTGGGCAGCTCCTCAAGAGAGCCGAGCTCTGTGCTGCAGCAGGCAAGGACCGTCTCTGCTTCCACTGATGGCTCCCCTGCGGCTCTGGGGGCGTCCTCACCCTCAACCAGGACCACCGTCCACTTGGCCTCTGGGGGCTCTGCAGGTGCACCTGCTTCTAACCTTAAAACCTCAAACAAGTGACCCAACCTCTTTGAGCCTCCATTTCCTGATCTATCAAGCAAGGACAAGGATCACATCCACCTCCCCGAGCCGGTGTGAGGTTCAGCTGATCCCCGGGGACCAAAATCTGTTCCACTGGCAGCAGTAATAACCTCTCCCCGGCAAGGGGACACAGCAGCAGCTGGCTGAGGGGCACGTGGCTGCAGTGATAGATTTTGGTTCATGGCAGGAGTAAGGGGCGTCTCTGTTCCTAGGTCTGGGGTCCCCCCCACCCGCCCCAATGAGCCATTACCATTTTCTGAGACTTTAAGCCTCTCAAGGGCACACACTGGATTTTTTCTCCTTCTTCCTCTTCATTAGAACTTGCACAAGCTTAATAAAATATCTTTTGGATGAATAAGCAAGTGGACCGCAACTTGTCTTCCATAAACGCCATCCCGCGGCCCGGGCACCGTCACACCTATTCGTCAATACTTTACCAGGAAGGCTCTGGAGTCCCAGGGAAAACCAGAGGCTCAGAGAAGCCAGTACCCAGCGGGGCGGGGACAGGCAGAGGCTGGAGTCCCGGTTTTGTGTCACTCCAGGGCTATTTGCTCTTCTTTTTTTCCTGGCACCTGCCTTCCACATAATTAAGTGATAATGAATTCATTTCTCCATTTTTGTTATTTATCAAAGCCATATGTAGCTGTCAATCATGGTCTGTTTGGCAGGAGGAAAGCAGGATGCTCACACCAGGTGTCTGTCACTCTGGTCCAAGGCAAAAGGGTTGTGGCCAGTCTGGCAGCCCCGGTAGGGGAAGTGGAGGCAGCCAGCAGCCGGAAGCCGGTGTGGGGGCTGCCTCAGCGTCATCCCTATGGGGTGACACCAACCGGGAGAGGGCTATGCTGGGCTGGGCATGATGGTGACAGTGACTTAGTTAAGTACTTTCTGTGTGCCAAGTGCTGGGTTACTAAGTACTCTCCAGTCCCACAGTGTGTAGAGTCTCATCTCTGTCTCAGAGTCTGGAACGCAGTCGCAGACAGGTTTAAGTAACTTGCTCCAAGGCCCACAGCTGGGATTTGAACGGGGCTGTGGGTTCCTAAGTCCCTGCTCTTGACACTGAAGGAAGGGTGGACAAGGCGGGGTGGCCTCAGGAGCTGTGAGGATAAGAACAGCCAGGAGGAAAGGGAAGCCTGCCTGCCTGACGCAAGGGGTCACGCGATAAGGTGGGGGAGGAGCTGGGGACAGGGCCGGGCTGGACAGGAACTAGGCCACCTTCCTCAGATTCCCCACGGCGGCCTACCTTTGGGCAGGTCTCAGTTTACAGAGCCCCACAGAGCCTCTCCTAGGCTGTGGCCAGCCAGGGGTGGGCACCCCTGAGGTCACTTCCTAGAAGGAGGGAGAAAGGTGGGGGGTTCGAGGTGGGGATACAGTCTTAGGCCACAGGAGGGCAGCTGAGAGTCCAGACTTCAAGACGTGATGCCCAGTGTGCCCAGTACCTGGCTGGCTGAACCCCGTGTGTATCATCTCCAAGTCCTGGCCCAAGAAGCAAGGCCACTGTCCCCACTGTCCAGACAAGGATGAAGACCTTCCCGTGACCCTAAGCAAATCACTACCCCTTCCTGGGCCTCAGTTTCCTTTTCTTTTAGAGTGGGGAGGAGGGCTGAAGTCAACCCTCAAGCTCTGGGAGGAGGTGCATGGCTGTGACCTGAGGACCAGGGATGGCAGAGTCCCTCAGTCCCTCCTGAACAGCGTCCTCAGGAGGCACCTACAGCACACCTACTCCCCATGGTTCTGACGTTGCAGACCAAGGTCAGAGCAGGAGGACCTTGGGAACTGTAGATACAGCCTGCTCCTTGAACAGATGGGTAGACTGAGGCCTGGCAAGGGCCAGCTTGATGGAATGGAAGGCTAGCTTCCTAGCTGTGGCCCGCCGAGGAAAGGTTGGCTCCCAATCCTGCACCCACTGTGTCGGCCGACTGTGGCACGGGTCCTCAGGGTGCAGGCTCTCTCTGCCCTGCCCTATGTTCCCAGCAAAGCCCTGGCTGTGATCCCTGGGCCCTGCTGGGACCCAGGAGGCTGCAGTCCCACTCAGACAGAGAAAGCAGAACGGGTGGTTTTGTCCTCCAGAGAGCCCGTCTGTTGGCCGCTCACAGCCGGGACTGGGCTGGGCTGGGCTGGCACAGTGAAGCCTTGTTTCCTTGAATACAAACTCTGCAGCCTTCCACCCTGGTCAGCACCCCCAGCGGGTGGCACTTCCTCTTCTGTAAGTCCAGCTTCTCAGCCCTTTCCTGTCCCCTCACACTCTTCGCAACACCCCAACCAGCACTGCCAGTGACGAGAGATGGGTGGCTTGGAGGAGTTCAGCTTCCCCTCATCCCTGCCAAAGCACCCCACATCAAACTGGCCCCCAAACAGCACACTTCACAAAGGCAGGCTCAAGACACTTCCACCATGGCCCTGGCAACCAAAATGCAGCCTCCCATGCCCTGCTCACTTGGGGGTGCCAGGTCCTCCCAAATAGCACTTTGTGGGGGGGTGGTGGTAGGGATGCCATAGAAGCCCAAGAGGAGGGCTCTAGGGGAAGGAAGAAACGGGGTTCAAGGTGGGTACGTGATACGGAACAATCAGCCATGCATTCGGAAGATGTGAGTGGATGCAGGTGCCTGTCGTGGGAAACCCGGAAAGGAACATAAAGGTTTTGAAGTCACAGACCCTGGTTTGAGTCCCAGCCCCACCATTTTCTAGCTGTGTGGTTTCAGCAAGCTATTTGACTCGTCTGTCCCCCTGTCCCCCAGTCCCTCACGGACACAAGGGCGATGAGAACAGCTCAGTTAGAGCATTGCGGGGGAGGCCTGATGAGCTCATTCAGGCCTCCGTCCTATCAAGGCTGGGATCTGTCCTTGGGCAACTGCCTGCCTCTGGCTCCTCCACCGGGCAAGCGCTGCGAGGGAGGGCTCGGGACTTTTCAACCTGTTCTTCCTGGAACATGGAAACCCCCTCTCCGGGCTTTGAGGACCAGGACCTGGAGTCACAGTGGATTTGCACACAGAGGTCCTGCACAGGGGGGCAAGGATTTGACTCCCGAAATAGCACGGGGTTTCCAGCCACCAGGGGCCAGGAACCAAAACTCTCTTCCCTTGTGTGGGGGTCGAATGGGGAAGCTACGCCAGAGGGAAGTGGGGAGAGTCTGCCTCACACTGCGGGCCTGTTCCCACAACGCCCCTTCCTGGACTTCCTGCTCTGTGTCTGGGCACTGCCAGCTACGTGTGGGGGGCTGATACCCTTCTGCCTGCACAGCCAAGGCGGGGCCAGGCTTGTGGCACCTCTCCCTCAGCCCTGGGCTGCCTGTGCCAGCTGGGCTAGACCTCTCATCTCTCCCACCTAGGCCTCAGCCTCTAGATGGTCTTCCCCCTTCTGACCCACTCGGCCCCAGGCCCCAGTACCAGGGCTGTCCACTCTCTGGGACCAGTGGCGGGGGATGGGCTACAGGAGGTGGGGAAAGCCACCAAAGGGAGGGACTGGATGCTTTCATCATCAGTGGGCACAAACATAGCTGGGGGACAGTGGCCACCCACCTCAAGTCCCCGTATGGTGGAGCAAGGGATAGACCTGAAGGGGAACTGGGCCCCCCAAGAGTATCATGCTTTGAATTCTGCTGTTGGAAGAGCTGTGCCCACCAGCCCGGGGGTGCCCGTTTAACCTGGAGAGGGCACAGTGTGTGGGGTAAAGGGCAGGACTGGCAGGAACGGGGCATCAGCTAGGATAGGAGTAGGCCAGGGCACCTGGGACCCTTCCTAGGGAGGGAAGGGGCAGCACGGAGGTGGGGGGCTTCAGACAGAGGTAGAAGCAAGGTGCAGGGACGTGGGGTGGGGCAAGAGGAGGAGGGAGGTTGGGCGAGGAGGAAGGCAAAGCCCTGAGGCACTCGGCCTGGGGGAGGACGGGGCAGTTTACCTGCATGGAGGGTGGGGAACAGGGATTAAGGGGCCCCTCCCTGGGAAGGCCATCAGCTCGAGGGTGTGGGGGAGGGAGCGGAAGGGGCTAGAGAGTCGCTGCCCCCAGTTTACCACACTAGTAAACGCTGAAGAACTCGAGGGTGGGGGTGCCCCCATCACAACCCAGTCTGCGGGGATCTGAGTAAGCGGAGGAAATGAGAAAACCCCAGCGAAGTGATGCGTGTGGTACAGGTGCTGGGGATGCCCCACCCCGACAGGCACTAGGGGTGCGTGGGGTGGGAGTGCCAGTTGCTGGGACGTCGTCCCTGGGTTTCCGTGTGTGGGTTGGGGGCGGTGGGCAGGGTCACCAGCAGCCGAGGGGTCCTGGGCCTGAGCTGGGTCTGGCGCCCATGTGTGGCAGTGCCTGGCCTCGCGGTTGCCTGGAAGGCGCCTGGGGTCCCCGGTGTGGGGACTCTCGGTGTAAGGGCACAGTATCCTCAGGAGGTGGGGTCACGTGCCAGGGACGGGGATCCCCAGACCCAGATGCGTGGGTCTGGAAGCCGCGTGATGCCCGGGAAGGAGGTGCCGAGTCTGCAGCCCTGGCGTGCGGGATTCTGGGGCGCGTGCCTGGTGGCTGGGGCCCGGGGTGGCGCGGGAGCAGGGGAAGGGGGCCGGGCACTCACTGTTTGAACATCTTCTCCATGTCCTTGATCTGCTTCCTGGAGAACTCCTTGAACTCGGTGTAGGGGTTGAAGACGCGGCGGCTGGGCGACTGGGGCTCCCCGATGCCCTGGTTGAGGTCCGCGCGCCGCAGCAGCTTGGCGCTCAGCTCGTCGTCCGCGCTGCCCAGAGCCTCGGCCGCCTCGTCGGGCGCCCCGGAGCCCCCCGCGGCCGCCGCCCCGTTCAGGCCCAGCTGCCCGGCCGCCTCGCCGCCGCCCTCGCCTTCCATCTGCAGCCGCCGGCTCAGCTTGGTGGCCAGCTCGTCCGTGGCCATGGTGGCCCGCGCGGCGCTGCTCGGCCCGGCCTCCGCTGCCTCGCGCCGCGCGCTTCCTTTTCCTGACACTGCCCGGCCGGCACCGCCCCGGGGTGGGACTTCGGGGACCGCCCGCCCCGCCCCGCGTCCCGCCTCCCCCGGCCCGCGCGCCCTGCACCCCGGCCCTTTCAGTCGCCCGCGTCTCGCGCCCCCGCCGCGCTGGGTGCACCCCGCCGTCACTAACCCCCGGGAGGCTGGGCCTGGGAGGGATCGCGCCCCCCATCATGTTCTCAGGAGAGTAGCCGAGCCGCCGCGGGAAGGGAGAGGGGTCACCCGGCCGAAGTTGGGGTGGGTGGGGGTCGGGGGTCTGGGTGGCATCCCCGCAGCCCCTTCTCTGGATTCCCCACGCTGTGGAGTCACCATCCTGGATCTGTGACACTCGATCGGTTGCCATGGAGACACGGAGGCGAAACACTGGCGTTCTCTGCGAGGGTTGCAGGGTCTGGAGAAGGTGGACCTGCGGGCCTGCGACCAGGAGGCCAGGGTGGAGGGAACCCAGGCGGCTTTCTGCACCGACGCACCAGAAGCAGATGGGGCCCGGCTCATTCCTGGAAAGATCTTGCAAGTTGGGGAGAAGGACAAGGGACAGAGTGGTCCTCTCCCCCAGGGCCGCACCAGCAAAGGGATGACTCTGCAGAATAGCTGCTGGGCCAGGCTGTTGCCTGTGACTCCACTTTCAGGGGACAGGGAGAGCTCTACGTTGCTATTTGAAGGAGACACAAGAGGAAAGGTGTTCTCAAAGGCTCATAGGACAGAGCTGGGGGAAGAACCCAGGAGGATTTATCTCTGTGATCCAGTCTGTCACCATAAAACTGCAAAGCTCCAGCCTGGGAACCCCTGGCTGTAATACAGATTCCCAGGCTCCAACCCAGACAAACAATGCTAATCTCAAGGGTGGGACCCAGGACTCCGAATTTCAAAGAGCACCCAGGGAAGGTGGTGTCACAAGCTTGAGACAGGACTGTGCATTAAATGTTAGGACAGTGCTGAGGGTCCCTGTAAAGCCATGCCCACCAGCCAAGGTCCAAATAGGGGTGCAGGGCCTAAGAACGACAGTGGGGGTTGAGAACCCCTGAGAAGCTGCAGCCAGACAGTGGCTACAAAGCGACTGGCACAGAAAGACATTCAAAAGACAGGTGTCGCTTAGTTTCCGAACATTACAGAATGGAAAGGTATTTTAAAGAATGAAACAAAAAAACCCTCGGAGTTCATAAAATATGAAATTATCATTCACTTGTTCATAAGGATAAAAATGATCAGCGCCAATGATTTTTTTTTTTCTTTTGCAAAGCTCAGAATTAAGTTTCTGTTAGTCTTGGGAAGTTTTTCCATTTATTTACAAAGTTCTATATGTCATTCCTACCTGATTCTATATGTCATTCCTACCTGAGGGACCAAACAGAAGAAAATTGATGCTATTTAATGAATGCAAAATGATCTCTGTAGATGCTTAGCTTGTCCAATTCTTGGTCTTCTTCACAAAGCAGCTAATTTACTTTCAAAACTCTGAGGAGTCTGTTTACCCCCAAATTATGACTTCTAAAGATTGGCATGAAAGAAGTCCACCTCTGTTATATTTTGCATCAGCTTGACATGGGAACAAACTTCACAGCAAGAACACATGAGGGTTTTTTTTTTTTTTCTTGGAAAACCACAGATATATGTGGTTTTATCACTAAAACTGGGGTTTTTCCTTGAATGGCTTGGACTGGCTGTGTGGATTTGGCTCCCTGGTCAGCTTCCTACTTGGCTCCTGTACAGCTGGGGGCAGGGGAGGAGGGAGGAGATGGGCATGGTGACACACAGGTGCAGGAGCTCCCTTTTAGTACCTGTTGCATCTTGTAAAAAAGGGGGCTTCCCACTGGAGCCTTGCTGAACTTAAACTCAGAGCTCAGGAAATGCTGCCCGAATGCGTGAATCTTCTTGACACCTCGGGCTGACTTTTCACACAATGTGCAGGGTTTGCAGGCCCTGCGACCACAGAGACCACAGAGCAGGAGCACGAGCTGTCTGCTGCTTGCCTTCCCTTTTGAGGCCTGAGACTCGGGGGGCCGCCCATACAGAAACCACCCAGATGTGATCTGCCCCAAAGCCAGAGATGCGTGCTGGGAGCTCATTTTGTTTGAACCTTTTTGAACTTGGAAATCCAAGGTCCTTGCATTTCAGGAAAATCATTTGTTTCAGCCCCAAAACCCAAAGAAGTTGTGAAGGAGGAAAAAAACCTAATTGATGAGCTCTGACTGGAGAGGAAACTTCCAGGAATACCAGTGGCCTCTTTCTTGGGGATCATGGTTTCTGCATGAGCCTCAGCTCTGTGCCCCAAACATGGATTCTGGCAGCAAGAAAGAATCGGCACTGGTGACACATTGCAGCATTTGGTCATGTGGAAAGAATGATCTTCAGGAAAAATCACACCCTCAGTAAAGGATTTTTACAGAGTCTGGGGTGAGCGAGAGCCAATTCTGACGCTATTCCAGCAGCGAGGGAGCAAGGCCGACTTAGTCATCACTGACTTGTTTCTTTCCTTCCTCCTACATCCACTTGTGTAACTGTCTTTTGGGAAGGGATGAAATAACATTAAGAAAAACAACAGCACTGTGCAAAAGAGGGGTGGGGTACAAGGATGGCAGAATGCTTTGGGAAGAAGAGCTCTTGGGGTTCAAGGGGAGGTGGCTTGAGCAATGGAGGACATTCTGGAGCCTGCCAGAACTGGGTGGTCCCTCCAGCCCGAGATGCTGGGAAAACACCAGGGGATTGGCGAGCTTCGAGAGAGAAAGTTGACTCATAACATGCAGCATCCACGTAGCGTGTTACAAATACCAGCATACTAATAAATCATCGCAAACACACTGCGGCCGGTCGTCAGGAATCCCTTGATGGGCTGAGAAACGTGCTGGGAGGTGGAAGGTAGTCGGCGGGAGCAATCGGGTGAGACAGGACTGGAGTGGAAGGCTGGGTGGCCTCAGAGGCTTTTTCAAATCTGGAAGTCATGCAAGGAAGGGGTGAAGTAAAGGGGCAAGGTGCATATGGTGACATCCAGGCACTTAGGGAGCCCTGAGCAGGTGGAAAGGGGATGGAGGGGACAACAGCTGCATTGAGGGGGTCCAGGTGCAGGTGGCCCTGTTTGGAGGTCGCTGGAAACCAGCTTAACCCTCGAGCTGCCTTTTGGGGTTATCGTGGATACTTTGAATGTATTTGAGTTCCTAGATGGTCTTGCAGTGGGTGTGTGTGTCCAACGGGGCATGACTCTAAGTCACTGGTTACATTTAACACCCTGAGTGACCTAAGCCTTAGCCCTTTTTTAAATTCCCAAAGAGTGTGTGTGTGTGTGTGTGTGTGTGTGTGTGTGTGTGGCGGGGGAGGCGGCACCTTAAAACTCAACAGCGCTGCGTCTGCAGTGGCCTCCTGGAGCCTTTCCAAAGATGCTGCTCATCTGGGCAGCACGCTGTGAGTTTTATGCTGGCAGCGGGTACTCTGAGGAAGCGGTATGCAGCTAGATCCATGCAATCAAGGCTCATTTATTAAGCGTGCTGGGGTTTGGGCTCTGGTCCTGGAACACTGCTGGTTGGCAGCCCCTGTGGAAAGGGCCAAAGTAGCCAGGTTGAAGTGTGAGATTTACTGGACCTCACACTGGGAACTAGGAGAGGCTACTAGTTTCCAGCAGTCAGCCCCTCCCCCTTGTGAGGACCCAGCGCTTAGTACTGTGAAGCGGTTCTAAGTTACCTGGGTTCTACCCACATGACTTCTCATCTCAGTATCCAGCGTGGTACCTGGCCCTGGCTGAATGCTGGAATAATATTTGTTGAATGAATATGCAATGGCCTGCTCTGCCAGAAGGCTAGGAAAATACTGGGTGCTTTCTCAGTGTCCCCTCCAGAGCATCTGGTGGCCCATTTGTAGGTCTGAAAGTCATTGCCAAGAAAGAGAAGCTCCTAAAGGGACACTTTTGTGCACCCACATGACTCAACACAAAGGTTACAGGAGCTCTTAGAACACAAGCTTCTCAAGTGTCTCTCCTCAGTCTCCTCCAGGGAGGTGACGGTGGCATCAGATAGGGGTTGGGGCCATGTGACCTGCTGGTCCTTGGGCATCTCGGTGGCACAGAGGTCATTTAAACTGCGCTCTGCTCAGGAGACAGGTCTGAAGGAGTAAATAGAAGGAAGGTTTCTGCACGTGGTCACTGCGGGGCACCGGGAGCTTGGACACTGAAAGGGACACTGTAAATTTAATCCTCAAAGGACTCATGCAGAGAAAGGCAGAGTCAGGTGAAAGGGACAGTATGTCCCTCGAGGGCACCTGAGGTACCAGGTGAGGACAGCAGGTTCTCAGATAGGGGTGTGCTGCTGGTGCCAGGGGGAAGCAGGTGTGTGTCATGAAGGTGCCATCTGGTCAGGCGTGGGCCAGGGGAAGCTGGACTTCAGGCCACCATGCAAAGGTTGCTCGCTGATGGCCACGGCAGTGTGGTGTGATGGGATCAGAGCTGGGGGTGAATGTCCCAGGGGAATGATCTTGGGCAAATTACTGGGCCTTTCTGGCCTCAGTTGCATTGTCTATGAAATGGGATACTGCCGTCTTCTGGCAGGACTTGAGAAGATTAGATGAGAAAACAGTGTAAGATGTTCAGTGTTGCTCTGGGCATACAATAAAACTCAAAATGCTCCCCATGGCGAGCATAGGGATCATCTGGTTTGCTAGTAGTCATGGGAGGGCAATAATCATGCAGACTGTATCACCCTGCCCTGGGGACAGTTTAGGGTTGTCGAATCTGCTCCACTGCCTATGTTTATAACCAGCTGAATTTGCTCACCTGTCACGGGGCAGTGGCAGAATTACGAAGTGACAGTAGATGCATCAGTCAGGTCAACAAAGGGTAACAGGCTTTTGCAGAAAAAGGGCTTTTCTTAGCTGGTTCTTTATTTTGCCAACCCCATCCTCACGGGTTAGCACACGACCAGCAGGCTCCAGGACTGTGCTGAGGACAGGGCATACATTAGAGCCATCAAGGGCATGAAGTTTGAGCTCTGACCCTTGCCCTGTGACTTCAGGCAAGTTACTTTACCTTCTCTGGACTCACTGTCTCCCAGTCAAGAGAAGAACCGTGCATGCCGTGAGGATTCAGTGGGACTATGTCTGGACTGTGCCTCCCACAATGACCACCAGCAAGCACGTTCTAAAAAGTAGTTATCATCATCAGTTGTCAAATGTCCAGCTGCCATATGGCACGGAGAAGCCCCCAACTGGGGGCCACTGCTGCATCCAGCTCTCTTTAAAGAACTCCCAGCAGTATACCTGTTCAAAGCCAAAAAATGTGTGAATGTCAGAGATGGGCTCTCTCATGCAGTGCACCCAGGAAACTGCTTCCCGCTCCCTTTCTGTTAGAGTGGTAGATCAGAATGTGAAGCCAGGGCAAAGGTCAAAGCCGCACAGTACTTAACAGGTCCCCAGTGTCTGCTGCCTGGATGAATGAAGGCTGGTTATTTACCTAGCAAGGTGACTTACCAGGCACAGGGCACCTCTGAGTTCCCTGATGAGAAGACCACAATTAGCTAGAAAATAACATTTCTGCATGAGGGATGTTAGGGTCTTAGCGAAGAAATCTGCACGGTAAAGATGAGAGGAAAACTCAAAACAAGGACCACAGGACAGAGGATTCCTGGGGGAACAGATGGGCGAGGAGAAATGTTTAAAAACAAAATCAGCACAGAAGGTCACGCATTGGTCCAAAATAACTCGGGACATAGAGCAGCCGGATGCAAGTGGCACATCTTGATGGAAACGGGGCCAAACCAATAAACCGAAATAGTGTCCCCTCACTGGGCTCCCTACCTCCTGCTCAGGAGGCCTCTGCATCAAAAGGAGAGACAAGGGACTCGTTAGCAACTACAGGGCTTGGATTTCTGCTGCTCCTTACTGTATTGTGTTCATCCCTGACTCCCTAAAATCTTGGAAACCACTGCACTTCCCAGGAGCATGCTCTGGAATGTGGATCCGGAAGCTATTTTTCCCCTAGACACTTCATGGCTCTGATTTCTGCAACAGCAGGTGCTGGTGTGCTGCCTGGTTGTGAGAGATGGCACCTTATCTGCAAAGTCACGATTCTGGGAATCCTCGTGGCTACCAGCAGCAAGAACAGAAAGAAACTGCTGTAGGTTCTTGGAGGAGCAGGGGTGCGATGGGCAGCTGGAGGGAGGGCAGGTACCTCGTTATAGTTCGGCACAGCCCCCACCACCAGGAGAGGGTGCCTGGATCTTCTCAGATCCACCAGTGGGGACAGCAGGAAAGTGACTCTGTAAAAGGCCGGTTTGGTTGCAAATACTCCAATACCAGCGGAAGCAAAAAGAGAAGACGAATGGGGGGAGAAAAGCCAGTCCCGGCTGTCCAATCCCGACTTCAGCTGTGCGTACGTAGCCTTTGACACTCCAACCTACGTCTTGTCCTTTACTAAGCTAATTCCCCTCAGCCTATCAGATGCGGGAGAGTTCTGTTGTCTGGAACCAAGGAATTTTGAGTGATAGATAAGAGTTAGCAGAACTCAGTGGTGGGCGTTGAAACTGACCTTCACGTGGAAAGGCACTAGGAACCAGGGTGCCACTAGCCGTCAAGGCTACTTTCTCCTTCTGCATCAGCTGAGATTGTACAAAGCTTCAAATAACAGAAAGCCAGCATGGGCAGGTGGTAAGATTCTGGAGCCCTTCCCCTACTGGCTGTGGCTCTGTCAGGTGGGAAATTAGCAAACCCGAGGCAGGTAGAGACTTGAAAAGTACTGGATCACCAGGCCTGGTTTGGCTTGTTGGGTAATAAGAGAGTACAGAGCCGACAAGGTGTCCCAGCCAAGGCCTCGCGAGGCCAGTGTCTCAACCTCAGACCACGGACATTTGAGATGAAATGACCCTTTGTTTTGAGGGGTTGTTCTGTGCTTTGTAGGATGCTTAGTAGGATCCTAGCCTCAACTCATCATAGTAGAATCTTCCTGCCCTCATTGTGGCAACCGAAATGATTTCTAGACACTGCCAAACGTTTCCTAGACTGGCAGGAAGTGAGGCTACCCTAACCACTCAGCCCCAGCCATGCCAGCCTGGACAATACAAGTGCACAGCTGGACCCATGGAATCATGAGAAATAATATTTGTTTTTTCAGTCATAAAGTTTTGGGTAGTTTTCCAGCACAAACATACCTGACAACAGTGGCTTACACAGGCTGGGACTTATTTGTCCTCTACAAGAAATTCAGGGTCCATGGCAGCTGGCACCTAGTGATCCCCCCGGCAGCTGTTCTTGCTCTTAATCTGAGCTCCAGGTGTGTGTGTACGTGTGTGGGGAAAAAGACCAGGCAGAAGGACAAAGTGCGGAATCAGTCTTTCTAGTGAAGTTCACCTCTTAATCCAGAAGGGAGCCCTCCCAGAGGCTTTTACTGCTGTGTCAGTGGTCTGCCCTATACAACACGGCCAGTTCCAGCTGCAAGGGAGGCGGGAAAATTGAGGTGTTCAGCTTTCAGCCTGTATGGTGGAGGAAGGCCGTGCATGGCCATGACTAAGCAGCCTCAGTGTTTACTCTTTAGTGTCTGGTTAGTACCTGTAGCACTCACTGCACAGTGTCTGGGGTTCTGGGGTTCCTGGTCTCTACTCACTGCCTATCCCAGGCTTCTCTTTCTGCAGACTGACTTTGCTTCTCTGAACATAGTGGGAAATGGCCACTCCAGCTGAAAGTGCACCAGAATCTCAGCTTTGGCCCATTAAGGACCTGAATAGCATACTGGTGTTGCATTTTTAAATACCAAAAACAGAGATGCTGATTGGATGAACAGGTATTAGGAGGCAAATCTCATTGGTCTGGTCTGGTTGAGTATCTGCTATCCAGCCAATCAGCTGCAGCCAAGGGGTGTTGTGTGGGTTAGTGTGGTAGCCACTCAGAGAAAAGGAAGGTGTGACTGAGGAGATACAAAGATCTCTGCAGCTCAAGGTGTGAAAAGAATAAATTGCCACCATGAGTTGATGTGCTGAAATGACAAACATTACCTTGTCCTTTGAAAGACATAAAACACAGTGGAGTCATAAGGCATTATATTTACATATGCAAATGCTAATGTTCAGCAAACAAATGATACATTTTCCACACAATCTGATAGCTGCTTGACTTGCTGCTTAACCAAGCAATCTGGTCTGGTGCTGAGGAAGACTTTGCTTTTTTTGACTTCAAGAATAAGGTGCAGCTTAAATTTTGGAGATTTTCAAGAGATTTTTAAAGGTTAAGTAAAGCTCGTTTTTTCCACTGACTTTACATTCCAACGGTTTGTAAGATATGCCTTCCAAGAGGGTCTTCTGTTTCCCCGAGATTAAATCAGTACAAAGCACACATTTGTTTTTAACATATAAAAATACTTTTATTGTACATTTTCAAATTAAAAAAAATCAGCTGGACTCATGACTTTTGGCTGGATCCTGCTGGAGAACCAAGGTGGTGTAAGAACAAGTGTGCGCTTTTTGATGACTGGGGGATTGGCCAGTCCTTATAGCCTAGGACTAGAGAGACTGCGCCACCTTGGTGTAGCAGAATGGACAATAGGACATAGAACTAGAAACTGGCGCTCAACACCCAGCTGCTGAATCTATTAGCTGTGTGATCTCAAGCTCGCCAGTGAGCCTCTCTGGGCATCAGCCTCCCCATCTGTAAAATGGGGACCACGATTCTGTTCAGCTCCCAGGGCTCAGGGAAGGATTAAATGAGAAGGGTTTTGAAATCTGCAGAGTGCTGCAGACATGTCAGTCATTATTACAGAAGCAATGAGATGGATTGGCATTCTAAATTTATTATAATACAGTAAACTCAGATATAAAGTCACTATCCCATGGCCCCAGATCCCTGAGGTTCCTTTCTGCCTTGGGGCTGCAGGACAGGTCTTAGGTTTTCTCCACTGCAGTCTCGTGGGGGTTCCTTGGGGATGTGATGTTTGGGTAGATCTTGATCCAAATGTGAGACTACACAGTGTAGCTTCCAGCCTAGGAGCCTGGGTTATAAACAATCTCTTCACATACTTGAATACATATACATTCATAGGTAGGTACAAAACAAATCCTCTTTCCTGACTCCAAAGTACATACTGTGCAGAATCCAAGTCTATAAAGCCAAAAAGTAGGGTAACAAGCTTTCAGGTCTTACGGAAGCTCTTAGAAGTTTGACGCACGAGAGTCGAGTGGACTCACAGAGGCACTGCTGCGGCCCGGTGGGAAGTCTTCTCAGTTCCTTCCTCCGGGTTTAGTAAATATAAGACTCTGGCTGGATTTGCTGGATGTATCTTTATCTTGGTCGATCTTTAGGGTGGCTTTCTTGACTCCAACCTTCAGTAAGCAAGAACAAACAAAACAAAATGAACCAAACCAAACCAGACCAAATAAAAAAAACTCTATAATTGCAGTGAGATCCCAAAGTGTGCCTAACAAAAAGTCATGATTTTGTATACATAATGTTGTTTAAAATGTCTATATCCATCTATCTAATCTATCTACCTATGTATCTATGTATCCATCATCAATCTCCAAGGACATAAAATGGCTCATCATTTTTATGGTACCTGAAGAGCCTCATTAGCAGTTGGGGAAAGATGCACCTTGCCTTTTTAATACCTTTTTGATTCCTGGTTTTTGAAGCCAGGAGCTTCCTGTGATGGGCACACTTGCTGCAGTGGTTTCTCCTGACACGCTGTCCCTGAATTCAGGGTGTCCTAAATGTCTCTGACGGCTTAAGAGACAATGCAGGTCATCCACAGGGATCTGTGTAGCCCTTTTCTGAGCACTGCCTACCTTCCGGGGTGAGGGGACACTGCTGTGGCCACACACCACAGCCTACTCCCAGGTCAGAGGTGTTTGGCTAGTAGGGCACCCCTGGGCTTTGCAGCTAGTTCCTCCCAGGGCTGGTGGTTATGGGCTCTGAGATGCTGTTTGTGGCCTTCCTGTCACATGGCTGGAGAGAGGGACCAGCAGATGTGTGTGTGTGTGTGTGTGTGTGTGTGTGTGTGTGCGCGTGCACGTGCGTTGATATCTAGGATCCCAGCTCAGCAGTTCCCTGCCCTGGCATGTACAGGGCACTCATTTCTGTGTCTTAAGGATCCCCTTTCTGTTCATCAAAGCCCTAGAATCTCTTCCCCACCCAGTTCTGTGCATACTGCAGATACTACAGTGATTTCTGAGTTTCTGTGCAACTGGCTTTAAATTGCATGTTTTCAACTCCAGCCTCCAGCATCCCACCCACCTACACACCCACCCCTCGGGTGAGAGGGCTGGGAGCCAGGCCGCATTCCAGCTCTGTCACTGGCTACGTAACCCTAGGTTTCCTCACTTGTTGAGTAAGGACCAGGATTGGAAGAGCCACCTCTAAGCTCTTTTCAGTATGAGACAGGTATAAAACCCCTTTCCTGAGGCCCCTTCGAGGCCCAGGGAAGCCGTAAATGTATTTGGAAACCCTGCGTTCAACGTTGGCTCAGGGTGAGAAAGGCTAAGAAATCTACAGTGATCCACCAAGTAAATCCTGCTCCCTAGCCCAAGGTGAAAGAAAATAACAAACATCATAAACTTTCCCTCTCTACACAGTCTGTCCTATTCCTGTTTGAGTTTTGAACACAAAACTGCCTGTGGGTGGCTGCCACATGCCCGGGCTCTGACCTGCTGTGGGGTAGGCTGCTAGAGTCGGAGCCAGAAAGTTGGTTAAAAATAACCAGCAGCCGCCACCCTGGAGCTTGGGGCAGAAAGACCTTTGATTGTTTCTTTGGCAGTGTGACAGGGAAGGGATGAGTGACCCAGGAGGGAGAGGCTGAGGAATGCCACCCTGCACATGTGGGCAGGAAGGGCTGGGGACATGGTGGAGCCCAGCCTGAAAGCCACCAGGACTATGCCAAGTATCCAGGGCTGTAGAACTGCGTGCTCACTGTGAGGGACCCCGCGCAGTCATCTACACTGTCACACCCAGGTGGGAGGTAACTGGACGCACTGAGGGGAGGTGGTCCAGGCCACCAGAAGCCCCAGCCCATTCTTGGGCAGCCTCATGGGAGGTGTAGACGGACTGCCTGTCTGGGACTGGGGAGGACTGAGTGGCTACTCCTGAGCTCCTGCCTCTGGCCTTTGCCCCCAGAACACTTTGTGCAAAGTAATTATTTAATTAGCGCTTGTATTTACTTTCTTTTTCTTAATAGCCAGTAAGTCAGGAAGACAGGGACTTTTATTGTTCACTCTGATCTAGCTTTGCGTTTCTCAACTCCTTTTCCACTATTGTCCTCTTCTGCTGCCTGTAGGCATTTGTTCTAATCCGTCCCAGCTCTATGAGAATTGAGTGTTACAGACAGCGCTGTACGCATAGGGATGATCAAAATACACAGCGAGTGTGTGAATTAAAAATTGTATCACAGTACAAAATTCTTCCCCTCGCCTCACACACATTTACCCCATCATTTTTGCCACTTCCTGAAGCGGTTCTAGATCTTTGTGATCAAAAGGGCAGTGGATGCCGCTGCTGAGTGCCACCCCACAGAAGGACCTGCTTATGAGAGTGTCACGGCCTGTCTGCAGCCACCCCACGCAGCAGAGCTGCACCGTTCAATTCTGGCTCTTCCCCAAAGTCAAAATGACCGTCCAGGCCACTGAGGCAGCCCGTGCAGCTGACCTATGAAGAGGACTACAGAACTTCTTCAGGAAGTGACAAAAAGTGGGAAGAGTGTGCTCCAAGCAAGGTGCAGTTTTGAGGGGGATTTGGCAATGTATCTCTTACGATTGTCATTTTAAAAAAATTATTAATAATTACCATACATTCCCACTGTAAGGGCACAATCATATGGTTAGCCAAACCTAAGGAAGTTTTACAGAAGAAATCAATTTGAGTTGATGCATATAACATATTTCTTACACATTACAAAGTTTTGAATTTACAGGGGTAACTTGTTCTTTATGCTATTGTTTTATAATGAAACAGTGATTCAAGCGACTCGGAGGGCTGTCGGTGATCAAGTCTGCTCTCTGAGGAAGAAAAAGAAACTCTTTAAAATTCAAGCAGCTGCAGTCAAGTTTGTTATAGGAGGCCGTAGTAAGTGGGAAAGAAGAAATATCAAGGAGGCTATAAATGTCAGAGATGTACTTTCCGTATGGCAGGATTCTGTATGATAAACGTCTGGTTCTGCTACGGAGATAAGCAGAGAGATGATTACAAGACCGGAAAGCTTATGTATGTCAAGAAAAGTTTGTGCAAGTAGTTTATTAAAGGAAAAAGCATGTATGATCACTCGTTAATTTGGTGGAGCCCGGGCTGTTCCTTCTGAAAACCCTTAGAGGGAAATGGTGAGGTCAACATGGGATTGCCAGCCAAATAACAGCCTTTTAAAAACTCGTGACTGAATATGCTGTGTGTTGCTCTACTCAGTACTGGGGGGACACTTAAAGGTGTTATGAATGACATCCCGAAGTGCTACGTGTGGCCTCTGGTCTCAGGTTTCCTTTGTTTAAACTACATAACTGCTGTCTGTCGACGACGTTCTGCAGGGATTCAACTATCAGGACAACTGTGGTGGATAAGAAGTAACGGTCCTTTGCTATACTCTATATTTTCAAAGTGCTTGATATGTAGGTAAAATTATAATGAAATCAACTACACTACTAATGATACTGGCCTTCTCTCCTAGGTGTTCCACAACTGAAGTTTAGAGGCCAAAACTAAAAAGATGACTAAGCTAAGAGAAACAAGCTGTCCCCAGTTCCAGATCCTGCTCCTCGTCTCTTTAAAATAGCTGTCACTGTGATCCGCAGGTGCTCACTAGGATGATAGACTGTCAAACTGCTAAAATGTACTCCCCATGCTTGAAAGGTTGGTTCAGGATCTTTGAGCTGTCAGTGCCACTGTGATTGGCCTCACCCTTTTGGACTGTTCTGGCTCCTATATGCCTGCTCAGACTGTCAGCCTCTGGGAGAGGCCAGTTGCCTTCCTGTCTAAAACACTGGATTCAGTGTCCAGAGAATGGCCAAACTGTTTGTGGGCACTGGCTGCAAACACCTCTTAATCAAGGAGGCAAACAAAGTGACTTTGGGACATTGAGATGAATAGTCCCGTAGCAGCTGTGGAACAGCACCCAAAGAACAGAGAAAGCCCTGGGGAAGGACGGGTAAGTGGCCCTGGGCTCATCAAGGCCACCAGCAGCCACCTGCTTGGCAGCTTGGCAGGCCCCAAAGGACTGGAAAACAGTCTGTTTGGAGCCTGAGGATGAGAAGAAGAAGGAGAAGGAGAAGAAAAACTAAAACAAAATTTCAAAGCACATCATTCAGGAGCCAACAATGGTGCGTACATTGCACATTGTCATCCCCAAATGATTCACCAGGAGCACAAGACATCTGCCTTCAATTGTCTGAACAGTACCAGCACAAATCTTTCACTTCAGTGAACTCAGAGAAATCAGTAGTATAATCATCTTAACTATATTTTATATACATGTACGTACACATATACATATATTTTTTCTTTCAGCTTTTCACACTAATGAAACAATACAATGTCTTATTTATTTTACTAATGAATGTTGTCTCACGTTGCATCCATTTCCCTGTAAGTCTCCAGTTTATCCTTCTTTATGCCTGAGTAGTACCCTATTATATAAAAATACCCCATCTTTTTTATCTATTCCTCAGTCGATGGGCATGTAGGTTGTTTCCAAGATCTGGTTATCACAAATTGTGCTGCTGTAAACACGGGTGCACATATATCACTGTGGTATGATGTTTTTAATTCTTCTGGGAAGATATCCAGAAGGGGGACAGCTGGATTAAATGGGACCCTGGTCCTAGTTTTTGAGGACTCTCCACACTATTTCCACAGTGGTTGCCCCAGTATGGCAGGCTTTAAAACCAATTCAGATGAAAAGCAGGTACAGCAGAGCCTGTGTGGCTGCTGTGCCCATGGGATGACATGGCTGATGACACACAGTTAAGCCCACAAGACAGCTCTTGGGTAGTCAGCGTCGCCAGCGCCCTCTCTGCGGGATGAGCTCTGCAGGACGTGGCGAGGGAGCCCCCGAAACAGACACTCCGATGGTGATAAACTGGCTGATGGCAGCGGCTCACTTGGTTTGGGAAGTGCCAGAGCAAGTCACCGTCTAGACCTGATAGCTGTGCTGCTTGAAATGGGCACCGAGGAGGTGATGCTTGCATCATAGTGCCAAAGTCCAGATGAGAATCTGCTGATGGCACGCAGGGAGGACGCGACCCTGGTGAGTGGGCTGCCTGGCACTTTCGGGTCAGTGGCAGTCCTGCTAACTCCCTTTTACAGATCCCTGATCCACGATGCTGTGGATGGTCAGACAGGAGATGAGGAGGTAAAGTGCCAAGGGAACTGTACCAGTCTAGGAGGAAAAGAAGGGAGGGCCCTGGAGCGTGGGGCTATCCCCCCGCCAAGGACAGGCTGTGGGGCCACTGGAGGCTGGTGGATGACAGATCTGCATGGACCTGCTGGCTGCTGGCCCAGGTGTAGATAAGTTAGACGAGACCTTTGGAGGTGTTGCTGGCTCTGTGGAGGAGGTGATGCCCTGAACAACACCACTGGCCAATGGTCAGGGACCCAAAGGCCAAAGCAGCCTTGTGAAGCTCAAAGCAGTGACACTGGCCTCCTTTTACCCTGATTAGGAGGTAGATCATGCTACCCAGATCTTGGGGGTCCCAGGAGGCTGGAGGCCACATGTGGAACTATTTACTGGCCCCTCAAAATTTAATGAACTATTTACTGTGCAGTGGGTACTAATGTTGATGGATACCAGAGCTGAGTCAACAGTAATGTCCGACAACCCAGAGTATTTCACGTTACCCTGACTGGGTTTTGATTCCCCTTTTCCTCAATAATTTTAGCGCTTGCTACAGGATTCTGAGCTGTATCTCCAGAGGACTGGAAGGTTCCCACAAAATCACCTTCACTCTGCTCTACATTGGTGTATCTACTGTACCAGACACCCCCATCTGTTTTGTCAAGTTATGGATCCAATGTATTGCTATTCTGCTTAGTTTCTGATTCCATGTCTCCTGTGAAGCTGGGTTTGTTAGTATTTGCTGGTCTACAGCTCCAGCAGACTGGGAACCTCCATACAAGAGCTGCCTTTGTCCTCTGTTATACAAACATAATTCTTGGGTTACTTACTTTCAGTTGTCTATAACCAAAGTAATGATGCTCCCATGGATTATCTGTTTAAATCTCATGGGGATATAATTCAGGACACTAAAAATTCCAGGTTCAAATTAAAGATGTAAATCTTATCACAATAATCAATAATCAATAATAATCAATAATCAATCAGTCCAGGTAGAAGGACAAGGGCTGGACCCCTGGCTTGTTTTAAGACACATAACCAGACCTCCTGAGTCTGGTTAATGGTACCCATTCCATCCTTCAAGCGGTAAACACAGACTTAGGCAAAGACTGTTGGCTCTGTGTCCCTCTTTCCTATCAATTTCGCTTGCAATAATTCCAAACTTAATGCAACAAATACTCCTGCTCACCTGCTCCAGCCCCATCCAACAGTGGTACTGGGGAATACTTCCTGCTTTTTAGGTTCTAATAAAGGCCAGAATGCTTCTGCTGACTGTATAGATATGTTGACTGTCACCTCAAGTTGTCTGGCAACCTCCCTCCAGAACTTTCTTTGTTTGGGCTGATGGGTTACATCAGTGTTTGACAGCACCAAGGTGAGTCTTTGTGCACTTGCTTTGCTGGTACCTCACCTCTCTATTTAGGACTGCTTGGCTGCAGCCGTCCTCCAGAATCAAAGAGGTTTGGTTGGTTTTTCTGTAACACTATCTCCTGACAGTGCAGTTTGGAGGTACCTGCCGTTTCCTAGAGCAGGAACACTGTTATGATAATAAGTCTGGAATAGTAAGAAAAACTCCCGTCAGCTGTGGGAATGCCTCAAGCATGGGGTCCAAATCTTACAGGATGCTCACCCTGGTGGGGATCTTTCAGCATTTCTCCCTCACAGGCAGGAGCCAGTCTTGGACCCTAGATGGTATTTTGGCAACTCTTATTTTAGGTCCCTGCAGGATCTGTATCTTGACACAATTCCTGTCTGATCCCATGGAAGCTATGCGCCACCAACTCCTTTTGCAAGTTACTTCCTCTCATCAGCTCCTTAGTACTAAAGAGACAGGAGAAACTGAGGAAGAAGATTTCCTCTGTAGTAGGATCAGGGGGAAATGTAAGGGCACAATGCTATGACTAGTAAAGGTAGAGTTACAGAATAACAAACTTACAGACATGCTATAGTAATTTAAAATCAAATAGTAGTCTCCGCCCATGCTCCTGCTGCCTGTCACATAAACACCCTGCTGAATTCAGTCAGCCTTGACTGTCTGGGTCCAGCTGCTTTTGTTCTGATTATACACTGGGCCAGTTTGACAGTTCTCAGCTTATGGTTTCCTTAGTTAAGAAAATGTATTGCTTCTAATCAGCTTCAAGGACTTTGACTGGGGCAAAGTAACCCAGTCAAAGTTACATTTTAACTCTGCTCATTCTGTTGAAAACCCTTCCTCTCATCCCCAGGATGTTCCTATGTTATGATAAACACTTCCTTTTCAGCAAATATATTTACAGTTAGTTTTTGTGACAATATATGACTTAATTCAGCCTATGCAACCAATCATGTAATTCCCTGTACTTCCTGCTTGTACACTATATTTAAATTGAACCCAAAGCTGGCTCTTTGCTAGTAATTTGGACTTGGTCCCACTAGCATGCTAGCATAATAAACAGTTATCTTCTAGATTCCTCGGTGCAGAGTCTGCCATTTGGTTTGATATTGGTTTTTCTGTAACACTATCACATCTCAGATATATGTATGTACACACACACACATACACACACACACACACACACACACACACACACACACAGAGTATCCCTTACCCAAAATTCTTGGGACCGGAAGTGTTTGTTTCAGACTTTGGATTTTTTTCCTAATTTTGGAATATCTGCATATACACAATGAGATATTTTGGGATTGGCCCAAGTCTAAATATGAAATTCATTTATGCTTCATATATGTCTTACACATACAGCCTGAACATAATTTAATATAGTATTTTAAATAATTTTATGCATGGAACAAAGTCTGGCATATTCCACTTGTGGCATCATGCTGATATTCAAGAAGTTTCCAATGATAGAGCATGTTGGGTTTTGGATTTTAGGTAGGGGTGCCCATCCTGCATATTTGTGCTTTATGTATATAAAGAAGTTACACGTGCTCCTGCGGAGAATGTGAGGCTGGCTTTCAAACCAGACCTGCACGGGTCATGTCACAAGCTCTAGAAATGTCTGTTGAATGGCCAAGAGCCAGGACAACACCGTCTTATTTACTCTCCTCTCTCCAGCGCCCAGTACCCTAGTAACCTAGGCTAGGTACTTAATATATTCCTAAGAGATTTTGTAGAAGACCGGACACTAGAAGATTTTCTGCTTTAGCATACAATGCACAACAGTAAGTGTTACTCTTTGCTACCTCTTTCTGAAGATAGCTAGAAAAAAATAAGCCTTGAAAACTAGAGATCAAAAGTGTCAGCCCGAGCCAGCCTGTCTTTGCCTCACCTGCCAGCACTGATCTCTTGCTCAGTGGCTCCTCTGTAAGGCGGGTCAGGCCCCGTCCTAGACCCCAAACCTGGAAGCCCTTGATGGATGGCTGGAGGAAGGGGACAGTCACATTGCTCACAGTAGAAACAGTCACTTTCCCTTCTCTTCAGGCTAGTAGAGGCCCAAAATTCCAGGGGGCCTCATATCTTAGAGAAGTGCAATACTACATCTGGGGCCATCCCGGTATCTTCTCCGTGATTTTATATTTACAGATACTCCTTGGCCAAAACCCGGTGCAGGATGGCTTCTGCCTACTCAGTCTCTCCCCTGGGTGTAAAGGAGTTAAGTGACAAGCCTCCTCTCAGTCCCGGTGTGCAGGTCTCAGGTGTAGGGGGCCCTTGCATTGTGTTCTGATCAGCCATTGTCTAGTCTTAGGACAAGGATGCTGACTGAGAAGGTGCCTCTGCTTTCCAAGAAGGTCCCTCATGTAGATTGGCTTCTCCCATGATGATTTGGTTACCTCAGGGTACTGCTGGCCTCTTATCAGACCTGAGTACGTCTCCTTGTCCTACTCCACGGTAAAGTGGGTGTCACGGTGCAGAGAGCTCGCCTGTCTCTCCTTTCTGTGAGGTGGGAATGAGAATAGGAATTCCGGGGCCAGGGCAGAACTGTGAATGGCAATGTGTGAACTGCAGCCTTGATTCTCAAGAAAGAATATTCTGGAAGATGCTTCCTTGAAATTCAAGACACATGCCGCCCAGCCTGGTTCAGGGTTATAACCTGGAGGAGCGCATTGGACACCTTTGGACTCAGATTCACACTAGGCTCCCTCGAGTTCTCCTACTTAGTTGGTGGCACTGGACAAATTAGTGCCTGAGCCTCAGACACCTCATTTGTCAACTGGGACAACAACAATACCAACCGGGTCTGGCACCAGCTAAGTGCCTGTCCCGGTAGACGGGGTGTTACCACCTCCTGGGTTTCCTGCGGTCACCTGCCGTTTTCTCTCTTCCCTCTCTGGCTCACCTGGAAATTTGCACTGTGCACCTTGCCCTTCACCGTCTCTGCGATCATCCGTCTCTTTAACACAGAAAGAATATTGACAACATTTAGCTTTTGCTCCTGCTCTTGGTCTTTTGCTTTGAAGGAAAATAGAAACTCATCAACTTTCAGATGCTGCCCATTTGGAAGGCTGGGGCTTTCCTGGGACGAGGAGTGACAGCATGGGCCTGCAGAGGGGGCTGTGGCCTCTAGGGATGATGCTGAGACCACTGGGGCTCTCTTCAGGGGACCCAGCTGGGAGGGAGCTGGCCAGCTAAGAGACCCCTCAAAATGCTGTCTCTTCTTGGTGTATTAATCTGCTTCAGGTGGTGGCAGAGCCTCCCAGAGCAGGGGACAGAAGTTTCAGACAGTCCTACAGTTGCTGCTAAAGTGTCCCTGCTTAAGTGTGGGTGGGAGGAACCCCTAGTGGCTGATTTCTGGACCTGTTTGGAAGCTGCCATTCCCCTGACCCTGGAGCTTGCTGGCTCCCTGGGGTTGGCTGGCAGTTGTGGCCTTCAGGATGCTCAAGACCCTGCCTCTCAGGGACAGTTGTAGAAGAAAAGAGCCACTCAAGGTTTTGGGGATACAACAGTGCTGATCAAGCCGGGGCCACCTCTCAGCTGGTTGCAGGCAGGCCACCCATGGGGGGCTTTGGAAAGAGGGAGTTGTCAGAGATCCCTGAGCTGCAGAGCTGGGGAGGTGAATATGGGGTGAAATGTGGACAGCGGTAAAGCTGAGAGAGGCGGGGGTCCTTCTCAGGACTGTGAGCCTGATGGAACCGGGTCTTCCAAGCTTCCCAGAGAAGTGGGCATCCAGTGTATTCTATGAAAGTGCCCTATTTTGAGATGTTATTTTAAACAAACACCAACCCTAAACAACAGCAACAAAAAAATTATCCTTTGAGTCACACAAGGTACATCTGCGGACGTGGGGGCTGCTGTTTGGGGACAGCCTGCTTCTGTGCTTGGCTTCATTTGTGCTCAGTAAACGTGCATTGAGGGGCTGCTGGGTAAAACACAGGATGCCCAGTTTCATCCAAACATCAAAATGGAAACAAATACATATATTTGCTATAAATACGTTCCATGTGATATTTTGGACACACCTAGACTAAATAACTATCTGTTGTTTATCTGCAATTCAGATGTAACTAGGCTCCTGTTTAAGTTTTTCTCCTGAACCTGGCAGCCCGACTGGCTTTCCCAAAACTGAGGGAGGAAGAAAATAGGAGTGTGTTGGGGATGGGATGTGACTCTTGGTCAGCCGCGTGAAAGCCCGTCTGTGACAATATCTACCTAGCTGATAGCCAGCTGCTCAGTATTTTCCATTTAGGAAGCCTTGAGCCTGCAGTCATGAAGCGTTTACTGCAAAGCTAGTTTAGAGGGACCGAGTTTGGAGACCAGTCATGGTGGTTGCAAACCTTCCTTCCTACTCTTTTGCCTTCTGCTTTTGCAGCAGAACCCTTTACCTGAGCAAAGGGTAAGGACCTCAGCGTGGAAAGTGGAGAGAGGATGCTGCATTGGGGAGGCAAGATGGGGGGCACAGAAAGCCCCACCTTTTTGGGGGACCCCGGGATTCCTTGGAACTCCAGTTTGACCTGGCCTGGATTAAGTATTTGAAACTCCAGTTTGACCACTGCTCCAAAAGCCAGTCCTGGATTAAACACCGGGGCACACCCACGGACCTGCGTGCACCCAACTTGACTGGTCTCAGCAGATGTGGTGACATCTGTCTGTCTCAAGGACTGTCCTCAGACACAGCCTGGTTGCATCCTGTCATTTCTGCAGAAGGCTGTTCTTAGGGATGTGGTTTATTCTGTCACCCTTTGTCTCCTCTAGGGGACGCCTAGGCTGGCCTTTGTGCCAAGAGCACTTGTGAGCTGCTCATGCATAGTATCTCACAGACAGTGGGGGCTAGACATCACTGGACTCCGTTTCCAATTGGCTTTGGGAAGCCCTGAGTCAAATGGGCCTCTCCCTGGCAGGTGGAAGGGTCATTACCACTGGGCTTCCATCTCCAATCCTCACTTCATTTTATACCCATTTTTTTTATTGGTACCAGGGATCGAACTCATAACAGCCTGCTTGCAAGGCAGGCGCTTATGCCGCTGAGCTAAATCCCCAGCCCCTTTATACCCATTTTTCTTTACTTCATCCTTTAATCAGGGTTCCTGGGGCTCTTATTCTTCCCTTTCTCTTCTTTTCTCATGACCTCGTTCCCAGGTCCCCAAATCATTCTGTGCCTATTTGGGTTGCTCCATGACCCAGAGGCACACTTGAGTTTTCTTGTCTACTCTGACCTCAAGATCCAGGGTTAGACTCTTCCTTGTTGTTATGGTTTGTGTCCAGATGTCTCCTCAAAGTCTCATGCAGTTGGGGGGGGCATTTCTAGAGTTTGATTTATGGTGCAATTCTGGGGTAACCCTGAACTGTTGCTCCTCTGCCATGCCACCCTGCTGATTATGGGCTGAAGCCAGCTGACTATGGATTGAAACCTCCACAAACTGTGAGTTAAATAAACCTTTCCTTCTTAATTTTGGGCATCAGGTACTTTGTCTCAGCAATGACAGGGGAATAACTAACACAGTTGTCTCTTACGTCCTCTGTTTAAAGTGCAGGCAGGCAGGCTGGGGTGGGGGCCTGGGGTTCCTGGGGCATCACCATTGGCATTTATATTCCAGGACTCTTATCCTTTGCAAAGACTGTCTGTACTGTGGGCGTGGCTGCCTGATCAGAACACTTTTCCATACCTGCCTCTCTCTCTCTTTGAAGGAACAGTTGCAAGGTGTCCATTCTTTTGCAGTTTTCTGTTCATGCTCCTCTAAACGTTCCTGAGTGAAAATATCAGGTAAGTGAGAGTGTTTAGTATGTCCTTACCTGTGCTAACACGGGAACATTGAGGGGTTTCTGAGAGGGGCTGTGGGTCACCGGAAGTGGGTGGCAGAAGACAGGGCTGTGTGATCAAAGCCCCTTTTTCTTTAGCCATGTTCTACTCATACATTGTACCTCCTACCCACATTTTATATTTTCATCCTTTTGGGGGCTTGGGGGTAGCATTCCTGAGCCTCCCATTCCATTCTGTTTATACAACTTCTGACAACTTCTACTCCTTGATCAAAAACATACCGTGGCACCGAGGAAAACAGGCTCCAGAGAATACTCCAAAGAAAATCTTGGAAAACAGTGAATCAAGCAGAACAGAGATGATGATGGTGGCATTGAGAAGTCTTATTTGCTTACGGGTTTCTATACATGTTCTCGCTGCCTCAAACCCTGTGTGATAGGCACTGTTTTTGTTCTCCTCTTAGAGACAGGGGTCTAAACAAATTGAGTGGCAGGAAGGTTAGGGGCACCAGCTCAGCTGAGACCACCCAGAAAAGCTGTGCTCAAGTTTGACCAGGATTTGATTGGCTAGAGCCCGGAAAGGGAGCTGAGTTGCTTCCCAGACCAGAAATGCATTTCAGCTGTTCTCAAATTTCCTAACAAGGGGCTCAGGAAGCCTTGTATGCTTCTCAAAGGGCGATTTCAATGCATTTGAATGTTTTCTATTGAACATTCCAGCCTTAACCCATTCACAAAAAGTTAGCGGCGCTCTCTTGGCTGTAGCCTTAGTTGTATTCACCACACAGAAAAGAAAGCTTTACAAAGAAGCTGCCAACATTAGGGGGACCAGGGATTAAAGTCTCAGGGTTAGCTGGACTCATCAGCTGGCAGGCAGTTCTCTGAAAGAATGGCCCCCACCAACCAGAGCTGCTTTTTTCTGTAGTAACTGAGTTTTCTAGGTGCCGGGTGCCATATGCATTTTGTCACTGAGCCCTTTCCCACTGGCCCAGAAGCACCTGTAGGTCCTGTTGTTAGTGCTGTTGTTGAGAAGCCTGAGACACGGAGGTAAAGACACTCACTTGTCACTCAGGGGCAGAGGTGGGCATGAACCCTATTCATTTGTCTCCAGTGTTGGTCTTTTAATTTTGAAAGGCTTGATGTGATGTAGGAAGTAGAGTAAACGGAGCTCAGTCTGGGCCATGGTCACTGTCACATTGTGCCCTGGAAAGAGCTTCCAGGGCACTCCAGGGTCAGGAGACCCATGACTAGGGTATGTCCAACATTGTTCTCCCAGAATTTTATATTGAGCCTCATTTGTGCAGCTGACGGTATTTGTACGGAAGTGTGACCGGATTCTGGAAAGTTCTGCTTGGTGAAGAGATGTTCAAACACCAAAACGACACTGTAGCATGTCTGTCTGTCTGTCTCTCTGTCTGTCTGTGGGGGAAGGTGGTTTTGGAGCTCCATGTGAATAATTTCATCCTCCAGCGCCTCAACTGGTCCATCTTCATGAACCACTACTGAGATTTTATACAGGAGCCTGGAAAAATGAAGGCTTCTTGTGAAAACACCAAAGGTGAAACTTACATTTCATTTTCCTTAAACTTCCCTTTTTAAAATGAAAATATATTCCTAAGGAGGAGCTGATGCCAAGAGAGATGTGGAGATATACAGATTCCCTTTAGAATCCAGCAAAATTTTGGAATTTATTTTCCCCCCTGAAAAATAGGAGCTTCTGACACCATGTTAAGAACAGTCCTTAAACATGAACCCGTACCCCCAGGATGAGCACCCCGAGAGCCATAGGCTGAAGTGGGAGAGATGTAAGCTTGCAGAGTGGTGCAGCCAGCGGGTCCAGGGCCCTGTTCTATGAGGGAGACCCACAGCACCACTGTGGCTGTGGTTCCTGTCCAGTCTCCTCACCCCACGAAGTCCATGAACTTGCAAGGCCCCGGATTTAGCTCTTCTGGGGACCCTGACACAGGCTTAACCAGGGCACTTCAGATCTCCCTCTAGGGAAGGATTCTAGTGCCAAACCAGCTGGCACAGCCCCTGCATTGTGCATGAATGAGGGAGCCCATGAATAATGCATGTAATGCTGATTATGTAAATCCTCAGGTTTTCTTAGCTTCCAGCCAGCACACCACAACAGGCTTTTTGGGGCCTTTGTTGTCCTGTTTTGTGGTTTGGTGTCTGCTTGGGGGCCTGGGCTGCCAAGCCCCAGAAAACATCTCGAAGAAGTGGGCTCTCCAGAGAGCACATCAAAGAACGAGTTGGACTTTGGTGCCACTGCAGCTCCCCCAACAGGGCTCAGGGGGAAAAGACCCTGTCCTCTGCCTGAGGCAGCCCAGCGACACACACATGCTGAGGCTTGTGATGTTTAATTCAGAGCTGCGATGCCTGAGAGGCCATGCCTGGGCCTCCCCCAACTCCCACCAGGACGGGTGCTTTCGTTCTGGTTTCTGGCACTTTGAGCCAGGGCGCTCGCTGTCTGGAGGTCTGCAGGGAGGGGGTGGGTTGCTGTGGGAGCTCACTTGAGAGTACTTCCTGGATAGGGGGCACCCTTCTTTGGTGGTCTGGCTTCAGAGATCAGGCAGGTGACACATGCACAGCCACACATACGCAAACTCAGCCATACACACACAAACATGCGCACAGTCACACATGTGCAAACATGCATACAGCCACATGTGTGCAAACACACAGCTACATATATGCAAACACACACATAGTCACACACTTGCAAATGTGTACACACACAGTCACTAGTGCAAACATGCACACAGTCTCACACATGCAAACATGCACACACACATGCAAACATACACACACATAGCTACACACATGCACACACATATGCACAGTCACATACAAAGATGGATACACACAGTCACACCTCCAAACACGCACACACAGTCACACACATCCAAACATACACACACGAAGCCATACGCACACACAGCCATACACATGCAAATGCACAGAAGCACACATGCATATGTACACCTACATACATGCAAACATACACAAAGACAGCCACATATGCAAATGTACACAAATACAGTCACATGTGCAAATGTACACACAGTCACACATAAACATGAATACACAATAACATCCATGCAAACATAGTTACATATAAACATGCACACAGTCACACACACGCAAACAGACACACAAACAGTTACACACACACACACACACACACACATACACACATACAGTCACCAGTATGGCTTGTGTCTAGATGTAGTCATAGGTGGGGCTGTTTCAGAGGTGGCTGGATCTAGAGTGTGACACTGGGATTGATTCACGGTGCAACGCAGGCTCAGGGACAGCGGGACTGAGGGTGTGAGTTCCAGCCAGCCTGGATCTGTGGCGCCCCTTGTTGCTGTGCCACCTTCTGCCCACCATGAACTATGTCTCCTCTACCGTGCCACCCTGTTTTGGAGCCAGCAGATTATGGACCGAAACCTCTACGAACTCTGAGCTATGTAGACCTTTCTCCCTCTAACTTTGGGTGTTAGGTATTTTGTCTCAACAATAAGAGAGAAAAGTAACTAAGACAGTCACATGCATTACAAATGCACACATACAGAGTCATACAAGAAAACACACACAGCCCCACATATGCAAACATGGACACAGCCACACAGACACAAACATTCACATACAACCATACACATTCAAATATGCATACACAGTATACACATGTAAACACAGTCACATACATGCAAACAGACACACAAGTGTCCAAACATACACATCTCCAAAGGAAAAATAATCTAACAATAACAAGAGGGCCCCTAACATCCAGCCCCACAGACAGCACAGTAACCAGGGCTGGCGGCATCCGGAGTCGGGTCCCACCCCTCTCTACCAGCTGCTGTGTGAACTCTGGCAGGTCTCTTTACTCTGCAAGGCTCACTTTCTTGTCTGTAAGGTAGGACTACTGCACCAGTCAGGCAGGGCTGGTGGAGGGACTAGGAAACTGACCACTCCTGCAGAGCCTGGACATGGCCCTTATGCAGCTGTAGAAGGTCATGAAGAGGTGGTGGCTGTGGTTGGTTATTGTTGTCCTTGTTGGGCTGACCCCAGACTTGAGATCTGCTCTATTGTAGGAAAAGTTAAAGTAAACTGAGTCTATTGAAAAGTCCCTGTCCTGGTGCTCAGCCGAGGGCTGGCCCTGAGCCATGCTTGTGGAGCGCAGGAGTGGACAGATGCAGATGTAACTGCAAACACAACAAAGAAGCCCCTCTGCTGACCATGCTGCAGACTCAGACTTGTTAGGAAACATCTCAAACTGGCCAGGTGCTGGCCGTGAGTGCCCAGCTGTGTGGGACTTACTTGAGAGCCCATCTGCTGGCAATGGACAATACGGGGAAGGGTGGTGTACATCCAGCAAATCCCAGGTGCTCCAGAGACAGTCCAGGTGCCCCTTACCACCCGAGACCACCAGCTACCAGGTCAGCCAGCCAGCGCAGGGTAGTGAGAGACGCCTGTGCTGTGTTTAATCCTCACACGGCCCTTCAAGGCGGATGCCGATGGCTGCTCTTCACCACGCTGGAGGCAGGGCTCTGAGAGGAGACTTGCATGAGGTCCCACAATTAACAAGCAGAGGGATTTGAATCCAGGACTGACCCTGGTATCCTATGATACATGGATACCAAGATGAGGGAGGAGGAGATTTCTTTTAGCTGAGTTGCCTGCCCGCGTCTGGAACCTGGATTTCTCAATGTGATTTGCAACCCAGGCCTGACAGCAATGTCCAACCTCTGCCCATCCACTTGTCCATTCATCGAGCTGCTGTCCATCTCTTATCCAACTTTCCATCCATCAGCCTGCCCTTCTCTCTGCCCTTCCCTCCATTCATTTGCCAAATACTCATTAGGTGTCTACTATGTTTTGGACACTCAGAATAATGGACCCAGAACTCTGTTCTCAGAGAGCTTATGTGCCTGTGCATTCCGAGCAGAATGATGAAAAAATGAATACCTGCCACCTTTTAAAAAATACATATGAGTGTCGAGTCTCAGAGAAGTTTGGAAATCTGCCTAAGGCCACCCAGTAAGCAGTGGAACTCTGGTCTAAACCCAGCTCTGTCTGCTGTCAAAGCTCTTCGGCCACCTTCATTTGCATCAGAAAGTGTGCCGCCCTCCTAAAGACACTCTGGGACCTCCCCTGGCCAGGTCTGAGGGGCCCGGAGCAGGAGCAGCCGTGCCTACCCTCTGCTGCCTGGCGGCCTTGTTGAGCCTCTTCTCCTGCTGCAGCTGCCGCTGGGTGCGCTCCAGGGCCTCCTTGAGCAGTGCCTTCTCCTCGGCCTCCTTGTAGATGTCGTCCTCCAGTTTGGCCACCTGTGACTGGTACAGCTGAACGGACACTTTGCTCTGCCTGAGTGCATGGAGAGACGAGTCCCTTTCCCCTCATCCTCCCCATCTGTCAGGGTCCCATGGGGACCTCTGCAAATACCTCCACAGAGGGTGCCCTGGGGAGTTTCCTTACCAGGGGAGCCTGGGACAAGGCCTTGTGGGGATGCAGAGGGCAGAGCGCATAGCTCAGGGACTAGACATGGCCTCATCAAGGGCCCAGGATGTGCTACGAGCCCCGCTTCTGGTGATGGTGGTAGGACCTGTGACTCTTGGGAAAGTCATGGTACCATCAAAGCCACACGAGTGGTGACCACCAATTAAGGATGATAACAGGTTCTGCACATTCAGAACATGCAGACAGGGGAAACTGAGTAATCCAATCTCGTCTCACAGACAGATCCACCCCATCAGGCCTCGATGCTTCCCCCCAGGAGCTTAGTGGTTCCACACCCAGGCTTTTGCCCTCCTGTCCCAGCCCCAGGTGTCTGCTCCTGTCTCTACTTAGCCAAGAGAAGAGGCCCAGCCTCCTGAGGTCCCCTGGGCCATACCTGAGCTGCTCGATGTCCCGCTCGTAGCTCCGCAGGAGCTCCTCTTTCCGCTGCAGCCGGCTCTTGAGCTGCGTGATTTTGTCAAACACCAGATCCAGGTCCCTCTGTCGCAGCAGATTGACCTTCTCTCTCTCTCTGGGGGAGAGGTGTTTCATGGACACGTAGCCCGACATATCCTTGATGTTCATCAGGCTTCCCAGCGTCCGGCTCATGTCCATGTACTGCAAACAAAGTGGTGACAGGAGAGGGCTGTCGCCTGGGCCAGGGCTGGCCGCTGTAAGGCAGTCTGTGGCTAATTCTTCTGCATTCATGGTCTGCGTCGCAGAGAGCAAACAAATGCTCTGGAAATGAATGCATTTGGGGTGTTGACTGCCCCACATCCACTCCCAGGAGCCTCTTTGAGAACCAGCGGGTAAATGACAGCAGACGTAAACACTCATTCTAACACTCAGGCTCTCCGGGAATTCAGCTGTGCACTCTCTTTTTCTTTCTTTTTTTTGGCTATGCAGTTTCTGACCCATGCTGCGTAGTAGAGGTGTCTGCAGAGTTAGTAGAACAATGAAGCAGGGTGAGGTTGATATTTAGTAAACTATCCCGTGGTTAGCAGTGGCTGCAGGGAACCAGGCGTTGGGCAGGAGAGGGGACGGACGCCCTGTGCACGTACCAGCTTTTCACTGAGCTCCAAGGCCTCAGCCATATCTGCTTTCCCTGACTTCTCTGAGGCCAAACTGGGCCCTGGGCTGGGAAGGCCATTCTGAGGTTGAAATAAAAAAAGCAATCAGAACTCTCTCAGCGGTCTATGATGAATTTCTGTAACCAGAAGCTAAAGCACGGTGGGATTACAAAAGGAGAGATCAAAAGACTCGCTTGGTGTATTTTGGTTCCTGAACACTCAGCCGGGATTCTTTGTCACCGTTCGAATGCTTCGGAGAATGGCTCTCCATGACACGTGGCTTGTTCTCTCCTTTGATCACTGTCTGGCTTCCCTCCAGAGGAATGATGCTCAGTAGGGTTGATTTTCGTATCCTTCTGCTAGGACATTACCAGTGTCTGGACATATTTTTGGATGTTGCAGCTGAAGATGGAGACTCTATGGCATCTCATGGGCTAACCACAAGGGAGCCACTCAACATGCCTCAGCACCCAGGACAGACCTTTTCCAAGTTGAGTGGGAGTGGTCTGGGCCTAGATATCAACAGTGTTGAGGTCGAGGCTCCTTAGCCTACTTGACAAGCTCCATGGAGATGGGGCCTGTTCTGGCTGTGTCTAGATGGCCCCCCAAAGCCTCATGTGGTCATGGGTGGGGCTGGATCCAGAGTGTGTGACCCTGGGATAGTTCATGGTGCAATGTTAGGGTCAAGGGTGCTGGGATTAAGGCTGTGAGGCTACCCACCCCGAGGGGCCTGGATAAGACGACAGGGCACAGAGTGAGCTGTGGTCACCCCTTGTAGCTTTTCTACCTTGGCCTTCCATGAACTGTTTCTCCCCTGCAATGCCCGTCTGCCATCCATCCCGCCTTGGTGCCAGCCGATGATGGGCTGAAACCTGAAAAACTGTAAGCTAATAAGCCTTTCCTCCTTGAACTGGTGGGCCTTGGGTACTTTGTCTCAGCAATGAGAAAAGTGACTAAGACAGCGACCGTGTGGGTGTCTGTCCACTACTCCATTGCTATGTCTAGCATGGCCACCTGGCACAGTTATACTCAATGAGTGAATGGATGGATGGATGCATGGATGGATAGTTACCTGGAAAAATGTCTTCTGCCCAGCTGGGGTGAAGCTCAGTGCAACAGTGCTTGCCTGGCATGCACATGGCCCTCAGCTCAATCCCCAGCATGGCAACAGCAAAGACAAAAACAAAGCAAAAATCCCAAACCAGAAGAAAAACACCAAACACTCCTTTCCTTTTAGTGGAGGAATCTCATTTTCACGCAGCAGAAATGAAGCCTTCAGAAAGTGTGGGGAGATTTTTTTCTGGGGCCGGGGCTGGTGGGCGTGGCTCATGCAGACTCTTTCCTGAGGTGACAGAGGTAGGTGACAGCCACACACTTGCCAGGAACCTAGTGAGCATGAGCAGGCCACCGAGTCACACGGGAGTCTGGAGACTGCAAATGACCGTGATAAGTCTCCTTAGACTCAAATTGGCTTTTCAGGTTGTGCCGTGAACATACAAACACCTGAGCCCACGGTGTCTGCGGGCGCCGCACTGAGTCCTCTGAGACTAACCATAAAATACTCCCCTTACAGAAATGTAGAGACCCCCACGTGACTGCAATGGGGGAAGGCAGGCATCCAGTTATCCAATCTGAGGGGCTTCGAGGTGACAGTCAGTCTAGCAGATTTGCTGAAGAAACGATCTGAAAAGCAGCTTGGGGTCTCCAGCCCCCTTGGCTAAGTCATCTGCACCCCTTTCCGGGGCAAGCAGGGAGCAAGAGGCAGCCAGCAGGGAATAGGCCCTGGCTCCTCATTCATCTCTGTGACCTTGAATGGGGTACTTGGTCTGCTGAAGCCTTTTTTTTTTTCTCCTCTGTAAAATGTGGATAATGACAATGACCAGACTCTGTTTAAATGCAATAATGCATAGGAAGGGCTTAGCTCAACCCAGCAGGTGTAAATCAGTGTAGACTCTACTCCCTCATGCTCTAATCTTTGGATCCCACTGACAGTGTGGAGGGGTCTGTAGGTTTTTAAAGAGCATTGGGAGGTTTCCTGCTGTGTGTTGTTAGTGGTAGGTTAGTGGTAGGTCATCTTCAAGGGGAGGCCCATGTTGGGAGGCTGGGTCAGGATATCAGGCTCTAGCTGGCCTCCTGCTCGAAGATGGTCCCCATGTACCCAGCGCTGGAAAATGAAGGTTTGCTTTTAACAAGAGCTCCAGCTCATTTCCAAAGACCTTCATCCTGGACTCTGGCAAATGCGCAGAAAAATTGTTGAAGAGAATATAGTCCTAGATAGGATGGCCTCGGTATTTCTTCTAGAAGCCTGTGTGCGCTTAGGTCCAGCTACAAGCCAGGAAAGCCCTTAATCCCAGTACTCTGGGAGGTGGAAGCAGGAGGACCTCAAAGTTAAGCCCAGCCTGGCAATTTAGTGACTTAGGAAGACCTTGTCTCAAAGTAAAAAATTAAAAAGGCTGGGGTTAAAGCTAATGTGTAGCATTAGGGCTCAATCTCCAGTAACAAAAATGCAATGTAATGTAAAGAAATGCAGGTCAGCGGCTGCGGTGGGCACCCACTCTGTGGATCCTGTGGCATGTCTACCAAATGCCAAAACATCCACTGAGGGCCCAACTTCACACTCAGCCCATTCCCAACAGTCCTGGCAAATCAATTCGTGCCCCTTAGGAAGGGAAGTTTTCCTTGAATAATATTATTTTAATCATCATCATTATCATCATCATCATCATCATAGCTATCATTTATTAAGTGTGTGCTATGAACCACACACTGGACTAAGCCCTAAATAATTATCTCTAACACCTTTGTCATCGTATTACAGCAGGTCCCAGAAAGGTTAAAGACCTTTGCCAGAGGTCATGCGGCTTTCAGGCTGGGCCTTAGCCACGGATGTCCAAAGGTCCCTGGGGTTCTAGATTCTGTCCTGTGAAGTGTAGCCCCGCTGCTAGTTTCCAGCTTACAGTAAGAGGCAGACCTTAGCGTGATACTGTGAATTAGCTTGCGGAACATTTTCTGCAGAATGTAACACCTGCCGTGAAGAGACGGCCACCATGCTTCAGAGATCGTCCTGGCCCAGGGTCAAGGCCACTCTGCGTCACACTGGGCAGGAGGAGGCCACCACTGTGTGCAAACCTCCTGTCCCTCACCAGCTGCAGGTTCAGACCTCGCCCCCTCAGGAGGACCTGACCCAAACCACTGATGCCCCAAGAGCCAGCGCAGGTGGCTTGTGCGGTCCTAATGCCCACCCTCTTTGTGTTCCACGCTCTGCAGAGACGAATTTTCTTTGCTCACCGCTTGGATCTCTATTCTTGAGAGAGTTGGAAAACCGGATTTTGTGTCCAATAGTATTTTGGGGGCATTCTTTTCCATTCTGAGTGTCTTTAATTCCAGGAGTGATTCATTCAGGTGGTCCTTAGGATCTATAAAAGAAATAATTTAGACTCAGGAAGAAGTTATTTTAGGTAATAATTGTAGGTATGATGTATGGGACACTTAACTGGAGCGCATTTTAATCCTCACAACCTCCCTGGGCAGATGGGGAAACTGAGGCCTAGGGGGATTCAATGATTTGTCCAAGGCTACACAGTTACTGAGGTTGAGGTCACACATGTGTTGGTGCAGAAGTCTTGCAGGTGAATTGGCCTAGGCTGTCCAGTCACCGGGACAAGGATGGGACTGCAGCCAGGCTTCGGGGCCTCAGTCCAGTGCCTGTGGCCTGGTGAGCTCCCAGTCTTGACGGTGCTCCATCCTCTCTGAATGGTGGGCGCTACGGGGCTTCCAGAGCTGCCCCTTTGGCTGTGTTAGTCCACAGCAGGGCCTCCACAGGAGCACAGTGAAATAAGAAAAAGCAGGCCAATGGCCAGAGTTACATGGTGCCCACGTATTTCACATCAAGGTCTGTGCTTGGCTCTGAGCCTTCTGATGATGAGGTGGTGGGAGGGAGGGTACGATGGGGTGCTGTCCTGCTCAATCAGCCAGCTCTGAAAATGAGCCCCAGGCTCTGAGCCGCTGGCTGGGGCAGGGAGGAGGGTACTTACTGCAAGAGTTGGCCTTCTCCAGCTCTTTGACGCGCCCACGGAGTTCTGACAAGGCCTTTCTCTGCCGCTGGATGACTTCCTCATGCCGGTGCCCTTTGCACTTGGCCCCCAGGTCACTGAAGGATTGCTCCTGGGAACAGAGGACATGTAGACAGCAGCTTACCTAGGGACCGGAATATCCCTTTGTATTCACAGGAATGTGCAGAACTCCTGTATGGCTGGAGCCCTGTCATTTAGCACTTCTGGAAAATATCCTCAGGGCTCCAGCACAGAAGGGGTTTAAAACTTCATCGAAAATATCAAATCCTATCTGGGCGGATTTCTGGCTTTCCTACCTAATTAGCATCACTATAAATAAAAGATCTCTCTATATTCCTTCTCCGTGATTTGTTTTTCTTCTAATAGTCTTCTCTGCCCAAGTTTCCACTTGATATTTTTCTTGTCTTCTCTTTGGAACAATGGCAGCAGGTTCTATTTCTCTAAGTTCTTCTTCTTCTTCTTCTTCTTACTACTACTATTAGTATTTGCAGTGTTAGAGGCAGAACTCAGGGCCCCGTGCAAACTAACCATAGGCTTTTAAACTGAGTCCAACCCCAAACCCAGCCCCAGAGCAACAATTTTAGATGTGAACACGTGGTGCTTTCTTCAAAATCCTTAATAAAGATGGTTTCTTCCCCCTTGCTGGGGGATTTGACACACTGGCTCTTGATTGGTCTGCAGACCTTTCCTGGGGGCTCCCATGGCCTCGAGCACAGTGTGTCCCACAGGACTTTCTGCAAGGAAATGTCCTATACCTGCATCCACCAGTACGGTAGCCATTGGCCACATGTGGGTGGACCCTAAGGGACAGCTCGGGGTCATAATTGCGTGTACTCAGGGCACAGCCCGGGAAGGTCTTCTTGGTCTTTAAAGCCATTCACCCTTTTAAGATTTGGAAGAATGCAGTGTTCTGTCATTTTGAAAAATTCCCCTACACAAAACATTAGCTGATAACTTCTAGAGATCCCACGAAGCCCGTGGACTCCAAGTTGCACATCATTTTCTAGGGAAAGCCATTCCCTCCTTCACCCCTTCATTTACTCATTCATCCCTTTCACTCAGACTTTCTTTTTGTACCAGGGATTGAACTCATGACCTCGCGCTTGCCAGGCAGGCTCTTCCGTCGCTGAGCTAAATCCCCGGCTTCCCTCAGACTTTTTGAACACCTCCGAGTGCCGCGACTTGATCTAGGCCTGAGGACTCCGCAGGGACTGAAGCTGGCAATCTCCTCACTTACCATCATAGGCTTTGTAACCCAGTTTGGGGTGACAGATGCTGGTGAAGGGAGGTGGGGAAAATCCATGGTGGGCAGTGATAAATGTCCCATGGGTAAGTGGGGACATGGGAAGAGGTGTTGGGGCGGTTTTCAGTTGTAGATGAGCTGCCCCGAAGGCCTCAGGAGGCTGGCAGGAAAGGGAAGAAGTTGACAATCTGGTTCTCTTATAACTATTTTTAAAATAGCAATCTTGGTTCATTTCATACTGTTGGTTTTGATATGAAAGATAACATATATAGTATCAAGTGAACTGAGCTTATTTTAAAAACTGACATAGAGATCTTGGCCGACCTACCGTCTATTTATTTCCTTATCTAAACATGTACGCCTCCATCCCTCCTCTGCCCGTCATCCACCTACCTGACCCTCCTGTCTCTCTTGTGCAGACTATGTACCTGGCAGTGTTCTAGGCACTGGGGTAAGGTAGGGAACCTCAGAGCAGCCCTGCTCCTGTGGAGTTCCTTCCACTGGGGCAGACAAGTGAGGACATATAGCACCTGTTCCCTCCCAGCCCAGAGTGATAAACGCTCCTGCCCATCCTGAGTCCAGCCTTGTTGCTGGCCTTTATGATGGTGGCCCCAATCTCGTGCTGCATTAGGGTCCCTGGGCTCCTTTAAGGGGCTGGGCAGTGCCATCTGAGGCCCTCCTACCACTTTGTCCTTCCCTTCCTTGTCTCCACTGGATGTTTTGCTCATTATTAACTGGTTTCCATCTCTCCCCTCCCAGGACATAGGCTTCGTGGGAGCAAAGTGTGTTTCCTTTGGCGGCAGTGGTATTTGTGTGGCTGAACATAGTAGGTGCTCAGTAAATACGAAGTTGGGGTGCCCTGAGCTCAGGCAGGCTCCATGACGAGCTCACCCCAGCTACTGAGCGGGCCCAGGGCCCTGGAGGTGAGGGGGGACCACTCTGCTGCGGGGTCTTGCTTGTCCTCAACGCTGGCTGCAGCCGCACCGGATCACACATGGGTGCCCTTCCCATGGGTGCCTGGTTCCCCATGGTTCTGCTCACTGATGAGAGGCCGTGTTTCCCTGCAGCGCTTTCTGCCTCTCTGTGTGAGGAAAGCAGGGGTCTGAACCTGGGGGGCGGCAGGGTGGGGAGACGCAGCAGCCCGGAGATTCAGTTGCTGGGCTGAAGCATAAGCTGGGACCATGTGACCCTCCTCACAGCTCCTCTGGGAGCTTACTTATTTAGGGGACAGAGATTCTTTCTCATACAACTCTGAAGGCCTCTGACCCACCCTGGCTTAGAAACAGGAAGTAGCTTGCTGACAAAAGTCATTCCCAGAAAGAACAAATATGCTTTTTCTTTTATCTTGCAGTTTTCCTCTCCCTTTTTCCTGAAGAAATCCTGCCTCATAATAGAAACCGACAATCACAGGGGTTCCGGCCCCATGGGACCTTCCCATAAACCTGTGCAGCGCCTGGGGGAGGGCAGAGACACCCCCCCCCCTTCCTGGCGCAAATTTCCCCTGGGAATTTGGGTCTGGAATACAGCAAGTGCTCAATAGTTACTGAACACGTGGAGGAATGTGCGCCAGGATTCCAACAGGAGTGACTCATGTACCCTGCCCTATGGAGCTTCCGGGCCACCAGGACCTGATAGAGGCTTCACCCCTGGTTGCCCTGAGCAACACGAGCCACGTCCTTCAGAGTGCTCTGCACAGCAATCTGTGCCAGGGACAGCCAGCTGCACCTCGGGTGCTTTTGTCCAGGCTGTCCATGGCCCTGGCTCACTGCTGCTTGGCACGGAAAACATCTCTGCTGACACATTTGGCCTTGTTTCTGAGTCGAGTCCAGAGCCTCTTACTAGAATGCCTGCTCTCTGGTTTCATAAAGCCAAGGGGACAGGAAATCCTGGACTCCAGGAAGCAGGGACCTCGAGGAACACTGTGCCCACAGTCAGCCGCTGTGGATGATGGGAAATCTCACAGCCCGAGGCACAGGGACAGACAGTGAGTGCCAGCCTGAAGCAGGCTGCTGTCTCCCTAAGATGTACTCCGCTGGGTGCGTGACTGGGACTCCTGGGGGCAGAGGCTTCTGGGCAGGCGCACAGAGAGGGGTGACGGCCACAGGGCATTCACTAGAGGCTCTTTGGGAAGGCAGTTGGGCCCTGGGAAGCAATTTAGGAAAAGCTTCAGACCCAACAATTCCACATCTAGCAAAGTATTACCTACCACCCACAGCCCCGTGTGAAAGGAGACACAGCCCGTGTCTACCACCTGGGGACAGGCTGGATGAAAAGGGCCAAGGAGGAGTGCTACGCAGCCACTTAGAAAACAAGGTGACAGGGCACACAATCAGTGTCCGTAACATTAGTAGATTTCCCACACACCCCTAATGCACTACCTGAGAAAGAAATTGGGAAAATAGTTCCTTCATGATCACTCGCCTTTCCCCCAAAATACAAAGCAACAGAGACAGTGACGTAAGACCCAAACCCTAGGAATCACCTTAACCAAGGAGGTAAAAGACCACCACCATAAAAATCATAGAATATCGAGAAAAGAAACTGAAGGAGACACGAGACGATGGAAAACCCTGCCATGCTCATAGATCAGCACAATTAATGCTGTTAAAATGGCCATTTTGTGTTCTACAGATTCAGTGAAGTCACCGTCAACATTCCAATGACAGTGGTCTAGAAGAAACAATCTTAAAGTTCCTATGGAAGCACAAAAGAAACAGAACAGCCGAAGCACTCCTCAACAAAAAGAGCAAGGCTAGATGCATCACGATAGCTGATTTCAAATTATATTACATTGCCATTGTAACAACAACAACAAAAAAAATGCACTGTACTGCACAAAACAGACCCCTAGCCCAGGGGAACACAGAAGATATGGAAACAAACCCATGCAACTACAACCATCTGATTCTGAATAAAGGAACCAAAAACACATGCTGGAGGAAAGACAGCCTCTTTCACAAACAGTGCAGGGAAAGCTGGATCCTCCGTGCGGAAGTCTGAAACCAGACCTCTCTCACCCTGCACAAAAGTCAAGTCGAAAAGTCCAAGGACCCAGGGATAAAACAAGAAGCTGAAAGCAGAAGAAACTTTGAGGTTGAAGAAAACACAAGGGAAATGTTTGGAGTCTCAGACGCTGGCAAAGACTTCCCAAATACGATTCTAATGGCACTGGAAATCACAGTGAGAATCAACAAGTCGGACCAGGTCGCATTAAAGTTTCCACCCAGCAAGAGAAACAGGGCAGGGACAATCTGCGGAATGGGAGGAAACTTACACCATCTATTCTTACACCATCTATTAACATTTGGAATATATAAAAATTCAAAAAGAAGATAAATAGCCCAGTCTTTAAATGGGCACATGAGTTGAATGGACAGTTTTCAAAAGAAGAAGTATAAATGACCAATGGGAAAAAGGCTCAACATTTTTAGCCCCTAGGGAAATGTAAATTGAAGCTACACTGAGATGCCACTTACCCAATCACAATGGCTGACATTGAGAATATAGAAAATAGTAAAAGTTGGTGGAGATGCCGGGCGTGGTGGCTCATGCCTGTAATCCCAACACTCGGGAGGCTGAGGCAGGAGGATCATTGTGAGTTTGAGACCAGTCTGGGCTACAAAGTGAGCTCAAGGCCAGCCTGAACTGCATAGCAAGACCTCGTCTCAACAAAGAAAAAGAAAAAAAGTTGGTGGAGATTTGGGGAGAAAAGAACCTTCTCCACTGCTGGTGGGAGTGTAAGTTAGTACAGTCACAGTGGAGATCAGGGTGGAGGTGCTTCAAAAACCTGAAATAAAGAGCTGCCATTCGACCCAGCTATGCCACCCCTTAGTGTAGACCCGGAACGACTTAAGTCGGCACATGACCACCTACCCAGGCCCATATTTATTGTCGCACAGCTGACGATAGCCTAGCTGCCCACGACAGATGAACAGGTAAAGAAACCGTGGCACATGTGCACAACGGAGTGTGTTCCAGTCACAAGGAATGAAATCACGTCATCTGTAGAGAAATGGATGGAACAGAGAACATCATATTTAGTGAAACAAACCAGCCCCAGGAGGACCCAGGAAGTTATCATATGCTTTCCTTAACATGAAGAATCTCAAAGAAAATCCCAGAAAACAAAAAAAGATGGTATCAAAGCAGGAAAGACTTTACTATTAGACAGAAGAAAAGGGACAAAGGAAGGGGAGACAGTCTCACGGGGGGCCACGGCGGGGATGGATACCCAAGTATAAAACAGCACACTGAAACACAGTGTTTCATAAATTAATGGGCACTAAGAAAAATGTTACAAAGACTGAGGTAGACATTATCCACTTAAAAAGATGACTATGAAATATTATATGAAAATAAATTGCAGAATATGGTTTGATTGATACTACTAGCAAAAACTTACTAAATCTCAGTGTAGCTAGGTGCTGGAACATGCATTTGTTCATACATGTATATAAATAAACCCACTTCTGCACCACCCCCATGAGGGGAAGACTGTCATTGCTCTTAGACAAGTGATCTGGTACAGAATGGTCTCTCGAGGTAGCACAGCTGCTAATTGGAGGGGCTGGGATTTGAACCCAGGGAGTCTGGGTTGGAGTCTCAGCTGCAGACACTGTGTGAGGATGTGGCAGCCTCTGCAAGCAAAGATCTCAAGGTACCTGCTTCCTGCTGTGGAAGGTTTAAACTCTGGAAGGTTGGGGAGGCAAAAAGAAAAAAAAAAAAAAAAAAAGAAAGCGCCACTGGGCCCCTGGCATCAGGTCCTTCAGGAGCCCAGGGTCAGAGGGGCCTCACCTCTGGGCTGCTCGAGGAAATATCCAGGTGGCCTGGGTCTATCTGCACTGAGATGTCACACTTCTGGGTGGTGGCCCGCAGTTTCTGCTCCTTCTCCGAGCTCGGATGGTGCTTGTGTTTCTCTTGGGAACTCCTAGGGCAGAGAGGGGACGTCACCGCGCAGTAGCCTGGCATGAGGTTCAAGTCCTTTTGTGTCCTGGGCAGACCAGGAAGTGAGCTCTATTTTGCCATGTACCTGAGTTCCTTGAGATCTCAAGTTTCCTGTCCCCAGGTTTCTAGGGACTCTAGTGTCATGGGAGTCACAGGATGGTGCTGGGCAGTGTGTGCTTCTCCTTGTACACACCGACCGAAGTGTTGGCCAGGACACGCACCATGCCTGCCACATGTGACACCTTTTGCTCCTGTCCTCACCCCACCTAGACAAGCATGGGGTACACAGGAATTTGCCTGAAGCACAGCAGCTCAGATGGGGACCCCATTCCTTTACCACTGGTGTGACCCTGGTCTGGTCAGGAGGTGCAGGATGCCACAGGAGACACACAAAACACAGATTTCATTGAATATTTTTGGGAGAAACACTAATCATGTTAAATATGGATGAAAGTGCAGACCTGTTTTGTAGTAAGACCCATCTATGGGACAGGGACAATATTTTGTATTTACTTGAAGCTGACACCTCCAGCTTACTCATCTGTTCGATAAATACTAAGTTCCCTCTTGTGCAAGGTATGGTGAGTGCCAGGAAGTCAACGGGGATCAGGTTTTGGCCTGGCAGGCAGACAGGCGCAGAAGCCCCAGGGCCTCGCAGGCCCGCAGTGCAGGAGCCCTTGGATGATCTGGTGAGGGTGAGTGGGGAGGGAAGGTGCCTGGAGGAGGTGGCATGGAAGCCGAGCCCAGTCATCCAGGGTCCCAGGCAGGAAGGCTCATTTGACAAAACACAGAACTAAGCAAAGCTCAGGTCTGGTGAGGCTGGGAAGCAATAAAACACACCATTCATTGACTCGTGGCAAGCAGCATTTACTGAGCCCTCCCAGGCCGTGCCGGGCCCCCCTGGATCCCCCACCTAAGAGCTTCCTTGAGGGCCTTGAGCTCCTTGTCCTTCTTCTCCACATGGCTGTTCATCTGTGACATCTTTGCCTTGAGCGCGTTCAGCTCGCCGTTCTGCTGCTGGACCAAGGCCACCTGCCGCTCCAGCTCCATCTTCTGCTTCTCACTCAGCTCCCCTGGGGGCCACGGGAAGCCATAGTTGGTGACCCCGGCTCTCTGCTAGGGCAGGGCCTTTGCTGATCCACCAGGTGCACAAGGACCCTGAGAGGGGCTGTCTCCTGGGAGCCTCGGGACCTTGGCTACCACCCAGGAGCTCGGTGAGCACCTGTGCCATGACAGCGGGGGACACCACCTTCTGCTGTCCCCACCTCATGCCGGTACTGCCCCCAGCAGATGCTGTTGGGCCTCACCGATGGCCCCTAGCATTTGAGGGCACCCTAGCCAATGCCCACAGCATGCTTCTGGGTCTTTTTAGCCAAGGGTGTCTCAGATTCTAGAGCTGCCTCTGCTGTGTGCACACTAGGTTTCAGGGTGTTGAGGATACCCAGGAGGTTTCCTACAACCACCCTCCAAGGAAGTCACAGCCTCTGCGGTGAAAGAAACATACTCCTCAGAAGAAAGCTGCACTTGAGCGCAGAGGCCGGAGTCCTCTGCAGGCTGTGGCCCGGGTCGCTTGGACTGTTGGGGGGCCGGGGCCATGCCTGTGTGCACCTGGATTACAGGTGGCACAGGTGCACTGGAGAGCCTGACACTGGGCGCTGGCTCCTGTCCCTCCTTCCTCCAGGGGGACACAGGAACCGGAACCAACCTCTCAAGTCTGTCATCTGGCCATGGGCTTCGTTCAGGTCCTGCCTTAACCTCATGATGATCTCCTGCTGAGACAGAATCTCCTTCTGTGCTGCCATGAGGTCATCTCTGCAATTCCAAAAACAGGCCCTGTGGATCCACACAACCCGATCGTACCTCCCCGGTGTCTCCCGAGGGCCCTGAAGGGAAGGGGGCTCAAGAACGAGGACACAGTGACTGGCAGTCATGGTCTGTGGGTCGCAGCACGGTCGGTCAGGAGATAAGACAATCTTTAAATATTCTTTTAAAAAATTCACTGCGATATGCCTTCTTATAAAAAAAACACCCTGAGTGCTGGGGTGTAGCTTGGTGCTGTGCACAAGGACCTGGGTTGGATCTCAGCACAGCAAAACCAAACGAAAAACCCATTTGAAGTAGAACGGAGCGGCTGGCGGGGTTGGGCCTGAAGCTGGATGGTGCCTGGCACGAGCTGCAGCTCGCCGTCAGCAGGGATCGGGGACAGGGAAGGAGAGACAGGAGCACAGGAGCTGTTCTCAGCAGCAGGTGTTACTAAGAGGACAGCGTCCCCTGCCCTCAGCCCCAGAGGTCATCCACTGCGGGCTCAGGACACTGACCCATTGACCAGGAGGGAGGTGGCCACGCCCCACGGTGACGGTCGGGGGAGGGCCAGGGCGGGGACTCAGGGGGCGGACAGGCTTCTGAGCAGGTGTGAGAAACAGCCCCAGGAAGGATGTTTTATTTTTCTGTCCCTGCTGGTCCTGCCCACCCAGAACAGGTTGAGGTGTGCGGTCTCTGGCAGGCTCTGGGCGGTTCACATGAGTTCACAGGCTGAGGGGAGCCGAGGTCTTCTCACGGGGGCTTTGGAAGGTAGTGCGTATGTTTATTATAAATGAATGCAAGACCCTGGCAGGTTGCATGTGAAAGAAAAAGGCTTGGTGATCACTGGGATGAAATAACTACACATACACCTCACGGGTATCTGTCTGTCTGTCTCTGGCTGTAACTGTGACTCTCCAGTTGCAGGACATTTAGCCCTCAGGTGTGACCCTGCACCACTGCGGTGACCGGTGACTGACAGCACACACAGGCTATCGATCCCTCTCCTGGCCACGGCTGCTGCTGTCCTCAGCTCTGACAGGAACGGGCAGTGGGAGGCGGAGTGTTTCTGCCTTCCCGGCCCAGGGCCCTGTGACTGTGGGCTTTGGCAGGAGTCTGGTGTGTGGGTCGGGCTGGTGGTTTGCCATCGTGGGGGAAATTCCTGAACATGTTCTCTGCCTCATCCTAGAGCACCTTGCTGTCGTGCCGCCCCGAGGAGCTGTCAGGATTTCCCCATCCATGGTTTTGTGTCTCCAAGCACTTCGGAGTTCTGGATGCTGAAGTTACAGACTGGGGCGGGAGCTGGGAGAGGTGTGGCCGTTAGCTAAGGTCACCTAGCCCGACCCTCACTCCAAACCGGCTGCAGGGCCCACCCACCGAGAGGCCGCACTGGCTGAGACCTCCTGGTTAGGTGCAGATGCTCGGAAAGGGCTTCCCTCCAGCAGGTCTCGGTGAAACAGCTGAAAATGGTTAACTCGCACCTACCAAGCATCAGGCAAGGACGTGGTGGGATCCCAAACTATGAATGTTTACATCAAGAATGAAAAAGTAACTATTATGATGAAAGAAATATTGGTGTGAGTCTCCTTTACAATATTCTCCATTGCTCTGAACACACAGGTCCTACCCGCTCTGGCTGCTTTCTGAAGCCCTTCTGGAGGTCCTCTTTCCTAAGAATCTTTTCATGACCTTTATTTTATTGGTCTTTTTGAGACAGGGTCTCACTGTGCGGTTCAGTCTGGTCTTGAGCTCACTTGGTAGCTCAGGCTGGTCTTGAACTAGCAAAGATCCTCCTGCCTCGGCTTCCTGAGTGCTGGGGTTATAGGCGTGAGACACCACACCCAGGTATTTTATGACCTTTAATATCCTGAATTGATTCAAAACTTCTGTCAAGTAAAAACATTATCCATCTTATTCACTGGGTCAGGTACTGTGTTCCTTCTGGCTCCTACCCCAAAGTTAAAATGACTGTGAAAGGCAAGCATTTTAAATCCATTTAGGACTCTGAGCAGCCATGACAAGACACTCAGGAAAGAGGACTTCACAGCTGCTTCAAGAAGTGGCACAGTGTGGGGGGCATTAACGTCCCTGTGGGCTGCAGCCCTCTGTGCCAAGAGCCACCCTGTGCTGTGCATGCCAGGCTGAGGCTCCCTCCAGGCAAGGGCATGCTATGGTTTGAGTTTGGTTTGTCCCCTCTGAAAACCCATGGTGACATTTAATCCAACTTCAGAGTTACTAAACTGTAAACGTTTTTTAAAAGTTAAAAATTCACTGCATTTTTGATCACCTCTGACACATTCTTATTTTGCACTCAAGGAGCCAAGGCTCAGGGGGTGACCTGTTCCCTCCAGCTCGCATGACTAGCACACATGGTGCTGGGCTCCAAGGGTGACCCACTCGGACCTCTCCAAAGGACCTCTGCCTTGCTAACGGACTGGAGAAGCTAAAGGATGTTGGGAACACTCTGGAGTGGACTCAACGTCTTCTGACAGTGTGGCCAGATGTGGGGGGTTTGTTCTTGCCCCCTGGGCCACCTGAGGACCACCTGATGCCTGCCCCGTGGGTACTCACATCAAGCTTTCGTACGCCATCTCTTTGGCATTGCTGTCTGAGGACGGGGTTGCTGGAGGCTTGGGTGGCGGCTCCTCCTCTTGAGCTGAACCAGAAGCACACAGGGATGTGGTTTTGGTCCTCGTGTAGTGGGCGCACCCCAACCCCTCCACAGTGGAGCACACCTGTGTCCACAGCTCTGAGGCTGTCCCTGTGGGCTGTCGCCCCCATTCCTGAGACGCATGAAGTGCTCTGCGTGCCAGGCTGAGGCTCCCTCCAGGTAAGGGGCTACTGTGGCTTGAGTTTGGTTTGTCCCCCTGAAAACCCACGGTGACATTTAATCCCATTTGAGACCTACTAAGGAGGTGGAGGCTTACTCCCATGTGGTGCTCAGAGGCAGGCCTGTGGGACGGGCTGGCATTGGTGAGGTGGCAGGGTGTGGTCCCCAGGATGGACACTGGTGGTTTTACAAACAGGCGCAGAGACTGGGACGCTCACATGCGTACTCCTCGCCACTTGTCCTGGATGCCCCGCCACCACCAGGGGTGGCCCCTCCACCTTAGACTACAGCCGTGAGCCAAAAACCTCTTCTCTGTCTACCTGACCTTGGCTGTGGGGTTGGGTCACAGGAACAGAGCAAGGACTACTTCACACAGAGGGCATGGAGTGTTCCTCGCCACTCTCGGCGCTGGGCCACCCTGCCTGGCCTTCTTTCTCCTTTCTGCCAGACAAGAGTCTCAGAAGAATCCAAGTCTGGCCTACTTTCTTCTGAGCCCCCTTTCTTATTTGTTTATTCATTCAACAAATGCCTATGCAATACCCACTACAGAGCAGACACTGATCCAAGTGTAAAGGAGACAAAGGCTTGCTCTAGGTCCCGGCTTGAACATCTTCCCACTGACCTGGACTCTGTGTCCCTGCCACAGGGGCCCTGTCATCCTGGGTGACCCGTCAGTGTAATGATATGGTTATTGCAGGGACAGTAACTGCTCTGCCTATCACCAAGCCCCCAGCACCCGCGGGAGGCTGGGGTGTAACAGACACTCGGAAGCTGCGACCAGAGCTGGGACAGGGCTTCCCCACCAGAGGGATGTGGCCTCCAGGGACACTCAGCAATGCGGAGACAGTCGGCAGCCATGGGACGCAGCGGGAAGAGGCCAGGGCTGCTGCTGGGCACCAGGCAATGCCCGGGACAGGCTCCCTGTCGCCCTACAAGACAGTGCCACAGCCAAGGACCTGGGTCCGAGCCGGAGCCCTCCAGGGCTCTTCCCCAGGCTCAGCATCTGCAGCGCGTGACCTTGGTCATTCAGGGCGAATTAGTGACGCACGTCTGAGTTCTTTTTCTTTGTCCTGGTTTGGGCTGATGTTGTCAGAGGCCACCCTGGCTGTGTATCGAAGTGCAAATGGCCAGCGGCACAGAGTTGCCTCTGAAAGGTTCCTGCCCGGCTGCTTTCCAGGGAAGGGCAGCTGCCTGTGCGTCTCACTGCGTCCACATAAAAGATGTCTCAAGTCATCGGTGTTACCCTGGCTCAGCCTGGGCCTCCGGGGCTCTGACATTGTGTGTACTGAGACTCAAAGAGGCTTTGGAGGATGAGGGTGCTTTCAGACAAGCTCTAACCTTGCTCTCATTAGCTGGCCTGGGGCGCCCTGGGGACCATCAGAGGCTGCCCTGACACCAGGGCAACCTTTGGGGTACCTGGATCAGTGTCCTTCAAAGTCGAGATCTCCTCTTCTAGTTTCTTATGGTGCTGGGTTACTTTCTGGAGCCTTTCCTCTAGGCTCACGATCGTCTGCGAGTGCTGCTTGATTTGCTCCTTATATTCCAGGATTTCCTCCTCGAATCCGTGTTTCTGGGATTCCCGCTCGTCCTGGAGGGACTTTATCATCTGCTGGTGCAGCATTATCCGCTCCTCCATAAGGACCTGGGAAAAGCCATGCTTATGAGGTTTTGGGAACTGACAGGGTGATAATAGCAGTGACTGATCCTTTGCACATGCAGGTGCTAAACTGGGGCCCACCTCAGGGCCTTTGCACATACTGTTCCCTCGGTCTGGCACACTTTGCCCCTTCCCTAGCTCCTTGCCTAGTGATCTTTTTTCAGGTTTCAGATCTCAGATTCAGTGTCCTCTCCTTAAAGAGACCTCCCCACACACCTGTCTGCAGGGCAGTCTGAGACCTTTTCTATTTTCTTTGTTTTACTGGCCCTGAGCCCTTCATCTCCATCAGCAATGGCTTTGTTTCTGCGTATTTCACTCACACTGGAATCCTAGCTCCACGGTGGCAGAAACATGCCTCTCACTGCTGTGTGTGCAGCGTTTAGACCTAGACATTTGATCAATAGTTTGAATGAATGAATGAATGAACAGTATACAAGGGAAAAGCAAGTAGGTTTGTATTTTTTAAAACAGAAACTCTGGTGACCCCCAAATGGATCCTTCCCATGACCACACACTGTCTTAGTCTGTGGCCCAGTCACCGGATGCCAAATTCCAGGGCCCCTCAGTCCTTGTCCCCGACTCTACAGGTCCCCTATGATGCTGTTCAGAATGGCTTGGAAAAGGGCCATGTGGGGTCCCCGGACCTTTCATGCTAAGCCAGCGCCTCTCATCAGCGTCTCTGTGTGTGTGTGTGTGTGTGTGTGTGTGTGTGCGTGTGTGGTTTTGCCTCTCAGGGACAGCTGGCCAAGCCTGAGGACGTTATTTTTGGTCATCAGCCCTGGGGAAGAAGCACTGCCACCCACCCTGCGGTGCACAGGAAGAGTCACCCCACCCAGGTGTCTGCGTCTGCGGCCACGTGACTGTGGGACGCAGAGGGGGAATTCTCCTGTCCCCGACGGCCGGGGCTTACCATTTTTGACTTGGCAGTTTCCAGCTCCACCAAGGTTTTATTTAATTTCAGGGCAAGGTTCTCTGCTTTGAGGCTCTCTGCCGCCTTCATTTGCTCCGTCTCTTCCACCTGGGCCAGCGCGGCATTTAATTTATTATTTAAGTCGTCCTCTTTCTGGCCTTTTAATTCGATCTCCTGGACAAACAGCAAGCACCAAGTAACAGCCAGTATTAAATATTCGTCTGTACCCCTCCGTCCTTTCTGAGGTGTCTGGAGGCTCCCCATTAGTAGAGAACACTTGTGACACTCAGCCTCGATCTGTCTCTTTAGGATTTCTGGGTTCTGAGCTGCATTCTGAGCTGATCCCCGGGCTCACTGAGTACGTCTTTTTTCTCTTTTATGAGGCAGCCCTTTAAATATTTCAGGAGAGCTATTGCGCTGCTTTCTAAATCTGTTCTCCAGGAGACAGTGCTGAGTCCTTCAGCTGCACCAGCGCCCTGCCCTGGGGACAGCTACTCCCCGCCCTGCCTTCCGGACAGCCAGACGGGGACCCAGGTGTCATGACACCAGCTCCTCCTGTCCCTGTTCCTGGGTCCCCTGCATCCTGCGTGCCATCTTTGTCAAAATCCTACCCTCCTCTGGGATTTGCTCCTCAAAAAACCTGGGCTCCATGACAGGGCTGAGCTGGGGCTCCCACACATCATTTAATTCAGTTGATGACATGGACTGGGTGCCCTCAGGCTGCGGGGGGCAGTGAGGCTCAGGACAGTCACGTATGTGGCTTGGGTCTGAAAACGCTCACAACTTTGGACCCGCCAGCCCCATACTTTGGAATTTATTTTAAGATGCAAGGCCTGAAGCCCAAGCATCTTTTAACCCAGGGAGAGTGAGAAAGAGCCTCGGGGTCTGGCGTGGGGAGGGGGAATGAATGGGGTCCCCTAACAGCACAGCGAAGATCCAGTCCCTTGGCCAGGGGCAGGTGGAGGAGCACTGTCGGGTGACCTGGAAACATCTGAAAAACGCACCACGTAGGGACACAGCGCCTAAGCCAGGGCGCAGTGTCACAGCACACAGCGCTCGCTGGCATCAACTGACGTGCGTCGGTGGCAATGCCCGACACAAAGGCGCTCTCAGGGTTGTCATCAACATGTCACTCGTGACAATGCGGAATCATGGGTTTTGTGTTCTTCGGAGTAATTTTCTCTACTTTGCAAATGTTCTAGAATGACAGGGGCTCATCGTGCTGTCAGGAAAGGAAACTGATCCTGTTTTTTTTTTTAAACAAAGCAAATATCACCCTCATTACGCTGTTCCTGGCCTCCCCAGGGGACCCTTCGTCCTTTCTGTGCCCCTGCGGAACGCTGCCTACTTTCTGGGCCTTCACCTCGCTCTCGTGGTTGACCAAGTCCAGGGAGGACAATGGCACCCCTCCAGGGAGGGGCTCCTGGGGTCCCTGCTGCTGCCCAGACAGCCGGGTGGCCCAGGGGATGCGCTGGCGCAGGGGTCACCCTGCCTGGGACGCAGCCGCCACCTGACACCCTCACGTCTGAGGCGACTCTGCAGCCTGCCCGGGGAGGGACCCCAGTGTTTCCTGTCCCACCAAGGCTCTCATTCTCCATTCTCTATTTCCTGTTTTGCCTCTGTAGATTAAATTGGTCTTTCTGTGGCTCGTTTGAGTACACTGGCAATTTCAAATCTGTTAGGTGTTCTTACTATAGAAATTCAACCAGGAGGATGTAGAGTTTATTCCTTAAAAGCAGATATAAAATCAGAATTTAATGGTGGCATTCTGAGTCTCAGACAATCCATATCCTGTGAGTTTTTTTTTAATTTGTAGTGTTTAAAAAATTCTAATTCAGAGAAGCAAGCTGTTACACATGATTACAACTTACTTTAAATATCAAGATATACTTTAAACACACCTGCCCACAAATGTGGGAATGGAACAGAAGAACACACTTCAAAGTGAAATTATTTTTGATCTCTTGAATTATTTTATATATAAAGTTTGGATAAACACCCATTTTGGAGGATAGAAAATGCTTTTAAATTATGTCTAGTAACGAAATTCTCAACAATCTCCTTTAAAGATTCTCAGCATTTTATTGGAGATTTACTCAACATTTGAAAATATTCAAACTCTATTTTGTTTTGAGTTTAAGCATTTTTTCAATTTAAAACATTTTTACTGCAAATTAATAAATTATAATGATACGTATTCAGAGAGTGAAAGATAGTGAAGAGTAATTCAGTTAATTAAGAACTGGGTTTTGTTGTGGGAACATCTAAAACGTACTCTTAGTCATTTTGAAATACACAACACGCTGGTATTTATTATACTTCCCACACTGTGTATGGATCTAAGAAAACCAGAATCCAACCCGCTACTCAATGGGCTCTTACACCCTGTGTCAATGCTTCCCCAACCATTCCTCTCCAGCCCCTCTAACCATGATTCCATTCTGCTTTCCTGTGAGTTCAATCGTTTTAGATCCCACACAAAGTGACCACATCCAGTCCCTCGTCTTTCTGTGATGATTTATTTCACTTAGCCTCATGCTCTCCAATTCATCCCTCCATATGTCACAAATGGCAGAATTTCTTTCTTTTTTGGGGCTTAATAGTATTCCACTTGTATATCTACCACATCTTATCTGTGCAGCTCTGATGGATGCTAAGGTTGATTGCGTTCCTGGGAACTGTGAACAGAGCTGCAGTGAATACCGGGGTACAGACACCTCTTCAACAAACTCAGTTTAGGACATTTCAGTAAATGTTCAGAAGTGGGACTACTGGGTAACCTGGCAATAATAATATTTTTAGTTTTCTGAGGAAGCGTCATATAGTTTTCTACAGTGGCTAATTTACATTCCTATCAACAGGATGCAAAAGTCCCTTTTCTCCTCATCCTTGTCAGCTGGAATTTTGTTTGTGATAATAGCTATCCTGACAAATGTCAAGTTGGTCTCACTATGAATTTGCATTTCTCTAAGGACTGGTGATGTTGAGCATTTTTAATGTATTGGTCGACCATTTGTGGGTTCTCTTTTGAAAAGTCTGTATTCGGGTCTCCCCTCCACTTTCTAACTGGATTATTCCTCCTATGGAGTTGAGTTCCTTATACATTGTGGGTCTCAGTCACCCATCAGATGTGTGGCGTCCACACGATCCCTCCCAATCTGTGGCTTGCTTTAGTGCACACAGCCTTTTCATCTGGATGGATTCTCACTGGTCTGCTTTTGCTGTTGCTGCCTGTGATTTTAGAGGCCAATTTAAAAAGCTGTGTCCTACCCGAAGTCCTGCAGTTTCTCCCGAGCGTTCCTCTGACCTTGTATTTCCTGGTGAACACTGAGTTCCCAGGGAGCCGTCTTACTCCTCCGGGTCTGGTTCGAGGCTGTCATCTTCCCCTGAGGTGGCCACAAGGCCCTGCTCGTCGCATTCCAGCCTTATCCACGGTGTCTTAGCAGACACTTCCTCTGGGGCCAGACCGACTGCGGTCACAGTGCCCCGAGCACTGAATGGCGACTTATGAAACCAGCTTTTCTTTACAGCCAACCGCGGTCGCTTGAATAAAATTGGACTCATTCACTGATCTCATGAATCAGCATTTTTTTTCTTGTTGGCATTAATCTCATTCCTGACTCAATTTATTTCCCAGCTTACCTACTTTAAAGTTTCTAATTCTCCTTTTCTCCTGCCCATCACAGATCCATTCTGTGGAAACTGCAGTTCATCACTGGGGAAAGATAGATTTCGGTGAACAGATGCTGCCCGGGGCTCTGGTCCAGCCAGCTTCCCACATGTCTGTGAAGCCACCGCAGCCCGACTGGGCTGAGCTCTGCTTCCCGACAGGTCCAGCTGCGCCCTCTGGGAAGCAGAGCCTGGGGCTGCTGTGGAAGCCTGCGTGCCCCGCTGCCACGCTCCTCCTGCCTGGCATTGTGCAAAGCGCCCAGCATCCCTCGGACAGCTCGAAGATTCCTCCGTCCAGACTCTGGGATGAGGCCAGGAAGGGCAGTTCCCAGAAGTGCTCGTGTGTGGGAGCTTCCTTTGTAGAAAATGACCCGAGACGGGTGTCAAGGGACGTAGAGACCCTTTTCGGGCTCTAACGGCCTGGAAAAATCCTCCCACATCATATTTGCTCCATTTAAATTTAACCCACGATTGCTAGCTCCTGTGCTTGCCAAGTGTTCTGGCTTTGAGATACCGAGTCACTGGCGGGTGCCTGGGTGTGTGCATGTGTGTGCGTGTGGGAATGATGCCCACTGCTTGTGAGGTTCTGGTCCACTACCTCCTTTGCTCTCACAGCACCTGCGCCTGCCGGTCATTATCGGGAACTGCATCTCAAATTCGAAGGTGACGGCAATCTCCAGGAAGAGTTCTGATGGGACACAGCCTGGGGAGTCTGAGGAGCCCAGATATCCTGACATCTATCTCCAGCTAGCTTCTGTCTTACCCACAGATAGTAGAGGAGAGGGGTAAAGATTAAGGATTCTGGACCCAAGGAATCCTGGGGTCGGGTCCTGCCCCTCCACTTCCGAGCCCCGAGCTCATAATAATCCCATCAGCAGTCACACATGTGGCGCTCTGTTCACCCTGTGTGGGTTCTCCCCTGTGTCCTATGTGTGTCTTGGTGGCCACACACACAGCACCTGTCACTTGCACTTCATGTGTTGGACACCAAGGCACAGCGATGGTCCCATAGCCAGCGTGAGGCAGAGGCAGGACTTGAACCCTGACCTTCCAGCTTCAGGGCCCATGCTGGGCATGAATCTTACCTCTCGCTGCTTGGTCAGGCGGTTCTCCAGGTCCTGCACCTGCCTCCGCTCCTTGTCTAAAGCCTCCTTTGCTTTGTGGTGCTCGTAGGCAATGCTGTTCTCACAGATCTGCAAGTCAAGGGAGGGGCGTTTAAGCATCCAAAAGGAAGGGAGACTCTGCTACAAGAGGGGGAGGATTCGGGCAACCAGGGCGGCGGGGCTCATAGGACAAGGTGCCTGGGGAGAGAGAGGCCAGAGTGGGCACAGCTGGGGTGGGAGCCAGGGGCCAATCTGGGTGGGGTGGTTCACATGGAGAGAGGGATTCGGTCGTTGGAGATTTCCAGCCGGTGTTCAGGAAATGTCCTGCTGATTAGGCACAGGTCACGTTGCTGAGCGCAGAGCCACCAGCTAAACCAGCAGGTGTCGGCAATAGGGAAGTACCTCTTACTGGGAAGTTCCTGGCTGGCAGGAGTTGGAGTAAAAGAAACAAAAGCATACATACTTCCTGTCTAGCGGGGTGTGTGCTTGTGGCTTTGCAGGAGGACACAGGCAGTCTCCCCAGCCTCCAGAGGCGGGGGCTCTTAAATGTCACATCTAGCACTTTTGGAAATGACAGCACAGACTCTGGGCCTAGGGGTGGGGAGGCACCTGACTTCCCTCTGTCCAGTGACCCCCATTTTACAGGTGGGAACACAGAGGCTGGTGCTGAGGCAGTAAGAGCACAAGGGACTCCCAAGGTCATGCCACTAAGCAGAGGAGGTAGGACCGTCATGGACACAGTGCCCCTGCCCCACCACGGTGCCACCCTGGTCCAAACCTCATCCTAGCTGGAGGCAGGAGCTGTGTTTGTACCCCGCCAGCCAGCAGGGCCATACATGTGAGGGGTGCTGACGAGGGCAGCTGTGCCCTCAGTGTGGGTCCCCGTGGAGCTGCAGCAGTGTTCATGAGCCTCCACTCAGGCCTCTGCCCAAGGCTTCCCGGCCCCACCCTGCACTCCAGCCTCACCTGCAGGTGCACCACGAGCAGGAGCACCACACTCTCCCCAGACCAGGGCACGGAGGGCCAGAGCTTGCCAGGGTCACAGCCTGCTAGCACGGCCCGCCTGCTGGGCCCGTGCTGACCAGCTCCTCCCTCTGCCCCGCACTGTCTCGCTGCAGAGTCCTGCCCTGGCTGCCTTTCTGTTTCCCTGCCCACCCCGTCCCGGGCCCACCCAGCTCAGCGCTCTTCCCTCCAGGGCTTAGTAGCGGTCCTCTACTTGGGAGCCTCCCAGCCCCGTCTCCCCACTGCTCTGTAAACTGTGCTTTACTTTATCGCCCTCTGGGTGCTCACTCTGGGTTACAACTTGCCCTGTTTACTGGCATGGGCACGGAGATAAGACCTCTGGGCACGGCCCAGTCCATCTGGTCTCTGTAGTGTCCCTGGCACCCAGAGCAGGCCTTACACACAGGGAGGTGTGGAGCTCAGAGAACACAGACGGATGAATGAAACCCAGTCACGTGATTCCCAGAGCCACCAGTCTGTTTCTGAAAGCTCCTCAAGATGTCACTTGAGGGCCACCTCTGTCCCCAGGTCCTGTCTTTGTCAGGTGGCACTTCTTACCCCTTGCACAGGCCGGGGTCCTTGGTGATCACGTGACACACCCTTTAGGCCATCACTGACATGGGGTTGGGGATCTTTCCCAAGCCATGCTGGAGGCTGTGCCACACACACCTGTCTACCACAGCGCTGGCAGAGGGACCACCTGGTCAAACCCCGGTTGTCTTGTGGGGGTCCCTTTGCCTCAGGTAGCTGAGCCACGGAGCAGGTGGAGGCTTCCTTATGCAGGTGCTGCTCTCAGGACCTTACGTCTAACGGCACTGGACCAGAGGGGCTGGGGCTGCACTCCCATTTTACAGAAGAGGGCACTGAGGGCTGGGAGGTTTGCTCACCTGCTCAGGTCATCTGCCCACCTGGCCACCTCACTATCGGACACCTTCCAGGGGACCTGGCTGCTCATACCTCCTTCTGCTGGGTCAGGTGGTTCTCCAGGTCCTGCACTCTCCTCTTCTCGGCCTCTAGCGCCTCCTTTGCTTTCCTCTTTTCCAGGGCCATGCTGGTCTCCCAGACCTGAAAGCCAGCGAGCGTCCTCGGTGCCTGCACCCAGGGCAGAGCTAAAGCAATGCCACTCACCACGCCAGCAGCCACGACTCCCCTCCCACCACGACCTGTCAGGAAATGCTGCTATAGTGGCCCCATTTTATAGATGAGAAAACCAAGGAACAGGGGATGGCGGAGTCCCAGGGTTTGCATCTCAAGCCCACAGCCACCACAGAGGCTACAGGGCGGGGACGGGAAGTGCTGGGCTTCCTGTCACCTCAGCGACCACTTCTTTGATGGGAGAAGTACCATGAATAACGTAATATCCCATTGCAGAAATAAATCTGTGAAAGAGAATCCAGTGCCAAGAGCAGGAGGGTGGGCTGCGTGACTGAGCCAAGTCCCCCGAGGACTCGCAGGGTTGGGGAGCACGGGTGGCTACGTGTGGGTCCCACTCGAGCTGTTTCCCCTGGAAGTTACTTGCTGACCAGATGTCAGCTAATGGGTTTAACACAAGCTACCTAAGGAGAGGAACCGCTGCCCTAACCCACTTCCATTCACCCCAAGAAGGGGCACCTCGACTTTTAAACGAGCACCTGTCAAACAGCAGTTTGACTGCCAGGCATTCGGAACTTGGAGCACAATTTCTGTTATAATCTATGGGGGGGGGGCAAATTAGCCCACTAAAAGCATTTAATCCACAGCACGGTTGAGACGTCGTGTATTCTGAGGTGGAAAGTGCTTTTCAAAGCTCTGCTGCTCCACTGGCCCAGCCCCCGTCCTAAACAAAGCCGATGAGCAGTGACAGCGTGGGAATGTCACACTTGTTTTGCAGTCCAAGGTGGCTTTCAGAGTGCGGCCTTCTCCTGTGGACTGTGGAAAAGGCTTCATGGCACTTCCCAGTGACATCTATGGGTTGCGGGGGAGCCGCCGTAGTCACAGGGAGGCGTCCCACTGGGAAGAGACTGGCCGTGCCTGCTCTGAGCCCCAAGTGTGACCCCGCGGTTCTGCGGTCCTTAGAGAGTCACTAGTAAAGTGGAGGAAGATCTAACCAGAGGCCAAATCAAATCACACCTGAGGCTGAAGGTGGCCCGCGGCACCCGCATGACAAACGGAAGGGGATCTGCGGGAGTGGCTGATGTGTTTGCAGACCTGGGGTGGCCCAGGCACAGGTCATCTCAGTAACAAAGCTCTGGTCTTCTCCTGAAGTTACTGTGACCTTGAAATCCCTAAATTCAAGGGCCTTCCCAGCCCAGGCAGACCTCTGGGTGGCTTTGATATAGGTGACTCCTTAGAGGTCTCCTCCCCCTCTTCTGCCCCAAGACAAGGGAAGGGCTGATGACCGTATTTAAGGAGGGCTGCGGCACACAGCTGTGAAGTCTCCTCCCCTGGATGCCCCTCCAGGGCCTACAAAAAACGAGAGGCAGGTGTGGTGCCATCTGCGTCACATGCAGATGTCTAGGTCGAACACCATCAGCCCTCTCCCCTAGGAAGGCGACTACTGACACAGCTGTGTCAGCCAGGAAACAGCCCAGCTGGGATTTGAACTCTTATCTCATCCCACTTCAAGGATTGAGGGATCAGTGGAAATCACTCAAGGGATCTGAGGGTGACCACAAGCTAAATGCAAATCAGCAGCATCACAGAGCTTCCTGCCCTCCCGCCCCGTAGCTGCTTTGGCTGGGTTAACAGAAGCGTGACATCTTTATCAGGAGAAGTGGAAATGAACGCCAGGTTTTCAGGCTTTTCAAGAGATGACGGAAATCTGGAGCTTTTAAAAAAACATCTTAGGAATTTAAAAATCGAACATTCTGGGGACAAATACAACATTTCTACAACCCCCTTCTAGCAGTCTGTGGTTCTGGGGATCAGAGCTAGCCTGGGGGGCTTGCAGGAGAAGCGGGGGTCTGGGCTGGCAGATGTGGGGGCAGATTCAACTTCCGGTTATCCTGTGGAGGAGGAGGTGATGTGTTTCGCAGGATGGAGGCCGATATCCTTCTAGTGAGAAAGACTTTGACTCATCTGCACCTGAAGGCAAGCAAGTCTCCTACAGTTTTGGGGACCCACATCCCAGATGGCTTCCCCAGGATGGGAGGCTCCTCGGAGGTGGTGCTAAGGCTGGACGCATGTAGGGCTGGTGGAGGATCTATAAGCCCTGAAGTCCCAGGAGGCTATCTCTCTTCATTTCTGTACTTTGGAACCCAGTATCTGTCACTTGCCCTGACTCGTGTCTCAAGCCCCAGCTCTGGGTGTGTTTTACACTGTTCACAACTTTCTCCCACTGGTTGTCACAGCTCCAGCTCCAGGCTCTCTGCGAGTCCTCCGTGCATCTCAAAGCAGCCAAGCACTGGTGGTTAGCTAGGAAGGCGCGATCACACTCTGTTCCCAACCCCAGGCCTACACTTTAGAGATTACTTCTATCTGGGCATGGTAGACTGTGTCTGTAATCACAGCTCTCTGGGAGGCTGAGGCAGAAGGATTGCAAGTTTGAGCCCAGCCGGGGAAACAGTGACGCAGGGAGACCTTGTCTCAAAGTAAAATAAATAAATAAAGTACCAGGAATGTAGTTTAATACAAATACCCTGAGTCCAGTCACCGAGAAGGAACTGACTTCCACATATCCACAAATCCCTCAAGCAACCCCTCTGGAGCCCGGCCTACCTCCTTGTGGTGGGCCAGGCGGTTCTCCAGCTCGCGGATCCTCCTCTGTGCCTCCTCTAAGGCCTCCCTGGCTCTGTCTTTCTCCTGGACTGCGCTGTCTTCCAAAGCCTGCAAGTCGGTGGCAGTTGCTGAGTGTCCCAGCGACCATGGCAGGATTCCGGGCTCTGCAGCCTATGTGTGGTCTGCCATAGTCCTGGGCTCACACCCGGGAGACCAAGGGCAGAGGAGCCCAGGAGCTTGGGGCGAGGGCTCTGGAGGAGCTGCCTTAGGTTAGAGCAGGGTGCAGCCTTTCCAGCAGGGGCTCTGGGCTGGCTCCCCCACCCCAGCCACTGCAGTGTACCTCCTTCTGCTGGGCCAGCCGCTCCTCCAGCTCACACGCTCTCTTCTTCTCCTCCTTGGCTTTGTTTCTCTCTTGGGCAACATCGTCTTCCAAAGCCTGAAAGTCAAAGACGGTGGCTGAGTATCTGGGTTGCCATGGAGGGGATGTGGACGCTGCCAGGCAGGGTGACTCACTCTGCACTGCTCACCACACCCATGGGACAACGTGGGCAGCAGAGCCCCTGATGGAGCCCTCCCACCCCTGGAGCCCTGGGTAAGCGAGGACCTATGCACGGGAGCCTCAGTTTCCCTGTCTGTACAACAGGGACAGCACTGGTGACCTGAGGAGTGGAGAGTGTGGTAGACATGAGATACCTGCTCCCCACAGTGACACCCTCTACCCCAACTCTGCAGGAGAGGAAATAGAGTGTTTACAGAAATGAACTCCGCCTCCTGGACCAGGAGATCACACACCCAAGACTCAAACCCTGGCCCATTTGATTCTTAAACCTGGGTTCTAATCAGGCATCAGCAAACAATGGCCTATAGAACTGCTCTGGCCCACTGCCTGCGTTCTACAAATAGAGTTTTATCGGAACATTCCCTGTTTTCTGTGGTCTTGGGCTGCTTTTGCACAGTGGCAGAGTTGCAAAGTCACCACAGAGACTACATGGCTGGCAAAACTGAAAATACCCTGTGATTCTTTATGGGAAAAGTTTGCCAACCCCTGATGTAAAGAAAGCATTAGTGTGTGGGTAAATAAAGTTGTCCACAACTCATAATAAGAGAAGGAAAGGTAGGTTTGCTTTGCCACTGAAGCCAAGTGCTAAAACAACCCAGAGTCAAGTTATCAACACAAGCAGCTCAGGAAGGGTGCTACAGTTTAGATCAAGAATGAGTCATGAGCTCACAGGGGGCCTTTGGAAGGCCTGGGGATCATGGGGCGCCAGAGCTGCCTGGCTGTTAGGAGGTACAGCCTGGTCAGAGGTGGGTTGTGGGGTTACAGCCCTCTTCTGGTTCCCCACTTCTCTCTGCTTCCTGGCCGCAGGACATGAGCAACCTTCCTCAGCGGAAGGTCCTTCCATCATGTGGCTGCCAACCATAGGCTGAAACTTTGGGAATTTGAGGCAAAATAAACCTCCCCTCCTTTGTGTGTGTTGGGTGTTTTGTTCCCAGTGACAAGAAAGGGACTGAGACAAAGGGTGACCTAGAAGGGGACTGACACCGCTTCCTCCCTCTGCTGGGGCTGGTACAGTGACATTTATGTGTTTAAAGGGCTTTGAAGGCCGCCTATAAAATGCTTCCTGCCAGGAGCATCACAATTTGGGCACTAGGGAAGCCCAGGTGGGCGCCCAACGGCATGTTTCACATGGTGAACCTCAAGCCCCACATCCCAACAATGGAAAAGTGGACCACGGATCAAAAATAGGACATCTGGGAGCTGGTACGAAAGCGAGAAGTGGTCTGAGAGGAACCGGAAGTGTTGGAGAGGGGGGAAGAGCCTGGGAGCTTCCTGGCGAGGGTGCTGAGCTTTGCATTCTGTCTAGTTTGTTCTCCAAGCCACGCCACTCTGACTTAATATTAAGGTGACTCCACGGCGGGAGTCACCTGCACCTTGGAGCAAGGCTGAGTACTTTTCGAGTCTCCAAAATGACAAAAGTGTAGCCAGAGTCATGCGCCACTGACCTAGGATGCTGGGAACCAAGGGGGTCAAATGCCTGGCGGTCCCCTGAATAGTGAAGAGCTGCAGATCCTCAGCCAGGAGGGGAGCAGGCCTATCAAAGGCTGTTTCCGGTCTTCTCCACACATCTGGGGAGGGGAGCTTTGAAAGCCTCACTGCAAGACCTTGCTCCGGGGCCCAGTCTGGTCCCACCTGTGCCACGCGGGAGTCCCTGGGCCCACTGAGGCTCCGACTGCGTTTCAGCCCCATCCCCAGCGGATTCCCTGCATCTTAGCCCTAGGGAAGTGCTGCTGTCAGGTGCCTCTGACTGGCCTGGTTTCTAGAAAAGTGGGGAGCAGTCTGAATACTTGTTTTCCTTGATACGCATCCAGAGAGAGTGAAAGACTGAAACAGACTGAAATTTGGCACACGCTTGGAAAGTCTGTCCCCTACAAACCAGGACTGCAGTAATGAGTCCCTATTGTGTATTCAACTGCAAGGCAGAATCGAATGTGCTAGCATTTCCCCGATCCAGCACTCTCGCCTTTCCAAGTGGATTTCACTGTTTCATTAATGTCGACCCACAGCATGAACCCAGGCGTCGCTCAGATTTTCTCAACTAAGCACACGCCCTCCCGGGCCCTCAGAAAAGGCCCTTTCGTCAGTTTCCAGCCGTAAAGAGAACGGCAGTGACGCCTCACCTCCTTCTCCTCCATCAGCCGCCTGACTCTGGCCTTCATCTCCTCCTCTAGCTCCAGCCTCTCCTCCGTCAGCCTCTCCTTCTCTGCCATGTGCTCCCTCAGTGTCTCCTGCAGTAGAGTCTGCTGCATTTCCTGAGAGCTGTTGATCTGGGCCTACATGGAGGAGAAAGGAGGCCGACTCTGATGGGGACAGCAGGAAGGAGTCCTTCCCATGGACCTTTACCAACTGTCCACCTTTCATGGGACAAAGGTGTTCAGCAGAGTTCCTGCAGACGAACTGTACTTCGCCTAGTTACTGGCAAGGAGGCAGTAGAGGTTTAAGAGTTCGGACTCTGGATCTAGATAGAAAATTAGCTCTAGTTGCTTCTGAGATGTCTTCATTTTGGAAATGAAGTATCTGTGCCTCACAAATCAGGGTATCACGGTATCTGCATCTTAAGAGCTGTAAGGATGAAATGCAGTAACAATGGAAAGGTGTTAGCAGATTGCTTAATACGTAGTAGGTGCTCAGTAAATGGTGGTTGGAATGGTTACTTTCTATTTTCTGGGAAAAGGAGAAAAAACAGTGAGCTGTGAGTCAAAAGGTCTGAGCTTTTGCCTTGATTCTTTTACTAATTAGCTGTGTGGCAATCAAATAGTCAGCAACCTCTTCAGACTTTGCTGGCTGTATCTGTAAAATGAGGAGAAGGGGCTAGACCAGCAGTTGACAAACTGCAGTCCACAGGCCAGATCTGGTCCACCGCCTGTTTTGTAAATAAAGTTTTATTGGAACAGAGCCATGTCTGCCTTCCCATTTATTTATATGGTATCTCAGACTGCCATTGCTTCTATCATAGCAGGATTTAACTGAGACCCAGTGTTCTGCTAAGAAAAAGGTATTTACGGTCAGCTCTTTGCAGATGTTTGTTGAGCCCTGGACTCAGGGCTCTGTGGCTGAGTGGAAGAGTGGTCTTTGGTTCTCCAGCCTTCCTCCTATCTATGGCTTGCTTGCAGGGCCAGCCCATAGCCTTCCACTGGCATGGAACTCAGTCATGTGACCTGTTTTGGCCAATAGGATGTTAGTAGACACAAAATAATCAGTGAACTGAAAAACCTTGCATGATTGGTTCTGTTTTCTCTCCTCCCTTTGCAGCCTCCAGGACAGCAGGTCCAGACTGGCTTGTTCAAAAATGTGAGACTTTAGGAGCAGAATTGAGTTGTTCCAGAGACCATTCTAGATCAACCAAGGCCAGTGAACACCCAGACGAATGAGCAAACCCATCCAAGCTCAGCAGAGCAGCCTGGCTGAGGACCCCTGACAGAAGGATAGACAGGAAATAGTAATGGTCGGATGTGGTGTTTACTGTGCAGTATTATTATTGCCAATGGCTAGCATGCTGACACAATCCTCAAGGATATCTACCTTTAGTATAATTCCTTCCTTTTGATAATTCTGTGGTCTAGACCATGGGCACTGCCCTTCCACTGCATTTAATAAAGATCATTTTCAAGATCTGATAGCATTTAGTCTTTTGGGTTTTTGACCAAGGAAAACAAGCAGTGTGGTCAGCCCAGGAGCTCAAGCAGGGGCGAGCACCCTGTCTCTGCCCTGGGCTGTGGGTGAGCTCAGCCACCCTGCTGAATCTCTTCATGTGCTAATGGAGAAATCATCTCACCGCTTGCTGGATGTGGGCTAAGTCCACAAAGCCAACTCACATTTCAATGCACCGTGCAGTACAAATGTCAAGAAGGAGCTAAAGTGATCTTTGAAAAAAAAAGAACTTAAAAGAATTACCTGGAGTTCCTCGGTCTGGCTCATAAATTTTTTGGAATGCTCCAGAAGACACAGGAGATATGAAGAGAAGCCTTGAAAAAGAGAAGCAGGCAGAAGGTTGGTGTCAGTTCCACAGCACCTTCGCTTTCTGACTAATAAGGAAGCCTGTCCCACAGGGATGCAGGCAGCTCCATCCTCCCATCCGGGTACCTGAGCTGCTCTCTGACTTGTATTTTTAAAATAGTAGAGATTTCTCAAAAGACTAGGATTGGAAGTTCCATTCAATCCAGCTATTGCCCTCCTGGGTATTTTCCCAGAAAAACTGAAAAGGTCATGTCACAGTGATATATGTTCACCCATGTTCATAGCAGCACAATTTGTAACAGCTAAATCTTGGAAACAACCAAGATGCCCATTAACTGCAGAGTGGATGAAAAATATGTGGTGTTTTTATACAATGGAATATTACTCAGCTATAAAAAGGATGATCTTGAGGCCTTTATAGGTAAATGGAGGCACCTGGAGACCATACTCATAAATGAAATAAAGAAGAATCATATTTATAAACATCAGCATTGTCTCGCTGGTGTAAAAAGTAATAAAAATGGTAGGAGTCATAAGATCCAAAATGTGTAATAGCTATTGTAAAAAAGAAAGGGAAGGAAAGTGCTCTAAAGGATATAACTGCATGTATGTTTAATTGTGTAAGATAGACAACCATATTACTAAGTTTTTGTTGGATCAATGAACAGAACGGTTTGCACTCTTACTGGTTGATTGTCCACTTTAATTTTGCTTTAATTTTGTGACTAGAACAACTGTTTCTAAGATGACAATATGTAATTTTTCTAGTGATTTCTTAGCATTAATTTTTTGAAATTCTGTATTATTTCTACCCTTTTTTTCTGTTTTGCTTTTTTCTCATTAAATAAAAAATAAAATAAAATAAAACAGTTGATAAACTTGGTTGCACCAGAATCTGAGTTTCTTTTTAGAGGAACCCACCAGCAGAACACCATTTTTCGAGTATGGACTGTGTGTAAGTCGTGCTCAGTGTGGGGGCGGTACAGAGCCACACCCACAGGGCCTTGCCCTTGGATCTGCGAGACGAGGTCTAAATACCTGCTGGGAACATGTGGGGATCCTTGGCAGCATGTTGGTGACAGTGAAAGAGGGGAGCGTGTGAAGGTCTCAGAGGAAAGGGGCACCATTCCCAGGATGGAATCAAAGAAGGCTGCTTGGTGGAGAAGCCACACACTGTGGCCATTGCACCCACAGCAGACAGAGTGACAGGGGAGGGAGTTGCACGACATGGCATTTGGTTGGCTGGATGGGCACCCCCACTGCCGCTGCTCCTAATGCCAGGAAGTGGGGGAACACATCTTACGCAGCAAAAGAGACTTTGCAAATGTGTTGTGTAGGATTTTGAGATGAGAGATTATCCTGGATTAGCCAAGATGGCTCAGTGTAATCACACTGGTTCTTAAAAGCAGGAGACGGTTAGAGATTTATCTACGGACAGACAGAGGGAAGTTGATGCAACAGAAACATGAGTTGAAGATGCTATGCTGCTGGCGTGGAAGACAGAGGAAGGAGCCATGAGCCAAAAAACCAAAACTCTAGAAGCTAAAAAAAGAAAGGAAGAAGATTTCCCCCTCGATCCCCCAGCAGGAGCTAGCTCTGCCCCCTGCTTCCTCCTAGGGAAACTGAACTTGGACTTTCAGCCTCCAGAAACAAATACATGTTTGAAGCCAGTAAGTTCACGGTTAATTTGTCACAGTCACAGGAAACCACTCCAGGGGTGAAGGCAGGTAGGGCGAGGCGAGGAGGAGCCAGAGGTGGACCTTAGGGTGAGGTCTGTCTTTGGCAGTCTAGGGCAGTAGCCTAGAATATGCCGACCTGATTTAAACCTCAGGTAAATGTAGGGAGTGTGCCCTGTGAGCCTGGCCATGGGTGCGTCATGCACTGCAACAGCCTGCCATCGTCCCTAACTCTGAGCTAGGTGGCTGCCAATGGCTGGGCCAGGACCCCGGCTCTGGTGCCTGCCACTGCAGGGTCTGAGTCAGGGCTGCTCCGGCCACCAATGCAGCAGCCAGGTGGCTCGATGAGACGTGTTTCTGCAGAACACCAAGTGGGGTGAATTAGATGAAAAAGAGCCGCAGGTCGTCCTCACACAGTGCTCCCAGCGTGGCCACAGGGCTGTCTTCTGTGCTGAGGATGTTCAGCAGCATTGCAGGCCTCTGTGCTGCAAGCGGGGAGGAGCCCCACTCCCTGCCCCAGTTATAACAGACGCAGCAGCCTCTGGACGTTGCCAGCTGTCCCTTGAGTGGCAGAATCCTCTCCTCTGAGTCAGAGAGCTCAAGGGACACCCAGTATTCAGAGTTGATATCCTCAACCCAGCATAGGAGAAAGGAGGACAGGGGATGGCCAAGCTGTCTCTCAGATATGTTGAGTTTGATCTTCTGGAAGGCTGATGTTCACCCAAGGAGGGCTGGTCAGTGTGGAGCTGGTCAAATCTGGTGGCAAGGCCAGCCCTGTGCATCCAGGGATCTTCACATGAATTAGCAAAGGGCTCCCTTCCTCCTGGTGGCAGACCCAGGCTCTACTTGCCGCCCCAGTCTGTCCCCATTAAGCAAGACCTGACCTGCACTCTGTTTTGGAAGCCGTGCCTGGAGACATTTGTTCCACTTGGATGCTCGCTGCAGTGAGCTGTCTCTTTGTGAATAAGGAGGCAGCGGAGGGGAGGACCAAGGGCTGCCCTGCAGGACCCACCTATGTTAGGGACGGGGACTGGTGAAGCAAGCCCCCTGCGAACAAGCAGAATAGGTCTGAAGAGAGGCAGGAGCACAGGCTCTGGAGCAAGCAGGACGAGGGTTTCAGGAGAACCAAGAGCACTCGCTGCCTGGCTGGAGGGAGCATGGCGCAGGGGAAGATAGCACTGTGAGGCCTGCAGGGGTTCACGGGTTACTTGGCAGGAACAAGGCCAAGAGCAGAGAAAACAGGAAGCTGGCAATGGTCATGGGGTGTGGCACACTTCTTCAAGGCCATTGGTGGAGTCAGGCATGGGAACAGTGGGTTCCAGTTATTTTTCAAGATGGTGGTACCATCTTGGAGTGCATATTTGATGGCGAAGGGAAGGAGGCAGGAAGGTAAGAAAGTCTGTGGGTGCCAAAGAAAGGGGGTTGTCATTCAGGACCCCAGGCCCAAGGTGGGACACAGCGTAGGGAAGAGCTGCATCTGGGAGGAGGATGCTGTGGGGATGAGGGGGGGGAGGAAGCAGAGATGGGGACAGCAAGAGGGGCAGGGGATCGAATGTGCTCCTGCTTGGAGGCTTGAGCTCCAGCCACGCTTCCTGAGACCTTACAGCATGGAAGACTGAGAACAATAACATAATAGCAATGTCTGTGGAGTGTTATGCGCCTGCTATGTACAGGCACCAGTCGGTAGTTTCACCCCTACTTTCTGATCATCAGGATCAATGTGGCAAAGTAGTCTTTTCATATTTACAGGAGAAACACAAAAGTTCACCAAGCAAAGGCATCGGACCTGGCGAGTGGCAGTGTCAGGATTCAGACCTAGGGCTGTCTTCTCTTTTACAGGAGGGTGGAGCAGTGGATAGGCCAGTGGGCAGGGCTCCTAGGAGAGGTACACTTCGAGGACACCGAGATGGTGGAAGGTGAGGTGGCCCGGCTGCCACTGGATTGGGCTATGGTGAGTATAGGGATTGTGATGGTTGAGTGTGCCTGTGACCCATGACCCAGGAAGTGAAAGAGAAGGGCTGAAGCATGCTGGGATCCAGAGGATGGAGGGGAGGAGGGGGTCGAGGATGCTGAAGGGGGAGAGGGAGTGTTGGAGCGTGTTTCTGAATTGGATGATGATCCATGATCATAGTGGGATTTTGCTCTTAGGAGAGGAGTGGGTCTTCACTGTGTTTCTGGCTAGGAAAGTTTTATATGTTCAGGACAATAACCCAAACATTCAGAAACCCAGAATGCTGTATCTTCAGTGGTCTGCATAGTGGCCAGCATATAGTAGGTCCTCCATAAATAGCTATTGAGAGTCTAAATACAAGTAAAGCTCCGAGGGGACCCTAAGTGGCTGGGACAATTCTCTCAATCATGAGACGTCTTTTTTTTCCCAGATTTTTGTTTTGGTCACATACTTTTTTTTAAAAAGACAAAAAATGAGAGCACATGATACATATTGCATTGCAATTTGCTTCTTGTTCCATTAAAGGCATTGCCTATCTTGGATATTTGAGATCAGTTGATTTCCCGTGTGTGCAGGGGAGTTCTTTCATTTGCAACAAAATCTTGCAGAAATGGACACAAATGGCTGAGCGTGCAAAGAATAATGTTAAAAGTCCTTTCATTTTCTTATCAAGCAAGCCTGGGAAGCCGGCGAGGGTGGTGGCAGCTGACTTACAAGGCTCCTGAGCTGATGGCCGTCTTCCCAGTGGGCTGGAAGCCCTTCCCCAAATGGACAGCTACGGACGGGCACTGGACCCCTACAAGGCCTCTCCTTCTGGGGTGCTCGGGACATCACCCAGCAAGACCTCGAGCGGTTTCCCTCTACTTTTAGACCACTTGGAATCCTGTGGGGATTTGGGCCAGGATTTATAGACATGCTTGTCATGTATGTCACATTGCTTAGGATACAGTTCTAAGAGCCGGGTAGTATGGTAGTTAAGAGCCGGGGCTTTGAGGATGGAGCCTGGGATTTACCACATGAAGCAGGCACACTAGCGTGACTCTAAGAGGGGGGTTGGAAAGGACTGTTTCTGCTGCCACCCTCCTGGGCTAAGGAAACCAACACTAGTGGCCAGGTAGGCCACTATGGTGTGGGTAAGTGAGGTTGAGTAGCCACAGGTACTTGGGGCTAGTGAGGACACCAGTGCCCATTTACTAAATAAAGGCTTGTGTGACCAGGGACTACCATAGTGCCTCACAGTGACCCCATGATAGTAACGGAGGTCCAGAGATGTCAAGTTGCTTTCCCATGCAACAAATAAGTACATGGTTGAAATTTAAACCTAGATAGTCGGCCGCCAAAGTCCAAATTCAGGGCCATTAATTACACTATGGTGCCAGTGGGGCTTTACTGGTGCTACAGTGGAATGTTCCCAGTGAAACTTACTCCCCAAAGTCACATGTGAATGGCATTTGGAGGCAGGGCCTTCGGGAGGTGATTAGGGTCAGGTGGGATCATGTGCATGGGGCCCAGGTGATGGCACCACTGCATTTGTAAGAAGCAGAGTGGGTGTGGTAGCACATGTGTGTAATCCTAATAGTCTATGAGGCCGAGGCAGGAAGACTGCAAGTTCGAGCCTGGGCAAGTTAGCAAAACTCTCAAGACAAAAAATTAAAAGAAGGGCTAGGGATGTGACTATGTGTGAAGGCCCTGGGTTAATCCCGATACCAAGAAGAAGAGGAGGAATGAGAAGCAGAGGCAGAGGAGGAGGGAGGTGATGTTGGTGATGATGGTGATGATCATGGTGACAAGGATGGTGGCCATAAGGAAGGTGGTGACGGCTGTGATGATGGGGTCAAGGGTGATGATGGTGACCGTTACCATAATGGTAGTGACAATGGAAGTCATTATTCATGATCAAGCACTGATATTCTAGATGCCATTCCCAGCATCTTTCATACCTGTGTCCCCTCTGAACAGCTCTTACCCTGTCCCCACTATGGGTATGAGGAAATTGGCTCCAAAGCTGTCTTTACACAGAGAAGACGGCTTAGGGTGTTTCACGTTACTGAAGCCAACAAGGCTGCCCCATCTCCTCGTCACCACCACAAGCATCCAGGAGCCTTCTGAGCTCACTGTTTTCCTGAGGGAGGGCAGAGGCTGTGGCCATCTAGCTCCTCTCAGGTCCTCAGCGCTGTGCTCAGTGTCTGAACTCTCGGGACTTCCCAGAGTGTCCCTGAGTCTTCCGACTCGCTCCACGAAGGAGGTGAAGGAGGTGAAGGAGGCGAAGGAGGCGCTGCGGCTGTCTATTGTGAAGGCAAGATAAAGAAAACCCCACAGTGTTTAAAGCAGTCACGCAGGAGGATCACACTGAGGGCTTTGCGGTCCTAACGCTTGTGTCTTTCACTCAGGACCCTGCACCTCCTCCAGAAACCCAGCAGGACCCCAGCTCCGTGCACTTCTCAAAGGGCAGCTTGTCATTAACCTGGGAAGGGACAAAGGTAAGATTTGCCATTTCCTAGGGTAAATGGCTCCTTTTTCTCTGCTCCTCTCCTTGCACAGGCAGTCTGTGCTAGGAATTAGGGACTCCAGCAGAGACGACAGGGAGTATTCCAGCTCAGTCCTTTCTTTTTGTCTTTAGGCCCTCACCCTAGTGTAGTTTGTAGAGAAGAGGAAATATCTTTACCATGAACTTCATCTCCTGCTGAGGGGATGAACGATGGGTCCTCCTCATTAACCAGTCTGTTTATCCTTTCCTCCCTGACTTCTTAGAGCAACGTCACTGGAATCACGTAACACAGTCACTAGCCTGGCGTTTGGCCAACAGGAGTTCTACAGAACAGTATTCAAGAGATGCTAGCTGGAGATCGGGGCAGCAAGAAAGGAGACCTGAATTTTGGGGACTCACCTTTTTTATTCCATTTCTGGGGATCCACAGTAGGTACTAACACAAGAGGGATTCTGCAGGGACCGTTTAATGTCACTCACATCTCACGACTCTGCAGTCTGACAAGTGCTGCCCACAGCCAGTCTGTCTCAGCCGCTCTGACAGCTTAACTTCACAGCCACATTGCTTTACCGAAACATACGGCTAGGTTTACAGACACAGACGTCGGGGACCTGAGACGGGCCTGGGAGCAGCCAGGGGACAGTGCACAGGTGGCGCTGCCCCGCTGTCACTGCAGCTCCAACGTGGAGCAACAACCAGAAGGCCGGTCCACGCTCTCCCTACATCAGCTCACAACTCTGCCGTGGTGACAGTGACCGCAGCTGACAGCACCAGCCCTGGCCCCTCTGTCCTGCCTCTCATCACTCCCATTTCTCTATGCTATGGTGAGGGGCAGGCACTTACCAAAAAAATCTTATTTTGGCTTTTGCCTGTCTTAGAGAACTTTATACTATCTTCTAGCTGGGGCTGTTGAAGCACCTGCTGGAGGAGAAAAGTCATCCTGTTCTCTCATTGCCATGAGAAGGTCAAATTTACAGTTTCCCTGAGTGCCGTTTTGCAAGGAGCTACAAGTTCTTCAAGGTGTGGCCCTGGGAGAACCCCTCCTGCCCCTACTTTATATGTGTTGTGCACACGCCTAAGGTTCACGCATGCGCATACGTTCTGCTTCCCGCAACCACACCTAAGGTTTACGCATGCGCATACTTTCTGCTTCCTGCACCCATGCCCGAGGTTCACGCATGCGCATACTTTCTACTTCCTGCACCATACCTGAGGTTTACGCATGCGCATACTTTCTACCTCGTGCACACACCTATGGTTTACGCATGCTTGTGTGCATCCACCCATCCCACAAACATTTACTTGAGATATGCAAAGTACATATTTTTCTGCATGCTAGAATATATCACTGGCTTTGGTCTCCAGCTGAGGCCTCCAGGTAACATTTGCACCCCTCAAATCACTTCATCTGGTATGACCACGGCCACCTCCCACTGGTCCTCCTTCTTTGGGCCTCCCTAGCCCTCTTTCCTCTGCATGATATGGAAAGCCTCTGCTATATTCTCCCCTGGGGACCAGGTTGATGTCCTTATCCTGCAAGCCTGGCCCATTAATTCCTTACTTAAAAGCTTTCATGGGTTTCATGCTCTTAGGATAAAGCACGGCTTTTCACCAGTCCCTGCATGCGCAGTCCCTATCAGGCCCTCCTCACAGCCTCCCCCGCCTCCCCTATTTCTTTTGGTCTTGGGTGTCCTCCAACCCCCACCTCTCTCTGCCCAGAATGCTCTTCTTTTTGATATTTGGCAAACAACTCCTGTTCATCCCACAGATGTTCTGTCCTCCCTGACCACACTGAGCCCTGCACTTCTCACAAAAATTACTACCATTCAAGTTTTACATGTATTGGAGTGATTTTGATTAATGCTTATCCCATTCCTCTGTGAGATCATGTGTGACACGAGGGGAAGGCCAGTGCCTGTTCTCTTCCCCTCAATATTTTATTATGAAAAATTTCAAACATATAAGTTGAAAGAATTTACAGGGAACACCTATATACCCATGACCCAGGCTCTCTGTCCTGCTTGGTCCCAGTGTATAGTAAGTGTGCCACAAACCCCATGTTGAGGGCAAGTCTATGCTCTTCCACCCCTAGGATCCTGAGGGTAAATAGGTCTATCTGATCTGAGGGTCAGCACAGCAAAACGTGTGAGCCTGGAAATCCGGAAGCAACAGAAATGCCCATGTTAGGGGATTGGTTCCATCTTCCACAGTGCAATGCTCTCTTATTCGTCATGGTGTAGACCTGGTGTATGGACTTGGGAGAGGCTCCCTGAGGTTGTGACATTAGGAACAGAGCTAAAGAAAATTGGGTATAACCGGACACTGTTGTTTATAGGATTGAAAATGGTAAGTAAGCAAAGGTAACACTTGTTCTATGTCAGATTCCATTCTAAGTGCCCCATGAAGAATCCACGCATTTTAACTCCTAAGAGACGGTTTTGTTTTATCACCTGCACTTTACAGGAGAGGTAACTGAGGGAGGCATTGAGAGGGAAGGTAACTTGCCTAGAATCACACAGCTATTTCCAGGGGAAAAGGCTGTGGAAGTTAGAATCAGCACTGTAGTTACTGCCAAGAGGCAGAAGAAGCACACTTGTGATCTAATTTTCCTTCTGTCTCTGTCTTGTTTCATGTCTTTTAGTGATCATGTATTTTGGTTTGTTTGTTGGTTTTTGAGACAGAATCTCACTGTGTAATTCAGGCTGGCCTTGAATTCACTGTGTAGCCCAGGCTAGACTACAACTCCTGGCAGTCCTCCTGCCTCAGCCTCCTGAGTGCTGGGATTACAAGCGTGCAGCATCCTGTATTTTTGTTTTAAAGGAAAACCACTTCCCATGCCAAGTGAGTCAGGAGAAAGGACACTTGGCCACGTCCCCCCCTCGACAGATGTCCCATCATGGGAAGATTCAGTGCAACATTTTAGAGTTGCCCAACTATGTGAGAAAAAAAGAGTCACAGTAACCTTTGTCAGAGCTGGAAAGCTGGAGGCTGAGGTCCTCGAGGAGCTGCTCCATTCCCTCCAGCCAGGACAGTGGAAGGTTTAGGATGTCCAGCGCCACCTTCTGGAGCCCTGCCACAGGTGAGCTCACCTGAAGGCCCCGTAGAAGGTCCACCTCCTTCTTCAGGTCCCTGCTGCGGCTGGACGTTTTCATGCAGGCCTGAAAGCAGACAAAGCCAGGAACATCTCAGACTCTGTACCCAGAAATAGCACCAGGTGTGACCTGCAAGGAGTGGGGTCCTTGACTTGTGCACAAAGCAGGTGTCACCACATACTGGCTGCCTGCGGTGACCCCCTTTTCACAAAGATTTTTTTGATGGGGAGGCAGCCTTTACAGTTTTGCACTCTAATTTGGGTTTGTCGATGATCAGAGGGAGCCATGTTCAATCCCAAAGCCAAATTGCCGTCCACGATTTGGCTGAAATGAGACTCAAACATGGCTACTTCTTGTCATCAGAAATCCTGCTGAGGTCAATGCACAGGTTGGTCAGAGAGTGTAGCTTCCTGATTTTTTTGGAAAGATTGCTGACCAGCCAGCATTCACACAAACTCCCCAAATAGTAGCTGCTGATTTTAAGAGAATACAGAAGCAGCTTCGGTTGTGATGATCTCTGGAGGCAGGGGTGGGGCTGGGGTGCGCCTGGGGCCCCATGGTCCCGGCACCTCCACAGGTAAAGGCAGTGCATGGGTGGAAATAGCTTTTGTTGCTGTGCCAAAAAAAAAAAAAAAAAATTAAATGCAAATAATGAGCACGAACATTTCTTTTGTTTCTCTGGTAACAGCGCAAAAGTTGGATTTTCTTTTGTTTTTTTCCCCCTGGGCTTGGGGACTTCCCCAAGTCAATGTGTCACCCTTTGGCATGCATGAGGGTGAGGATGGCTCACCACACTCCGGGGGCGCTCAGCTCCCTTGTATGAAATAGAGCAGAATTGCACATTGCTGATACACACCCTCCTGTGTGCTCTAATCATCCCTGGATGCCATAATACTGAGTACAGTGAAAACAGTATATATTGTAATGTTATCTTGTAGCTTTTAAGGAGATAATGCCAAGGAAAAAAGGCTGTTTAGTGCAGATAAAAAGTCTCCCCCATATATTTTTGATCTGCACTGGGATGTAGAATCTAAAGATACTGAGGGCCACTGAAACTCTGACCTGGCTATATCCACTTCATCTGGAAGGCTTTTATTTTATTTTTTCTCTTTCTGAGACAGTCTCACTATGCAGTCAAGCTGGACTTGAATTCACCGCAGTCCCCCTGCCTCAGCCTCGCAAGTGCTGGGATTACAAGCATGCGTCACCATGCCTGGCTAAGGGAGCTATTTTTTGAGGCCTCTGCTTTTCTGCTCCCTAACGTGAGCGGAGGGGAAAAAGCAAAGCCTGCCGGTTTCCTGAGTTAGAAGCACAGACAGGGAGACAAAGGGCGGCTGCGAAGAGCAGAGCGCGGCGGGGCGGGCACCTGGCAGCTGTCCAGAGCGGCCCGCAGCCTCTCCATGCTCTCCGTGGTCTCCTCATGCTTCGAGTTGCTCAGCTGGGTCTCCTTCTCCAGGCTCCACTTGTTCTGCTGAAGGTTGTCGTTTTCCTCGGTGACCTGGGCGATCCTTTCTATGAGCTGGTGAGAGAAAGAGAAAGGGAAAAAGGCTCTCAGGGCAGAGTGGCAGTGGGACAAGGGACCGCAGGCTGGCGATTCAGCAGGTGGTGAGGAACAAGGTCTTGATCTTTGACCTGTGCAGCTCCGATAACATCAGTGCTGTCATGAGGACACCTTCCCCCGGATCAGAGATTATTCCCACTGGTTCCTTCTGCATTGGTTGCTGTGAGCGAGGTGCATAAACTGACCAGGTCCTCCTGCGCCTGCCCGGAGAGCAGCCCACCTACGTTCTCGTACCCGTGCTCTGACCCGGGGAAAGACAAGAGTCCTGGAGGACCAGGAAGGTGCCCAGTCACACCCCAGAGGCCCAGCCTCACTACCACTGCCACCCTGCCCTGGCAGGAACGAGCGGGGAGCCTGGACCACAGTGAGGCCGCCCCTTTTCTCACTGGGCTATCGGAGCTTCAGAGCGTGGGTCTGGGGACCAGAAGTGAGGCTGCCCAGCTGGACTTGATTTCCACAAGAACATTGCAAGGGAATTTAACTGGCTTTTACTTTAAAAGCCAGGAAATCCCATAAAATCAAAACAAATCTTTATGGTGTAGCAACAGTGTGAAAAATATGTGCCACCAACAAAAACAGAAACATATGCTCCCGGGGTCTGGTTTCCAGATCTCCAGAGAAAACAGCGTTTGTGGTGTTTGCACGGCTTCCTTTGCTGTTGATTTCGGGCTTTATTCTGCTATGGCCCCATACCACCCAGGGGGTGATTTAAACTCGTTTGTATTTATTTAAGCCTGCAAACACATGGAGATTAATCCGCTGTTGAATAAGCAGTGGATCACAGAAGAAAACAGGGAAGACATAAAGAGTTCCTGAAACCCAAAGACCTTAGCAGCATAACATAGCAGAACTGACGGGACAGGACGGAAGCATTTCTAAGAGGCGAGTTTACAGCTGCAAATGCACACTGAAAAAGAAGAGCGTGATCCCCAGTAGATAAACTGGTGATGCAACTCAAGATCCTAGAAAGAGAACCGTGGGGCTGGGGATTTAGCTCAGCGGCATAAGCGCCTGCCTTGCAGGCGTGCAGTTATGAGTTTGACCCCCGGTACCAAAAAAAAAAAAGAGAACCAAATCTGAAACTAATATAAGAAATTAAGATCCAAGTGGAGATCGATGAAACTGAGACTAAAAAAAAATACATATATCCAATGTATATCCATGATGTCTTGCAAACATATAATAATAAAAAAAAATGGAGGGAAAAAAGAGGGACCTCATAGTTAAGAAAGCCACACAAACCTGCTGGTCGGTGATGGGCTTATCCGGAAATGGCTTCACTCGTCCGTAGGTGGCCTTGATGACTTGGCTCCTGAAATGCTCCAGCTGTGACACAAAAGAGTGATGACAGGTCATTTGGGGTGTGAGGGGTTCAGGCAGGGAGGACGGGTGGCATTTCCATCACGGGGCTCAAGAAAAAATTCCTGCACGCCTGCCTGGTCATTGTGTGTTATCAAAACCTTCAAGCTTCTCGGAAGGAAAGAACACGGCAGGTTTTAATTACAGGCAGGCTGCGCAGCCCAGCCCAGCCCAGCCCAGCCCAGCCCAGGCGCACCGTGCAGAGCACACGCCTCACAGCCCCTCGGAAGAGCTTCCTGCTGCCAATTATCCAATGGGAAGTCTGGGCCCGGGAGCTCATCTATAATTGCTAAGTTGGCATCAGACTGGGAAATAAATATTGAAGCTGTCAGCCCAAGTAAATCATGTCATCCACACAGGTGGGGACAGGAGAATGCTCTCTCTCCTGCTCTTTTGTGTCATAGACCACACATGTCCCATCCCAAAGACACTGTCCATTGTGGCCATCTGTGTATCCACTGAGCCTAGGATAGGACCTGGGAGGAGGCGTCACTCAGCAAGTGTCCACTGGGCACCTGGATTCAGAAACACCTGTCGAGGCCAGGAGCCTCTGTGTCAGTCCCTGTGGCTGGCATTGGATGCCTGCGGAGAGCTGGTGTTGCCAGGGAAAGTGGGTGGGGTCAGGGCAGGGTTACAGTCAGGGCATGCAGAATCAAAGTCCTGGATGTCCCCCAAACACTCTGGGATTGACCTACATGGTTGCCCTTGCTGGCTGAGTTTGTGGTCCACTGGAAAGATGTGGTCACTAAAGACTAACCCAGAACTCTGGAGGGACCCAAAGGGCCACTGGACCAAGGGAGAAATCAAGGGGTCTCAGACCCAAGAGCTTACAGCACATGGGAGCTCTGCACAACCAAGAGGCCCCAAGGATGAGTCTGAGGTCCCCCTGCCGGGAGCGGATCAGGCTGAGAGGAGACAGACCCCAGGCAAGTCCCACCTGACCCCACGAGCTAGCTACGTGGGGAGGTCCTGTGCACAGTGTCACCCAAGGCCACTGTAGGGAGCCACAGCCTGGGATGGAGGGAGAGGTGGGCAGGTGCTCCTGGACTGTGGGCTCCGTCCTAGGGTCACTCAGCTGGAGGAAGGCAGGGTGTCTCATGAGGGGCAGGCTGGAGTGGTGACAGGGTGGGTGGGAAGAGCCTGGTGGCAGAGGAGGGCTGATCCTCTCTCTTCCTAGCTTGTACCTGGAGGAGACTCGGGGTCCTTCCAGGCGACGTCTACCCAGAGCCATAATGAGGACCCTGGCCCCGGGGTTAGGGGCACAAGTCATGTCCTCGGGTCAGATGTGTACCGGAGCGTGCAGAGGACAGGGAAGGAGAGGTTGCCCAGGTAACAATGGGCTGGAAAGCTTCAAGAGAAATGGCACGGGTGTGTGTGTGTGTGTGTGACAGCGGCACATGTGTGTTGAAGAGGCTCTAACCTCTGCCCAGCAGTTAGCATCTGTATCTAACTTGTGTGCACCTCTCACGTCGGCCCAAGGACCAAGCCCTGATCCCACTGCCCGGCTAGTGTGGGACGGCAGCCCAGGGAAGGGCTTTAGGCGCTGGGCTGGGGTGTGGGGGAGCCTTTGTGAACTGTGGGGGTTTGCTGCCTTTCTGAGATCCAAAGATTGACATGGTGACCCCCCTCTCCCAGAAATAAAAAACTTGTCTCTGTCTCTGCCACACACACACACACACACACACACACACACACACACTCTGGATTCCCGGAGCTGGCATTGCTAGGAGAGGCCCATGCACAGGACCCAAAGTGGGCCGCCTCTGGCAAGCCAAGTTCTGGGTGATGATTTGAGACTCTGGTCAAATCTCGCCTGCATGCTCCATCCTCACGGCCAGGCCCTGTGCACTGGGCCATCCACCCAGACAGGCTCTGTCTTGGGTCAGAGCCTCCGAGAGAGGGCGCCTCTGCCCAGCCAGGTCAAAGTTTGCTGGTAGCTTCTTTCTCTGTCTAGCAAGGACTCTGGACACTGGGGTTTGCTTCATTAAGAAAAGTGCCATTTCCTGTGACATCTGCTGGGGTCGCAGGGTAAGAAAGATGGTGGCCAGCGTCAAGACTAAGCACTAGGGAGAGAATCCTGGAGACACCACCAGCGACCTGAGGCTGGGGCAGGTGTGGAGCCAGGCTCGCTGCTCAGCCCAGACTTAGTGAGGAGCCTTCCAGCAGGAAAGCGCTTCAGGGACAACCTGGGGTGGGCGGCACAGGGGGCCCTGGCCCCCAGGTGAGTTAGGGAGGAAGTAGGTCACACCGCCCGCCTGCCTCAGCCTCCTTCCTCCTCCTCCACACCGCACCAGCCACCTGGGGAACTCAGGCTGAGGAAGGGGCTCTGGACACGCCTACCTGACCTACTGCCCTTTCCAAATTGATTTTAATGAGGCTCTCTCTGTTCCCCATTTCTTGCAGCTGAAGCAATTTCCTCCTGGAATCCTCCTGAAGTTTCTCTTCAACCTGAAAGGACGATGAAAGCACCCGCTGGCTGCTAATGCAGTCAGAATGCACCCGGGGGAACTTCCTCTAGGACGCCTAATGGCCCTGGGGCTTCCAGAGGGGTAGGGACAGCTGCAGCTCACGTGGCAGGGTCACATGGGGGCATGGGTGGAGGTGGCGCCCCTGGCCATGTACAACTTCCTCCAGAATCAGATCCTGGGGCCTCCCTAGTAAGGACTGTGACATTGGCAGAGCCACTGCACTGCTCTGTGGCCAGGTCCTAGGAGGACCGAGATGCCCACACTGTCTCTAGGAGAGCGGTTACAATGGTGCCCGGACTTGGGCAGGGCTGGGCCCTGTGTTAGGCACGGATGTCGCCTTAACCGAGGGTCAGGAATATCTGCCATGCAACTTTCTTCTAACACCATGAGGTACTAGCCACGAGGGCCTTGGAGCGGGTTACACTTGGGTTTACTGTCCTACCCGTTTGTCATTAATACTTTTAGCTCGGTCACAGTGGAAACAGCTCCTGGAGCTAAGCACGCCGCCTGTCTACTCCCTGGGGCGCTAGGTGAGCCGGGAGTGTTCCGTGCTGCCCTCTCCTGGCTGCCACTCCGCCCTGTAGCCTCACTGTTCGTTCTGACTGTATTTTGTGAGCATCTTCTGAGCGGGCTCAAGCACTGCCAGGAAGTGAGGGGAACTTGCTCATGTGAAAGGATGTCGTGTTGAAGGAACCTCACAAGCTGTGTTGTAGGGTGCTGGGCAGGGGATGCACGGTGTAATAAAAGACCCCAGACGAGCCAGGTGTGGTGGTGCATGATTATCATGCCAGCACTCTGTGAGGCTGAAGCTGCAGGATTGTTAAATTTTGAGCCCAGTCTGGGCAACTTTGTAGATTAGCGAGACCCTGTTTCAAAATTTATGAAAGAGGGCTACGGGTGAAGCTCAGGGCCACGTACAAAACAAATGAACAAACAAAAAACCCAAGCCCGACCCATGCAAACCCTTCAGAGCTTTCTCCTGAGAGCATCAGCAGCCTGGAGCTCGGGCACTGATGTCAGCCTGGGGAGCCAGCCGGACTCTCGGGTCTCAGCCCCTTCCACGCGCACCCTTCCAGCCTGCACACACCTGGCTTCTATCTGCCAGGTGTTTCTGAACCTTGCGGAGCCAGAGGCCACTCTTGGATCTGCTCTGTGCTGCCTGTCTTAATGCGTGGCCTCCCTGGTCCCCAGCCCCACACCCAGAGCCATCCCAGCTGCCACCCTGTTCCACCTGTCACACCAGCGTGGTCGCCCCCACCGTTCTATTCCTCTGTCCCTGCGGGAGCAGGACCTTACTGAGCTCCTGCCCTGTGTGGCCTTTGGCTGGGCACTGAGAAGCCCTGGCTGGTGAGAGGCAGCACTTGAGCATCACCAGGCTGAGTGTTCTGTGATGACGTGCAGATGACTTGGGGTCTGTGCCATCTGGCGAGGTGGCCGCTGGCCATGTCTGCCCACTGAACACATGAAACATGGTTAGAAGCAGTGCGGGGCTTAGATTTACCTTCTTGCTCAGTGGAGGTCCTGAATTTTAAGTTTTATTTTAAAACACAATGTATTTTATTTAAACACAGATATGGAGGAGGAATTGAGTTAAATTTTGTTTATTCTCCAGTTCAGTCATCTTGCATGCCGAGAGGCTGTGCCACAGTAACTGGACTCAGCCAGACCTGGCTTCCGGTCTTGGCATCACCCCTTCCCCATGGCCGGGCTTGGGTTCGTCCTGGCCTCCGATCCTTCCTCTCATCCCTCACTCCCTCACCTATAAAATAGGCATGACGGTGTCTCGATTGGAGCCTGGCGGGAAGAGGGAATGAGATAAATGCTTGGCGTCACGCCTGGAACATGAACAATTATGGCCATAGCTTTCGCCGTTACAATTAATCACCAACTTAATCACATCAATCCTCCTTCAAAGGCCTTCAGGAGCCCCCGCGGCCCCTGCAGTACACAGAGCAAGCTCCAAAAGGAAGGGAAAGCACCAAGCCAAGAAAGGCTCAGGAGCCCATATGAATCCCAAACAAGTCAGACAAAAGTGAGTCCATACCTATAGAAGTCACAGGAAAACCGCCGCATGCACAGGAACAGAAATAGCTTAACAAACCAGCCAGAGAAAAGCCCGTTTACAGCAGCGCCATGGTCAGGGCTTGGAGCTTGTGTCTCTGAATAGAAACTCCGAGGCTGGAAGACAACAGAAGGCCGCGCGGTCTTAGCAGCTTTCTGGAGGCTGGGACCAGTACACACGCTGTCAAGACGAGGTTTATTCGGTTCACATTTCAGGCCGAGGCGGAAAGAGCGAGTGGACGGGTCTGGGGGAGGACAGGTGCTCAGCCAGGAAGCAGAGACGGAAGGGAGGAGCGGGACAAGAGAACACCCTTCCAGGTCACCATCCAGGGACCAGCTGCAACCACGCCCCGCCTGCTGGCAGCCAGCAGCCACAGCACACGGGCCGATCGCCTTCCACACACAGGGGGCTCTCGGGGCTACAGCATGTCACGGCGGTACTCGGTGCTACCTGTAATGTGAGGACCACAATTCAACGCTTGGTGAAACCAGGTTTCTAGAATGAAGGTTAAAACAGGTATTTTTAGACCCCCACCCCCACCCCAAGAGACTTGTTCATCAGCAGAGTCTCACCAAGGACAACACGAAAGCGTGGTCTTTTAGAAGGAAAATGATCCCAGACGGGTGACGAGAGGCATAGAAAAGGCACCGCCAGTGTGCAGAGATGGATATGGGATGCATAAAATATTAACTTAATCATAAATATTTTATTATTAAACATTAACATTATCGATTATGTTAAAATATTAATATAATTAATTATGTCGCTTGGGTTTTCAAAGACAAAGTTTGGAATTGACAGGAAGGGCACACAGGGCTGTGTGGGGTGAGTGAAGCCACCCAGAGCATCCCTGGCTGAGGCCACCGCGTCATTCAGGGGGAGGGCGGAGTCGGCAGCCAACACTGGATTTTGGTAGATGGAAAACCTGTGCTGTAATCTTTGGGGTCGCACCAAAAGAACAGTAAAAGAGTGAAAAACTCACAAGTATTGCATTTTGGTAAGTCAAGAATGCCTGCTATTGTCTTACTGTTACTAAAAGGCATTGAAAGAACGAAACATCTAAGAAGCTATCAACTCAAAAGAAGGCGAGAACGGAGAGGAAAAGGAACGAGGCACAGCTGGTACACTGGGGTGCTGAGCAAGAAGGCAAATGTAAGCCCCAGTACCCGGATATTACCCTACACATGAGTGGATTAGAAGACAAAGATTGTTAAACTGGACTCTAGAAAAACCATGTGCTGTTAGCAAGAGATACATCTAAACTGAAACTCTAATCAAAAGAAAGCTAGTGGAACTGGTGAAGCTGTATTAATGACAGCGTAGACTTTAGTGGAGACAAGAGGCTCATCTCATGGGGGTCTAAGGTTTGATTCCACAGGAAGCATTAAAAAGATGAAGTTAGGGGCTGGGGATACAGCTCAGCACACAAGTGCCTGCCTGGTAAAGTGTGGTCCTGAGTTCGATTCCTAGTACAAAATAAATAAATAAAGTTGTACGTACCTAGTAACATAGCCTTAAAACTTAGAAAGCAAAAATTGACAATACTAAAGAAAAGAACTGGACAAATCTATAATTACAATGGCATTTAAAAAATACCATTCTTAATGACTGACAGAACATGGACAAAAAATATCATCAAGACCATTTCTCAGTTCTGAGTATCATCGACAAACCTGATTTAATGGGCATGTATAGAATGCTGTACCCAGGAACCCCAGAATGCATATGCTTTACAAACGGGAGTGTGGACAGTGATGCCCACATGCTGGCCATAAAGCAAGGCTCAACTGATATTGAAGAGCTGAAGTCACACAGAGGCTGGTCTCTGACTGCAGGGTAATTAAGCTAGAAGTCAATTAGAAAGAGTAATCAGAAAATCTTCATGTCTCTAGAAATTAGGAAATAGACCCAGGGGTCAAAGAAGAAATTACAATGGAAATTGGAAAACAATTTTAATCTGAATAATAATGTAAATGCCACACATTAAGAGTGTGGAAGGTAGTTAAAGCCCCACCGAGAGATAAACTTACAGCCCATGGAAAGTTTGATCCACACTCTTGACTACAGCTACCTTAACGAGAAGTTAACTCATTTTCACTGAAAAGGTATTTTACAGAACAAAGTTTATTGAGCCAGTGCGATAGGAGATTTTCTCATGTTCCCATTTTTATTCCCTTGAAATTATTTTTATCTGGAACAATCTTTTTCTGAGTAAATTTTACAAGCACTATTTGAGACACGTTTTCTGGCTCCTATCAATTTTTTTAACCAGGCTTAGCTTGGTCATCACACATTTTATTTTGTGACCCTCCTTTTTGCTATGGCTTCTTTCTGCCTCCACATTAAATTTGGCAAACCTAAACTTTTTGGAGGATGTTTGAGTAAGCTGAAGTCAACAAGAAAAGGTAGTCAGAAAATCTTCATGTATCTCTCAAGCTTCAGCCAATATCAAATTTTACTGTGCTTTCTACTATGTTTTATTTTGTGTTAGTTATTTTTGTCAAACCTACTATGTGTGGACCGCTTTTTGTGCAAGCTTTAATCAACAAGATGCAAAGTATCATAACGTCAGTTCTTCTTGTCTAGTATGTATTTTATTTTATTTTTGCTACTGGAAATCGAACTCATGACCTTGCATTTGCCAGGCAGGCACTTGTGCTGATGAGCTAAACCCTCGGTCCTAGTATGTATTTTAGCTTGTGAGATGTTATTGGTTGTAGTTTGTGGTGATTATTCTTAACTTTTTTATTATTTTATTAACTTTTTTTTCTAGACAGGGTCTCATGGTGCAGTTCAGGCTGGCCTCGAGCTCACTTACTAGCCCAGGCTAGTTTCAAACTTGCAATGATCCTCCTGCCTCAGCCTCCCAAGTGCTGAGATTACAGGTGTGAGTCACCATATTAAGTATTGCTTATTGCTTTTATTTCCCAATCCTTGATCAATACCTCTCTTGTAGAATTCCCTGATATTTGGATTTGCTCTTAAAATATTCTTAGTTTCCTCAGTGACAATGATCTCATCATATAAAGTAGATGATTCAGGTTGAGAAACTACAAATTCTGTCCACTGCCTTGCTCAGGATCTTTACAGATATTTTCAGCTTGAAATACTAACAATGAACAACCCACAAATGTATTTTAGCCCTCCATTTGGCTGTGTGGTCAAAATGGACATTCGCCATGGTCTCACCAGGTTGAACACAACAGAAAACTTGCCATGATCTGGGCAGTTCCTGGCTCTGTCCTTTCCAGCAGGGTGGCCCTCACCACACACATGTGCTCCAGGCTTAGACTACGGCTATGCCGTATTTACTATTATTGACTAGCTTTGGGGGGCTGGGGATGGTACTGGAAATTGAGCCCAGGGCCTTTGCACAGAGATTCATCACCTGAGCCTTTTTAATATTTTATTTTAAGACATTGTCTTTTGTTGCCCAGACCTGGATCAAATGTAGCTTCCTCCTGCCTGAGCTTCCCAGAGTGCTAAGATTAGAGGGGTGTACCACCTGGCCCAGCTATTTGACTTTTATTTAAAAGTCAATAAAACTTTATTTAAAAATTTTAATAGCTCAGTGTGGCTAGTGTGCACTGTGGTAAACAGGACAAGTCTACTCTGCCTAAGATTGTTTTTTTATTTGTTTGTTTTTTCCCCACAATGGGGAGATTATGGAAATAGCAACACAAAACCCACTAGAATCTGGAGGTGGGGGTGCATCTCACTAAGTGCAAAGCCAGGGGCAGTTTGGAAGGCAGTCTGGAATAGTGGTTACACACGAGAGAGCTTCGGAGTCAGCTCTGGATTCAAGCTCCCTATGTATCCCTGTGAACTACCTTATCAGCGGGTAAATACCAGCCTTGACCACACGGGGTCGCTGCGGAGAGCGGCCAGGATTCCTGGCTGGCCGCGGCCGCTGGGTCGCCAGGGGCCACAGACCTGGCCCCACCTACCTTGCTCTTTTCCCGCAGGGTCCTGGAGATGGTGCTCTGCTCAGAACAGCTCTTCTTCAGCTCCTCCCTGAGCTTCTTTATTTCTTTCTCCATATCTTGGATTTGCTGAAAAAGTGCCAACCGCAGTGGAGTCGGTTTCCCTCGGACACAGCGGGCAGTGGGAAGGCCAGGGACCTTGGGCCCCCTCTCAGCAGCCCGTGAAGGGGAAACTGAGCCTTGTTCACTTCCTTCCCCATGGGAGTTCCACCTCTGCAGGCAAAGCAGACACCCCCTCCCCCACTAATCCATTACAGGAGAATTAAGGGAGATCCCCATCCTTTTGGAAATCAGCACAGGTGCTGGATTAGGCTCCACAAGCTTCCCAAGAAGTCAGGGGAGTCCCTTCTTTGGGGCAGATGAACAGTACAAAAAACTAGTACTGGAGAGGGACCCTGGGGCTCCCACATGCCCGGCAGGCACTCTACCCCTGAGCCCCTCCCCAAGACCTTCTCCTGCTTGGTTGGAGGAAGAGTCTCTCTGAGTCACCCAGGCTGGGCTCTAACTTGTGTTCCTCCTGCTTCAGCCCCAGAGCAGCTGGGATTATGTGCCTGCGCCCCTGCCCTTGGCTTGGGGTGTATTTTTGAGATTAAACTAAATAAGGGCCAACTACTTGGGAAAATGAAGTTTTTCTTTTTTCTGTGGAGGCCGAGGAGAGTTGTCCAGGCACGAGAAGAGCAGGCCCCCCTTGCTTTCAGGGTGCGGTGCTTCCCAAGAGATGGAGCAGCACAACTGGAGAGGTCTGTGTATGTGTAAAAGGACCGAGCAGGGTAAGGAACAAGCATTTTATTATTATTATTATTATTGGTTTTTTGAGACAAGGTTTCTCTGTGTTGTCCAAGCTACCCTTGAATTCACTATGGAGCCCAGGCTGACCCTGTACTCATGGTGATCCTCCTGCCTCAGCCTCCCGAGGGCTGGGGTTATTGGTGCGCATTACCACACCTGGCTCAAACACTTTAGTAAAGGCCATATTTTCATTGTGTTTACGGCTGCCTTTGGCGTAAAGCAAATAACTCCGGTCTCTGTTTTAATGATCTAGTGATGGCGCTGATGCCCGTGAATCAAAGTCCTTCAGGAAGAGGTTTGTGACCTCAGCAGTGTCTATGGCTCTGCTCAGAGAGATGGGGGAACAGAAGGTTGGGGACCCGAGGGCCAGGGCAGGAAGTAGGGTGAATTTTGAGCAGCTCCTGTCCCATCGCTCTCCCTGTCCTTAACAAGCCCTGGGAAACACTCGAGGGAGGCGGAGACCCCAACCCAGGCAGAGTGCACCTTGCGTCTCTTTGTTGGGGTAGAAGCAGCCACAGGCCGCACTCAAGAACAGACACAAAATGCCTGAGCTTTCTGCAGTAACGCAGGTTCCCACCAGAGGCCCGGGTCACGGTCTACCCGCCTGCGTGCGCCTGCGAGCGGGGAGGAGACCCAACTCACGGTTTTGTAGCGCTTTAATTCCTTGTCCTGGGCTTCCCTGTGCTCCTTTTGGGCAGCTTCCTTTTTTAACTCTTCTTTGAGGGCCGAGCACTGTGGGAGAAAAGGACAGCAAAGAAAGAGCCTCCGACGCTGGCCACGCAGGGCCCCCCGTGTCCCGAGGGCCTTTCCTGGGGTCCTGCTCCTACAGCACAGGTAGGTCCCCAGAGGCTTTCAGACCCTCATTCTACTTTGAAGGCAGTGAAGGGGACAAGGGAAAGCCTCCAGGTCTCTGTGCACACGCAGCAGGGTGCTATTCTACTGTAACACGAAGACTGGCCACGGAAATGTGTGCTTATAGGGGTGACTGTCGCTAGGTTAAAGAAACGAATTTATACCAGGTTTTCTGGATTTGAATCCCCATCACACCCGCTCTAAGCCATGTGCACACTGTTCATTGAAAAGCTGCAAAGAACGTGGCCAGCTGTCTGTCTTTTGTAAGAGGATATCCTAGGCCTTGGCTCACCCTGAGTTATCTCCTTATGTCCTTGGGCGCTGAGCCCGGCCTCCAGAAGGCAATGCAATCTGAAATCGGGGCCCAAGGTAAATGAGATGCGTGTGTCACATCGCTCCAAGACAGAGCCCCAGGACACTCACTCTGGAGCCCAGCGCCTCCAGCTGGCACGTTTTTTCTTTGTTTTGATTCTTTAGTTGATTCACTTCCTCTTTTAGCTGTTGAACTTGCTCATTCCTTGCTAAAATGTCTTTTTGCAAAGATGTCACCTTCTCTGTTTAAAAAAAAAAACAAGAAACACTGATCAAGGGGTAGTTGGGATGCTGTGGTCATTGCAGTCACCGTCAGTCAGCCTGAGGACAACCCTGGCCCTGAGGACGGAGCTGTCTGTGGCCACCCTAGAAGCTGGAACGGGACTGAGACCAACATAACTAACTGTCACCAGAAGTATCAGGGAGAAGCAGAAGTCCGTGATGTCGCCATGGCAGGACGGACGTGTAGGGGCCCTTGTGGGCACAGGTCCTGCAGGGCCAAGAGGAGGGAAATACACTGGCTGGAGAGCAAAGGCCTGGCGGGGTGGAGGCCAAGAAGGATGAGCGGCTCCTTGAGGATGACGTGGGTGGCTGGGGGGATTCACCCTCATCCACTGTGAGCTCAGTGGTCTGGAATCTCAGCTGCCAAGGCCTGAGGACCCTCAAGCAGCCCTAGGGAAAGGCCCTCGTGCTGAGGAACCGAGGCACCGAGTCACACGGCAGGGACCTCAGCTCCCACGGCAGCTTTCAATCTGGACAGCGGCTCCCATCAACACCTCAACTATGACCTTGTGTCACCTGGAGCCAGAACCAAGTTTTTGAATCCCAGCAACTGAGTAAGGTCATGAATATTTGTTGTTTTATCCATTGAGTTTTGAGACTAAACTAAGAACTAATATGCTATTATATTATTTTAAGGAAAATAAGGAAAAATGGGTGTGGGCGTGCTATGGTGCCGAGTTATCTCTTAGGATTCTTTCTTGGAAAAACATTCATCCCTGTTTTGAGGGATGTGGCATCAACCCAGGTTCGTGTAATTCAGAGCAATTCACTTTAAAAATGAGCTTTGTTTCAGGACACAGTTCCTTGGAGGTAGGCTGACCTGTTTGGGGCGTGCCTTTGAGGTTTGTTAGGCAGGATCAGAGTGGCCTGCAGTCTAGGGCTAGACTAACTGAACCCAGGACCTTTCCACTGAGCCACATCCTAGGGTCTTGCTAAATTTCCCAGGCTGGGTTTAAATTTGCAATCCTCCTGCCTCAGCCTCTCAGAGAGCTGGGATTATAGGTGCATGCTACTAAGCCTGGTTGAGCATAGCAATCTTGACTGTGGCTCCAGTGCCCAGTACAGGGCCTGGTACCTGGTGGGTGCCCAGCAGAGGGGCTGATTGGATGAATGGACCCAGGCCAAGTAATGCTGTGCCTGTAAGAGTGGGTCAGGAGTCCATGACCTGCTACCCAAGCTCTTTAGCACTGAACTCCCTCTGCTGGTCAGGCAGCGAAACATATTCATTGGGGCCCAGGAGGAATAGGAGCATGGTTAAGACAGAGTGCAGTTAGTCATCGCTTGGGCCACTCTAGTTTGCATCCCTGGTACCCTGGCTCAGGGACCACCCAGCCACATGGTGTCCTGTGCTCTACCAGCCTCTGACTAAGACAGCACATTTGCTCACACAGTGATACTGGACTGACTTGGAGTCCAGTCCACACTTGGAAATGGCAGCTTAACTTTCCCTGAGAATAAACTCACATTCACTGATGGCGCTGCCTACAGGGCCACTGAGAAGCACTCAAGGCTGCACCTAAGTTCAGAGAGCAAAAGCATGGTGATTGATTGGTGATGTCTGCCTGGGCCATCCACGGCCTTGATGCTGGGGGGAGGGCAGCACCAGGGCCAGCTCCCACCCTGCCTACCTGCTGTGATGGCCTTGTCCCTCCTCAAGCTCTCCCCCTCGCTCTTCAGGGAGGCGATCTCCGAGTTCCGCTCAGACAGGGTCTGACACAACACCTGGCTGTAGCCCTTCTGCAGGGCGCTGATCTGTGGGAGGAGGCGGCACACAGTCAGAGGGCGCTGGCCCAGCTGAGACATCTGGTTCTTTCCCGGAGCTGGCCAGAGGCTCTGACTGCCCTTTGGCTGGGGCACTGGAGAAGCCATGAGCTTCTGATTTAATGAGTGGAAGAGACCGAGGAGGGCCTGTTCCTTGAGTGGTCACTTCTTCCTACGTAACCAACATATGATCTGATTTCGGTGTCCACTGAGGGGTTTGGGTCCAGCTGCCACTGGGAACCCTGCTTCCTTAGCTTGGGTTCCTCGGACCTGGGACACTCAGCCATCAATACTCTAGCCTCAGCTTCCCACCAGCCAGCAGGGGCTGAACATGGAGCAAAGTTCCAGGGAGGGCACTAGCTTGTAATATTTATCCTCTCAAACGATAGTAGCAGCCTGTGTCTCACAGAACATGCTAGAACTTTCAAGGCCCACTTACAGATGCATCTGACATTAAACTGTTTCTCTTTTTCATTCTGTGAATGCATTGGTATCCTGACCTCACAGGATTGTTGAAAGCGTCTGAATAAGTTAGCATACCTGAAAGTGCAGGACACAGGTATTAGCTACGATGATTCCACTGTGTGTTTTAGCGTGAGCCTCTCTTGGGAAGAAGGAAAGACTGGTATTTTAGTGTGCATTTGCAAATCGTGTCTAGACTCAAACCGCGGCCTGATCGCTGTGGACAGGAAGCGCAAGCGTCCCAGGTAACTTAGTCACCTCTTAGGCAACTCTGGCACCGGATTGGGGCGGGGTGCCTGCTCGGTATAAGTGGGTTCTCGTGCCTCGCCACCAGATGGCGCTCGGAGTCCTTGTTCCTGGTTTCTGTCCCTGGAACCAGTGATTACTCCTCCGATGGTGGAATGAACTGGTTTGACAGTTGATGGGACTCATTTCACACATCACTATGGTGACACTCGAGGATGTCATCCTTTATTTTTCTCTAGGGAATCCGAGATACAGAAGAGGTGCTGGGAGACAGAGGCCGCAGGCTGCTTTCCCACTGGCCTCAAGTCTACACCGCGTATTTGTGTTTTGCAGGCTTTGAGTGAAAAGGCTTCTTCCTGTTCCGAGTTAGGGAAATGCAACTTTATTACTATTTTTTAAAATGTTGTGAGTCCTTAGCTCAATGCTTCGTTTGCTCGGTATCACAGGCACGGCATAAAGACGGACTTAGGGAAATGATGGGAAACAGCATCTGCTGAAGATTTCACTGCTGTCTGACAGATATAAACTATTTCAATATAAATATTCCCAGAGCTCTAGGATTCCAGGCTGTGGAGCCACTCCAACGAGTTTTCAAACCTCTTTGTTATTTTCATTACCAAAATAAATATCCATATTGTCTATAATTGGCATAAATCTCAGGATGTTTATTGCCTGTTATGCTGTGTAATAAAGTGGTCATCGGATCATAAGAAAGTTAATAGTGCTAGGAAGAGCGACTGCTTCGAGATAATAACCTGTCTGCTAATTAGCAGGGGCAGCGCAGCCTGCAGGGGAGGTAAGCCTTTCCTGACGCTACGGTAGCAGATCGAAGATCTTTGAGAGCAAATCATTACGCACATTCTTTCTGGGGACTGGGGCGAATACATAAAGTAATCAGAATAATAAATCAACCTGCCACGTGGCTTGTACTTCTAGCTGGTGTTCGGGTGGCAATGGAATATTTATGGACCTGTAATGTGAGCAGACGATATTTGATTTGGAGGCAAATCAGTGGCATCCTCAGTTTAGAGATGCTATGCTATAAAATAGCCTGTGTGGAGAGAGCAGGCAACGGGGTGATAAATCACAGTAATTATTTCTGGATAATTCCTGAGCGAAAAACAATTTTCCAGACATCGCTAGCCACTTTAAATAATACTCAAATTGCGACCTGCTGACACAGACATAAAGATGGGGGAGGCTTATTTGTCCTTGTGTGTGTACCTGGGCAAGATGTGGCTCGGCAGACTCTGAAAGGGGGATGACTGGGAAGAATTTTCTCCAGCTAATTGCAAAATGGGGCTCAGATCAAGAAAAAGGTGCTTATTGATGAGTGAGCTACATTGTTAAGATTGCCGTCTTTTTGTGTTCCTGGCGGACATGCTACTTTGTCTTCTCAAACATAGGCCCCCAAAAGGCCATTCATGTTTTTAAATATTAGAGCGTCTATCTGTTCACTTGTTTCCTACATTGGAATGTGTATTAGTCGGCTGTCTGTTGTTGTAACAAGATACCTGTGATAAGCAACTTACAGAGAGGAAAGGTTTGTTTTGGTTTATGTTTTTAAAGGTTGCAGTCCACGTGGGTTGGGCTGTGGCGAGCAGTGCACTGTATGAGGGACAGCACTACAGCAGGCTGCTTGCCTCATGGTGGCCAGGAATTAAAGAGAGGAAAAAGCTGGTGGCCCAGCACATCCCCGACCTCACTTCCGCCCACTAAGCCCCGCCTCCTAACAGCAGGCTCTGAAAAGGCCTGTGTATGGCATTGCCAACTGCTGCACATGGGCCTGTGGGGACATCGAAGATCCAAACTACAGCAGAACACGACGGAAAGCAAAGTCCACCTCTGTCTCTTGCATGCTGAATTCTCAAAGCCTGGAAGAGCGCATGCGTATTTACGTGAACGCAGCCACAGACATTTATTTGTATGAATAATGGGTGAATGGAGGAAGGAATAAATGAACAGATGGGGTCCCCCTTTATCTGCTGGGGACTCATCCTGAGGCCCTCAGTGGTGCTGGGAACTGTGGCGAGTGCTAAACGCTATCAGTGCTGTTATCTACCTCTACATACCATGGTGATAAAGTGTAATTTATAAACTAAACATGAGGCCATGTCCGGGCCGTTTCCAGAGTGGGGACAGCCAGACCCAAGCCTCTCTCTGTGAGTCAGCCCCATCTGAGAACTGAGGAGGGACAGAACAAGGTCTCACCAGGAAGTGATCTTCGCCTAGAAACCATCACTTTCGTTGCTTTGTTGGGTTGGGTTTTATTCTCTTTTGTTTTGTTTGATTAAAAATCTGATGGTAGAAGCAGCTATTAATAAGGTAGCAAGACATATTACAGTAGCCATTTTGGAGTTACTGAGGCTTGTTTTGAAGTCCTTTATTGCAATCATTGTTTTTATGTTATTGTTTCTATTCTGTTTGATTTTTACTATGTCTCAAGGTATCTGCAACTATTTTGAAGACAACAAAAGGCATTATGGTAACTATTGTTGATTTCACAAAGTTTTGAAGTCTTGTATCACTTATACTGGTTTATTTTGATTGGTTTTATTCTGTTTTATTTTCCTTTGTTTTATCTTCTTTAAAATAAAAAAATAAACTAGACATGATGAGATTAACAATAATGACTAATAATAAAAAAGAATAACTAACAACTATGCTAGAATAGTTACTAAAATTTTATGAATTATTTATTTTTGTAAATTTTCATTTACTATTTTCAGGACGTTGCTGCCAGGTGTGATCGTGCACGCCTGTAATCCCACCACTTGGGAAGCTGAGGCAAGAGGATCTCTGAAAGTTCGAGGTTATCGTGGGTGACACAGTTCAAAGCCAGCCTGAACTCAGTAGGAAAACCTTGTCTCAAAACAAAAAACCAAATAATATTTGTTTTCAGGCCATGGCTGTCTGTGGGTAACTGATACTGTAAAAGAAAAATCGGGGAGGGGGACTGCTGTAATCAGAGCCCTGAGTGGCAACTGGGCCCAGCCCTTCACCTGGGTAGATTCAGCCTTCAGTGGAGTGGCCCAGGGTGGGCTCACTATGCATAGGTCATGTCATCTTCTTTCTTGTTATTTAATTAAAACAAACTATATAACTATAACTACATATATATATATATAGTTATATATATAGTGTTTTATTTTGCAGTACCAGGTATAGAATCCAGGAGTGCTCAACCACTCAGCCGTTTTCCCAGCTCTACAAGTTTTCATTTTGAGAAGGCTCTCGCTATATGGTGTTTCTCCTGCCTCAGCCTCCTGAGCTGCTGTATGCAACCTGCCCCCAAGTCCTACCTGGCTTTTCAGGCTCTGGATCTCCCTTTGCCTGGCATCACTGTCTTCTTCGGGGCCCTGGGCCTTCTTTGGGACGCTATTGTCACTCTGCTGGGAGGTCGCGGTCTCTGACAGCTTCTGGTTCAGCCCGGCCACTTCTTTCTGCAGGTTCGCAATGATCACGTCTTTGTATTTGGATTCCAGCTCAAAATCCGAGAGACGGGTGACTTCCCTCCCCAGGAGCAGGATTATTTCGTCCTGGGTAGAGATCAGAGGGAAGCTTGCTAGGTGCAGGCCTGGCAGAGCTGAGCCCATGTGACACCACGGAACCAAGGAGAAGCTGGGATCGGGAAGGGCAGAGGCGGACATCGAGCTGGCTCAGGGCCTGGAGACCGTGGGAGGATGACAGGGCTTGAGGTCACACAGGAGGGAAAACTTTCCTCGGCCTCCAAATTATGCGTTTTTCCTGCCTGGGAGATTCTGCGGCTGGAAAGTGGGTTCTAGCATTTTTAGGAATTAACCTACCAGGCCTCAGTCTAGTGCACCCAAGAACTCAGAAAAGGTTAATCGGGAAAACGGCATTTGGTCTGAGCCCATTTTGACTATCATGAGGGCCAGTTTTTAATGAAAAAATACGGATGCCTTCCGAAGCCTTTGCTTTCCAGGTTCAGCACAGCCTGCCCCCTGGTTATGCACACTGAGCTCTGCTCTAGGTGACCGAGACAGGACGCGGAAGCGTGGGGGAGGGGAGCAGCGATCTGCGCATGCGTGCTCCTGGAGCAGGCTGGCAAACATGGCTGCTAACGTGACCCAGGATGTCGTTACGCCAGGCTTCCAGCTCTCCAGAGAAAAAAGCACTGTAGCCAAAGAATTCATTAGGTTTCTCCAAAAGGGGGCCAGTTTGCCAAACTCTACCAGAAAGCATCAATAAAGTATCAGGAAGACTGAAAACAAAAATCCCCAATTGTACTCTTGTGCAGCAGCAGAATTTCTAATCCATTACTTGGGAAGAGAAGGTGACTGAATCCAGGCCCTGGCACCAGCCCTTTTATTTTCTTTTCATTTTGAAACAGGGTCTTGCTAACTAAGTTTCCCAGGTTAGGCTAGAATTTGGAATCCTCCTGCTTCAGCCTCCGAGAGTGCTAGGATTACAGCACTCCCATCTGGATCATAAACTAAAGGATCCTTGCTCTGCTAACCATTTTCCTCAGGTAGGAAGGAGGTGGAGGGGCCCTTTCCAGGCAAGCTCATGGTCTGTGAAGTCTTGAATGAGTCCAATGAACTTGTAGCTCCCTGACAAGTAAGGATAGGACTTTGGTCACGTGAGAACCCCTGAGGCATTGTTTTTCAGCTGCTGCATGGTATTTTTGGGTCCTGGTGACTGCCTTGGAAAGATTGCAAGAGTCGGGTTCTGTGCCCCAGGGTGGCCCCTATCTTTATCCAAAACAAGCCACTCAGAGTCTCTGTCAGCAGGTGTGACTTAGTTACTTTTCTCTTTGCTGAGGCAAAATGCCCAAAGTTAAAAGGAGAAAAGGTTTATTTAGCTCATAGTCTGTGGAGGTTTCAGTCCGTAATTAGCTCCAAGACAGGGTGGCATGGTACTGGGGCAACAGTTCCTGGTGGCCAAAGACAGCAAAAGCAACAGGGGAGAACCAATTCACAGTGGCCAGAGGGTAGCAAAGCAACAGGGCAAAAGGGGGAGACAAGCCTCTTTCTGCTCCTTTTATCTTATCCAGGTTGCTGGGATTGGGGTGGAACCAATCCAATCAGTAGACCAGTCTACCAATCATCCAGCCTTAATCCCAGCACCTTAATTCTGGCACTGAACCATGAATTAGTCACACACTGTAGATTCAGCTACCTTTTAAAGAGCCCCACTGAAAAGTGCATGAGGCTTGGGGGTCCATCTAGACATAAACCATAACAAGGTGCTCCTTCGTTATTCATGTAACACATAATTTTTGGGCACCTACAAAGTGCCAGGTCCTTGATTACAAGGAAGCCTTTGGGGTTGATCTACAGCTGTGATTTGTCTTGCTCATGAGGATCTGTGCCCTTCCGAAGGGAGTTTCCCACTCCTGCCACATGAGGTGGGTATATGTGTCAGTCATGTGTCCTGCTCCTTCCTGCCCCACCTCCTCATGGTGTGTCACCCAGATTGGTCCACCCAAGCTGGGAAGAGATTACTATACAAGAAGAAAAGGATCTTGCTTCCTTTGAGGTCATAAACTTTAAATTTACAGACTCAAGTTTGTCTTTCATCATCTTTTCCAACCCAAGAATCTAGCCTGTGCCAAACAAGAAATGGGAGAAATTGGCAGCAGGGAGGATTCTGATGATATCATTTAAATCCCTGGATCCAGCCAGGTCCGACACTAGTGAGTCTTTACCTTTTCCCAACAAATTAAGCCAATAAGTGGTTTTATTCTCCCCTCTCTTAAAACAGTTTGTTTATGGAACTTGGAAGAATCTTGGTAAGTCAGGAGGCAGATGAGTCGTAAACAGAAAAATTATAAATATGGTTGCATTGTATTTCCAATATAACTGCAGTGGATTAAAAATGGGAACAAATACTTTGTAACTTGTGCCAATGAGCAGAGTCCATTTCTCTGTCCCCACATCTAGGCTGCCCTGTGACCTGCTTTGATCCATAAGATCTGAGGGGGTGCAGGAGTGATTGCCAGGCAAGTTTGTCAGTGGACAGGCAGCTTCCGTCATGGCCTTCAGGGGAGAAGCCCAGGATGAAAGAGGGGTTCACCTTCCAGGCATGCTGGCTGGCATCCCAGACCCAGGGAATGCAGTCATCCAGATTCACCAGCCCTGCCATGGCATCAGTGGCCCCAGTTGTATAGTACAGGCAAGAATCTACCAGCCAAAGAAGCCTGCCAGCTGCCTGAGGAGTCATGAGAAATAATAAGCTGCTGTTTGAAGCCACTGGGGCTGGCTGGTTGCCTAGCATGGCTAAACTGGCCGGTCTTACTTTTCTTGTTGCTGAGACAAAATAGTCAACATCCAAAGTTATAGGAGGAAAGGTTAACTTACAATTTGTAGAGGTTTCAGTCCATAATCATCTGGCAGGGTGGCATTGCACAGGAAAAATAGTTCATGGTTGCAGGATACAGAAAAAGCAGTAAACAAGTGGTCTTAACAGTGTCTCTCTGCCCATTTTATCTGAGCTACACTATTTAAGTAGCATTCACACTCTTAATTGAAGTTCCCTTGAGCTGAGCACTGCACCATGAATCAAGCCCAGTGTCACACACTCTTGATCCAGTTACCTTTGAAAAAGCCCCACCCATGACCACATGAAGTTTTGGGGGTACATTTAGACATAAACCATAACATTTTGACCTTGACTCCCCAAAGACTCATGTACATTTACATTCCTTTATGTAAAAGTCATTTATTCCATCTCTAAGAGTTGCCAAAATCCTAAAAGCTTCAGCATTGATGAAAAGTCCAAGTCTCAAGTGTCTTCTGCAATTTAAGGCTGGTCTTATCTACCAGCCCCCTGTACAAATGAAAGGAAAGTTAAACATTTCCAACATTCAGTGGCACAAGGTGGACATTTCCATCCCGAAAGTTACACACAGAGTGATACAAAAGAATGGGAACAAGGCAAGTCCAAAATCCAGCAGGGAAACTTTTAAATCCTACAGTTCCACTTCCAACATCCCTGGAAATCTATGATAAGCTTTGAACTCCAAGGGGCTCAAGTGACTCTGCCCTGTGACACTGCTTATAGCTCCATGGCTTCTCTCTGGAGCAGGCTCTGCCATCTTGTTGAAGTTTTCCTCGTGACCAACATTCTTGGCTTCTCTAAACTTCTAGGGTTTCCACTACACTGTTGGCTTTATACTCACAGCTTCATGCACTGCCCTCTCAAGGGTACACTGCTCAGATTTCCAGGCCTTCTTCTGAAATCTAGGTGGAATCCTTCCTAATCTCATTCTGCTTATACTTAAAAACAGCACCATGAGAATAATGCTAAGGTCTACTGCCAACTGCAGCAATAGCCAGGCTTCTTTCACTCTTGGTTGTAGGAGTCTGGTGCATGTGAATCAAATCCTGAGGAACAACTTCCCTAGGCTGCCATCATGCTGGAGTATGGTACTCTGTGTCTCTCTTCTTAAAGCAAAGTCTCTCACTTTTGCAGTTTTGAGGCTGCAAAGGGAGGAGTTTTGCTGCTATCTTTTTTGTTTTCTTCTGAAATATTTGTCTTTTTTTTCTGCTGGTGTTTTCAGTGGCCAGTTTGTCCTCGCTTTCATTTTTTGCAGTCCATAACTTAACTGGAGCTTTCTTTCTAGCCAAACTCAAATATGTTTTAAGTCATTCTGCTGGATTCTCTTTTCTGGCCTCCCAACATAAATCTGGCTAAAGGCCCCAATAGTAGACAAACCACTGTCTCAACATTAGACTGCCTTGGAATTTATTGTACAAGATTAATTAGCCCACTGTCCTTAATCTCAGTCTCAGGCAAAGTCTCTGGACATGAACAAAATGCAGACAAACTTTCTGCCACACCATAACATACATCATCTGGAGTCTAAAAGTGAGTGGTGTCCTTCTCTCCAGAAGAAACTCCCCTGAGCCTTGTCTTTACTGGCAGAATTTCTATCAGCACTCTGGTCTTCTGAGCTCTGGCTGGAATTTCCTACCACCATCAAGTTTCTGGTGTGCTTTTCCAGCTAGCATTTCCAAACCTTTTTCAACTCTTCTTCTTCCAACAAGCCAGATGCAAAAGCTCCTAAACCACATAGTCAGGTACAGTCACAGCAATAACCCCACTCCTGGTACCAAATTCTGTCACCGTTACTTTTCTCATTGCTGAGACAAAATATCTAACACCCACAAGTTAAGGAGGAAAGGTTTATTTAGCCTATTGTTTGTGGAGTTTTCAGTCCCTAGTCAGATGGCTCCAAGGCAGACAGGCATTGCGGAGAAAAAATAGTTCATGGTGGGAAGAAGAGCAAAGCAACAAGAGTTTACCACAGCCCTTTATAGTCTTTATATCCTACCCAGGCTACTTAGGGCAGGTAGCACTCATTCCCTTATTTTTAATGATCTTGAGCCTAGCATTGTACCATAATCAACCTCAATATTGCACATTTTAGATCTAACCACTTCTGAAAAAGCCCCATCTATGACCACATGAGTTTTGAGGAGACATCTAGACACCAACCATAAGCAAGTCAAATACTGATCTTTCAATTACTGCCGCATTTTTCTGGTCTGTTCCTGGGACAACTGCTTCAGAAGCACCCTCCCTCTTGATGATGTGGATGCCTGGGAATTCCCAAGTCTCACAAGAACCTCAGGTGGCTGGGGATTTAGCTCAACAGCATAAGTGCCTGTCTGGCAAGTGCCAAGGTCATGAGTTCGATCCCTAGTGCAAAAAAATAAAAGAACTTGCCACAGTTTCAGCCCTGCTCCTTAAGAACATTTGTGGACAATCTTCTTAAGGACACTTTCAAGCTGTGGCTAAGTGTAGAGAAATCAACCTTGACCCCTCTTTAACTTGCTAAATGCACCTGTCCTGATCCCCATTCTGCTTCAATTCTCCAAACTTTCCTGGTTCTACAGAAAGTCTCTTCTTGGCTCAGTTGCCTCTGATGTCACCTATTGCTTCCTCCTGCTAGAAAATGTGTTTTTCCTACTACTGTTCCTACTACTGGATGAATGGGTGGTTACTATGTGGGAGTTAGAAATGCCAGCTTAGAAGTTAGCTAGACCTAGTCCAAACACCAGTTCTGCCCCTCATGTTATGCAATCCCTACCAGATTACTTCTCTAAGCTTCAGTTTTCTCACTCGCAAGGTGAAGGTAATAAAATCTATTTTGAAGATAGAAAAAGATTGAAGGAGCTGGGGCTGTTGATTTAGCTCACGGCATAAGCACCTGCCTTGCAAGCGGACAGTCATGAGTTCGATCCCCGGTACCGATAAAAAGGAAAAGGACAAAAAAAAAAAAAAAAAAAATTGAAGGAGCTAAGAAATGCTAAGTGCACAGGATGAAGTCTAACACACAGTAGGTGCTTAATAGACAGAGGCTTATATAGGATATAACTTTTGCTCAAATAAAGCAAAGGTGGTTTCTTGGACAGCAGGAAGAAAGGGCACCTTTGAGCCACAAGTGAGAGGTGGTAGCACGTCATTCTGCTGTCCCCTGGATGCTGTGGCTTGGTCCTTCCACGGGACACCTCACCTTTTCCTGCTGGGCCAGGTCCTGCTCCACATACATCTCTGAGGTAGAGGCTGCCCCAGAATTTCCCTCAGCTATAGACTGTTCCGCCAGGTCCACAGCGTTGGTCCACACTAAGGCAGGAGGTGAGCAAAGAGCACAGAAGACACTGTGAGTTTCCGAAGGCCTTGAAGAATATATTCAGGTTAGCTTTCATATCATTTCCTCTAAGATTGACACACTGTATCTTGATTTTTACATTGGAGCATATATGTTCACTTTTGGAGAGTAATGAAAACATCATAGAAGTCTAGAATCAGGAGACACCTTATGCCTCTCCCTGTTAGTTTCTTGCATATGTCTCTGTCCAGATGTATTTTTAATGCTGCATAAAGATCTGGGGAACTTGGACAGGTTAGTTAATCTTTCTCTGCCTTACTTTCCACATAGGTAACTCACAGACATGAAAAGTCTGTACATACAGGGCTCTTTTGAGGATTAAATGAAATATATTGAACATGGGTCAGCACAGAAAGAAATGGGAATTCTGTGCTCCTCACATACTGCATCCAAGGACCTCTTTATCTGGTTGGTCATTTGGGTTTATTGTCTTTTGTTTTGTTTTGATGGTTGGAGGTGGACAGTACCCAGAGCCTTATGCATGCTAGGCAAGTGCTCCACCAGAGAGCCACACCCCAACTGCTGGCTATTCAGTTGTATCCTTAAAAATATTCTTTTTAATAAAATAGCAAAACTAAGCAAAGTATTGTCTTGAGTTATAGGACGCTAGCTGGTGTTGGAGAATTTCTCAGTAAGATCTTGATTGTTCCCAAGGCCAGTTTTAAAGACTTGGGCCCTTGCTTATGGTACTAGGAGAGATGATAGACTTAGGAGGAGGGGTCAAGTGGAAGGAAGTTAGATTATCAAGGACGTTCCCTGGAAGGAGACATTGGGACCATAGGCTCATCACCACTACCACCACCATGTTCTATGCTCCACTCAAGATGAACAGTTTTGCCTTCCATCCACTCCCACTATGACATAATCACCCAGGCTCAAAGGCCACCAAGCCAAGCAACCATGGGCTGAAACATTTGAAACCATGAGCCAGATTTTCTTCTTTTTGATCATCTCAAGCATTTTGTCACAGTGACACAAAGTTGACAATGGGGAGGGCACCCCCATCCCACACATCTTGGTGACCAGAAGTGGTATGAGTAGAGAGAAAAAGAGAATACAGTACTTAATCTTAGCTCTTTTAATTACAATTACACCTTTCAAATACATAGATGGACTTAGAGTTGGAAAGTTTGTCAGTTTGCTTTTGCACTTGACCAGGTATCAAAGGCGAGTATTTACAGCTTTGTCACATTCTTTTCTTGTTTACCCACAATATCCCAAGGGCTGGTTATATGATTTTCAGGGACTCTGGCTTCACTATGTTTGGAAGTTGCACTGTGTATATATAGTAGCAAACACATCGCATTTCACTGACATCAGTAGGGAGTACAATTTTACTTTATTTTTTGGTGAAATGACTAATGGGCAATGTGGAATGCCCAGCTGAACTGAATCAGCATGGTGCTGGGTGTGGAAGGCCCCACCTGAGGATTGTTGTCAATAGCATAAATCAGAACTGGAGGGGAAGATGGTGAGCTGTTGATTCTCCTGGAGAAGCTTATCATTCTGATTTTCCTGACATGAACTCAGCTATTCTCATCACTGGAGGAGCTCAGGTCCTCACTGTCACTGAGAATGACTGTGGTTCTCTTTGGGGAAGCTCCAGTCCTTACGTTGAGCATCAATTCCTAGCTCCAGTGCAGATCCCTCAGGCTGCTGGCATAGATCCTTCATCCTGCTAGTGCAAACTTTCTAGCTTCCACCATTGACCTTTGGGCTTTCCCTGTGCAGATCCTTGCATGATACATTGCTGTGGGCTGTAGGCCTCCAAATGGACTCATGGAGGACATTGCCGTGGGATCCAGGTCCTCAGCTGGATTCTTTGGGTCTCTAGTGCGTGGGCAGATCGCTTACAGTCTTCTGCATTTGACTTTATAGGTGACTATTATAAAGAATCCTATAAATTATGTGTCCTGTACTAAATCTATTCCCTTGCAAACCCTGATTACAACAGTGTAGGAATTTTGGAAAGGACCTCTATAAATCTTCTTTTGAGGTAATCTGGCTCTGAGTGGTACATTGAAAATTTCCCACTGGCTGCGATTTCTGGGCAGCTGTTGCATATTCTTGGTGAGAAACTGAAGGGGTTGTTTTCAAATGTAACACAATATGAATGAATGTTTAACAGTTAATGAAGCCTGTGCCATCACATTTGGAGTTGTTTATTCATTTTGATTCTGTATTTATCATGTGCTTTAGAGCCAGTGATTTCCTGCTGGGTGTCAAACTTGTTGTGGACTCATATCCCCAAATGAACAGAAGTGGCTGCTGCTGGTGCCTGGGGGAGGCTTGGCCTCGTAGGCTGCATGGCCGCCTTCCTGTTTTCTGGGAGGAAAGGGCCCTGGGTTCCCACCCAGGCTTGCTAGCTACACAAGGCTAGGGTCAGAGGCAGTTCCTGCTCTATTGTTCACTGGATTGGTTTGCTTATGTCTTTCTTCTGGGCAATAAGACAAATTGGTAAAACTGAACTCTTCCAAAGGGAAGAGGAACAATTATTCCTTCTCAGTTATTCTTGTCTTTTTCCCTGAAGGGACAAACACATTCCAGCTCTATAGTGGAGCGAGACTTTGAGTGATATCCTCTCCCTGCCATCACTCTGCCCTGACTGCTCATTGCCAACTGTATGTGGTGACTCCTGCAAGCCCACCTGTCAGTAGGTCCTGTCTGAATCCACGTGCCCCGGGAGGGGACCTTTTAGCTACAGTGCCCCCCCCTCACTGTGGCATTCACAGTCCTTTCCACCTGGAATGCTGTCCCCATCCCTCTACATGAGTGAATGTCACTCATATGTCAGTGCTTTTCTAGAATTTCATTTCCTTGGGGACCCTTTCTTGATCCCCAACTACATCATTTCTTACAGTTAGGAGGAACTCATGGGTACTGGGTACCTCTCCTGTATTATGGTGAATGTGAATCATCCCAAATTCAGTGTATCCACTCTCTATATGCTACCTGCCCAATAGTCACTTATTAGCTGATCAACTAACAGAATCACAGTGCTGTGTTCAAGTAACCCTTTATTTAATAATGGTCGCAAAGGACAAGACAAATGTTTACAAGGTGGTGGCAAGGCATGAAATATGGAAAGACAGGTGAAATCTAGTACTAGGTGCCATGCTGTTGGGCACGTGGGGAAAACACCAGTATATATATATATATATATATATATATATATATATATATATATATGGTATAATCCATGGCTTTAGGCATCCACAGGGGTCCTGGAATGAACTCCCCTTAGATAAGAGGGAGGCTGTATTAATAAGGGTTACTATGTCCAGGTTTTCCAAAGGTAAACTCCAGCACTCACAAGAGCACTGCATTAACATTAACAAATTATTAGGTAGACGCAGGCTATAAGATCAAACCTAGGAGGGGACAGAGTTGGTACTGATTCAGAACCAGGACACAGAGCCGGTGTTAGGTTCCCCACCAGCATGCTGCGTGCATGAATGAGGGAGTGAACGGGGGAATTTAGGGCACGGCCACCCTGTCCAGCTCATCAGCAAGACTGTGCAGGCCTGGCTGTGGAGTTTTGCTCTCTTGTCCACTGATGGGGATTGAAGTGACGGAGTCATCTGGAGTTTTAGAGGTCACCCGGATGGCACAGTCAAGGCTGCCAACTGTCCTGATTTGTCTGGCACTGAGGGACTCCTGTGATTCCAGGTTTCACTGAGAAGGGCCTGGAAAGTCCAGGGAAAGCTGGGACAATGTGCTCACCCTACAAATAGGTGAGGACAACTTCACCCCTCACCTTGACCCCTGAGCTTGCCACCATGGAATGCTGCACCATGGAGGAGACCTGCAGTGTGGCCTGAAAGACAGGTCCCCGGAAGGGCCTCCATTTGGGTGAGCAGTGCAGGCCATTGGGGATCCCCAGGTCTGGTTCTCACTGGTGCTGAGTCCAGTCCTAGCTTGGGTTTCTGCCATCTGATGTCACTTTTAGGGAGAAATCTAGTTCTCAATCTTCAAGTGGCCCTGTTTGGCAGGCAATGCCTGAGGCCCTAAAGGACTGGTTGCTGGATTTCCTCAGACCTCAGGACAAGCTTGACGCTGTTTTAGGGTCTCTCTGCTCCTGCAGGTGGATGCCTGAGAGTTGTGGGGAGCAGTTTGACATGAGCCTTGCTTTCCCTATGTGCAGGCATCAGGGAGCTGGGGCAGATCTGTCCTTCACCCCAGAATTTCCCCTGGCCACTGCCAAGTATCAAAAGGAACCCAAGGACTGTGTCCTCCCAATCTGGCTCACGCCAGCCCAGAGCCAGCCCTCTGGTTGCTGGGTCATGTGGAGGTCCCCTGGGGAAGAATCCCTGGGAAGGTTGGGATAACTGGTGGCAGGTGTGGGGACCCAGGCACTTTAACTTTTCCAAGCTGCAGGGAAGTTCCTTGGGTATTGAACAGGGCCTGGAGGCCCTGGTACTTTGCCAACTGCCAGCCCTCACCAGGGCACAGCACTGGGTGCCCACTGTGCCTTTGGGATGTGGACTGGGTATCTTCCCATTATCCATGGTACACAGAAGTCAAGTAAAGAGCGTGGACAGATAACACGTTCATTTTTAAAGCTGCTATTGTAGTGCACGTTCATTCTCCAGTAGACAGTGAGAGGCGCTCTTGTGACAGAGCTCATCCCATTGCCACAGCAACTGGGAAGGGTCAGAGGCACAGAGATGCCAGAGGGCTTGCCTGAGGTCACACAGCTGGTGAAGTCCATATTCAGAGACAGGTTTATCTGACTGAGAGCGCTTTAACCATTTTTCAGTCAGTTTACTGAAGGCCAGAGACCTTCACAGTACACTGTTGAATTTTAAAAGCAGGTTACCTGCACTAGGTTCCAATGAACCCACTTCTGAGAGAAGTATATGTTAATCTGGAAATTGTTTTTAAAAGTCACTCTGTGTATTTTCTGTTCTCGGTGGTTGTTCCTCCCCACTTCCTGGAGCTCCTGCAGCCTGTGAAAAGGCCTCCTACAGAAGCTGTGTGAGTGGACCACCATGGTGTTGGGCTTTCCAGCCCTGTCCAGCCTTCAGATCACAGCAGCTGGCTGGGAAGTTGCCTTGGAAGAGACTCCAAAACCCCCAAAAGAACCAGTTCCAAACCCCTGACTCAAACTGTGTGAGATGAAACATGTTTATTGTTTTAGATCCATGGGTCTTGGGCTGTTTGTTACACAGCACTAGATAGCTTATACACTTTGACTACATCTCCATGATTGGCTCACTTCAAGAAGGCCCCACCTCCTGTTTCTACCACTTCCCCACAAATTACAATCTGAGGGATGGATTAATCCACTTGATGGTTCCCTCACGATCCCATCACTTCTTAAAAAGCCATCAGCTGGCAACAGTTTTAACATATGAGTTTGGAAATATTTCAAATCCAAACCAGGATACTTAGTAAAGTTCCAGAGCCTCACAGAGTCTGTTACTAAAAACACAGCGAGCTTTGCAGTGGGAAATAAAGGGGAGAACTTAAAAAATGATGCAGAAATGTTACTGGGGTTATGGCAACTTTGTTATGCAGCATCAGAAAGTTTTATAACACAATCCTGCAGTAACGTTGGAAATGTGCCCAGTAAGCTGCATGATTTAGCCAAAGAGGTTTCTTGGTGGAACTGTTAAAGATGTCACCTGGTCACTTCTCCCTTCTTACAGCAAAATGCCAATGAAAAGCAGAACTGCTGCATAAAAAGGACTTGATGTGACAGTTACAATACTCTTTTCCTCTGCAGATGACAAGGTTTTAGGAATAGATACCATGGAAGATCAAATCAAAGACACACTCAGGAGAACATGGCAGGGAAACGTGGCCTACAGACAAAGCAAAGGGTGTATCAAGTCCTTTGTGAGGACATGGAAAGACACAGGGTCCCAGTGGACTATTCGGTCAAAGCCTGGGGCTTCTGGGCAGCTCCTGGGTGCTGTCTCACAGAAATTGCAGTGGAAGCCCACAGGAGAGGTCTTAGCGTGTGTTGTGTTGCTGTAACAAAATACTCGAGGCTGGGTAATGTATGAAGACATTTATTTGGCTCATGATTCTGGTGGCTCGAGGTCCTAGCAGCATGGTGCTGGTGTCAGGCAGGGGCCCCCGGCTGCATCACTCCATGGTGGAGAAGTGGAAAGGGACCCAACTGCATGTAAAAGGGTGATGTGTATGAGGAAGCAGGCAAGGAGGGCAGGGGAAAGGGTTGCTCTTTTCCAACAACCTGCTCTCCCAGGAGCTAATCCACCTCAAAGGATTAACACTAATCCCTTCACAGGGGGAGCTCCTATGCATGATCTAACCACCTTCTGATAGGCTCCACCTCTTAAAGGACCAGCTTTCAGTGTCTGCCCCTTCAGGGACACACTGAAACCCTGTCCTAACTGTAGCAGTAGAGATGGCTCCTGTTAAAGAAGTCTGAGGGCATGGCTGATGGGATGAATGCCAGTGAAAGAAAAGGCAGGATGACTCAGGGAAAGAACTAAGCCCAGGAAAGGTGATTTCTGGGCAAGCTCGGGACTGAATCCTATCAAGGAACTCCTGACACATTTGGGGTGGATTTCAGAACTGCTATGGACCAATGACTCCCGCACTTCCTGGTTTTGCTCTTTTTAAACAGGAAGAAGATCTGTAGCAGGCATCTTGCCTCTGTCCCACCCCAGCAAGTGAAGCATGTGGTGGACAGATGACCTCTTTAGTGCACAAGTGGATCACAAATTTCCCTGAGGAGCTGACCTTAATGAACTCCATCCTATTATCCCTATCTGTGCCTCAGCCAAATTCAGATGACAAAGTTGTAACTGGTGCTGGAGTGGGTGGGATTTGGGGGCTCTCCAGATGGAGTGGGGGCCTCTTAGAAGTGAGGGGGGATGAATATTGGAGGACTAGAGGGCAGACAGTGGTGGACAGTTTCCAGCGTGACCATCAGTAATTCCTGCCTCCTGGTACTCAGGCTCCTGCCTTTCCACACAGGACTAAGCTGACCTGTGTAACCAGTAGGCTACTGCAGAAATAACAGAGTGACCTCTGAGGCTTGCTCATGAACAAGACTGCAGGTTCCACATTGCTTCATGGGTTACTTCCAGAGGGCTTTCAGCAACCTTGGAGAGGTCCGAGGGAAGAACCGAGGCTCCTGCCAACAGTCATGTGGGCACAGGCACCACCTTGAAAGCAGATTCTCCTGCTCGGTCCAGCCTTCTGATGACCACAGCCCCCAGCTGACACCTCGACTGCAACCTTCGGAGAAACCCTGAGCCACAGCCACCTGGCTTGGTGACTCCCAAATTCCTGACCATGGAAACTGTACACTGCACTGGTTTTTATTTATGGTTTGTTTCAGGTGCTAGGTTTTAGGATAATGTATTCTGAAACAACTGGTCACTAACACACACTGTATGTTAACTTTGCATCAAAAGACAAAAACTGTGGAACTCTACTTAATGGCATGCACATTACCATGTTTAGGGAAGACTACAGATGTGTGCAGTTTGCTTTGAAGTGCATCAAAAATAAAATGGGTTAATGAATAAACAGAAGGCCAGGTCTACACACAGATATAAAATCTGTGCAGTAAAACGTTAATAGTAGAATCAGGTGGGAGAATCTCTGTAGAATTCTTTTTTGTATTGCTGTATGTTTCAAAATTTTATACCAAAATTTTGGGGGGAATGGCTGAGTACTCTTTAACTTGAGTGTTGCATACATAGTGCTCATTTGGTGATGAACATGATGTAAATGTAAGGGTTTGGCAGTTTTTGGGTATCACATCGGGGACCTAGCACACTTAGGTAAGCACTCGAATACAGAGCTATGGCCCCAGCCCTGGCTCACTCTTTGGCTTGAATATTCTTGCAGTGCTGATTATTTTAGTGATGGAGGCAGGTAATGAGGTGAAGGGTCTTGAGCAGGACCGGGGAGGACACAGAGGCATGGAGACCCCTGTGGACTTCGAGGGGCCCAGGCCTGGACAGACAGCACAGAGAACAGGCACTGACCCCAGCCGTCATGGTCATGGAGGATGCCCGTGGGTCATGCCCAAGACCTGGGCAATTGGTTCTGCCACTGAGGCTGTTCCAAAGCAGTGACAGACAGGAAGTCCATCCCCAATGCCACGAGGATTTCTGGGGGGATTGTGAGTGCCAATGTATCTGCACATCTGCATCCAGGGCATTTGCATACACACACACACACACACACACACACACACACACACTGGGGCACACACTCAGCACAGGAACTTGGTGCACAGACAAGGCGGCGGAAAAATCCACGGGTAAGGATGACATGGCTGACTTCTATCTGTTTCCTTATTTCTGGTTTATCCTGATTTATTTGTTTATTTTAAAACAATTGACCATGTTCTGTTTTTAGAATCAGAAAAAATGGACAAAAACCAAGGTTCGTCCTCACAGCTCTAAACGCATCCCAGACCCCACCACGGGAAGCCCTGGTACACACCTTGCTTGATGAGGGGGGACTTGCGGTCCATGATGAAGGAGAACATCTTCCCCCTGGCGCTCATGGGCCGCTGATGGGAGGCAGGCGGGACCATGGTGGGCCTGGGGAATCCCTGGGACCAACTCCGATGCATAGGCGTTGGCTGGATGCCCTGGCAGAAGGGAAAATGCGGAGGCGAAGGCGGCATGTTCGGCTGCTGGGCAGTCCAGGCGGTCTGTGGCCTTGGCCAGGGTGCTGGGCCCCTCACCCAAGGGTACGAGACCTGCAGAGGCAGACCGGGGGTCAGGAAGGTTTGCTCCTCTCAGGGACCAAGAGCTTTTCTTCCACCTCGCTCACCACTGGTCTCCCCGTGTCTGGGATGGGCAGCTGGCACCTGAGGAGTGGGTGCTCAGATAGCGGCTGACGCTAAGGGGCACCCAGCCCCTGAGACTCACACCCAGCTCTCTGAGACTACAGGGGTTCCCTTCCCACTCACGCTTCAGCTCCTCCGCCATCCCCAAATCTGAAAGCTCTGGGGCTCAGTGACTCTGAGCATCTCAGCAGCCTTCATCTGCACATTGGCAAAGCTGGCCCCAGAGGTGCCCCATCAGTGCCTGTCCGGGGGACCGTCACACACGTGACCTCGGGGAAGCTGTGAGTGGGATCTGTCCAAACAAGGGGAGGCCAGTGCGGGGCGCTGCTGATGCCTGGCTTTGTCTTAAGGCCCTCGAGTCTGTCTTTTGCATGAATGATGACTCTGGCAGAGAGCTACCGCTTACCCCCCGGGGCTCCTTGAGTTCTTCCTGTGTCACCAGCGAGGCTGGGGGGTGAGGGAGTCTACCCAGCTCAGGCAGCGGTGCAGGCGACACGGGCTCCAGGTCTGAAGGCCTCTTCTTTCATCTTCTCTTCCCTCCCTCCCTCCTTTCCTTGGTCTCTGGTTCCCGCCTCCCTCTCCCCCGCCTGCTTGTGATCTCTCTGTGTCTGCCTCTCTGGACTCTCCTCCTCCTCCCCTCACTCCTAATTTGCTCAGGAGAAGCTAAGCTCAAAGCTACATGGGCACGCGTTTCCCCAGCGCTTCATTTCCCCTTCTGCAGATCTGCAAGAACGTGATGAGCTCAGTCACGTAATGGGCAACAGACACTCCCCGGCCAAGTGCTCTAGCAGACGGCACATCCTGAAGCCCCAGCTAGGCTTTCCCCAGCGAAAGGTTCCCCACTTGCTCAGGAGCCTGGCCCTAAGCTGAAGCCGGTGTCCCAAAGACTCTTGAAATTGGGGAATTCAAGCATTCATAGTGCCAGCCGCCCACTTTAAGTCTGCTTCATGCTGGGACCTGGCAGTGCTCTGCACACCGTCACCCTGCACAGCCTCCCACCTCCCTCCCTGCCTTCCAGAGCTCAGGTGTCCGGTTCCTGGCTGTGCTGCCTTCTCCACCCCTCCTGCCCCTTCCAGAGCTGACTTGCATCATTCCAGGGGTTTAATAGATACTTAGGGATACAGTGGATGGAAGGTGATGGTATAAATCCAAATGCATTCTACCCCAGCCTTCAGAGCACAAATCTAGACATTTCCAGATTAGTTGTGGTGGATAAATCCACCCTTGTGCTGGGGTGCTGTGCGGGTGGGGAACATGTTTCAGAGCTGAATGGGCTTCACAGTCAATGAACTGCAAGGCAGTAAGGAGTGTCTGTGCCTCAGGCCTCTGGGGCTCCACTTGCTACTGGACAGGCAGATTCTGGGCAACATCCCTTCCCTGCCCTCAGCCCACTATTGTGGGTGGGGTTCAGCAATCGGCCAATTGCATGCTCCGGTCATGGGGATTGGTTGAGGGATGCAGTTGCTGGTCCAATCAGAGCCAAGCAGGTTCAGGAGGACCAGGCAGGACAGCAGGAGCCCCTGCTATGCTGACCTGGAACTTTGAGAAGGTATCAGCCAGAGGAGAGAGAGAAGCTGACTTTTTTTTTTAAATTGTAAGACATGAGACATCAAAGTTACCATTTTAAACATTTTTCAGCATACAGTTCAGTATTGTTAATATATTCACTGCTGTGAAATATATCTTCAGAACTCATTCGCTTTGCAAAAATGAAACTATTGTCTTTCAGCTCCCTCCACCCTCTAAGCCCCTGATTTTGCCAATTTGCTAGTTTTGTTTTGTTTCCTGTTTCCTTCAGATGGAAATCATGAACTGGCAAAGCACAACTTTGCTACCAGTCCTGGTGCCACCAGACAAGGCTGGATGATGCCGGATGCCAACAGTTGACCCCACCTCTGCTGCTTTGGGCAGCACGGGGCAAGCCTGCCAGGGGCCAGTATCGTAGCTGATCAGCACTGGTTGCTGGTCTCTGAAATGCTTCAGAGGCATCAGTCTTTAGTGTTAATTATTCTTTCTTTCAAAGAGACCACTCTGTCCAGACTACTCAGGCTAAGGATCCTGGGTAGGTCCATGCCCACATTACCTGAGAAATACATCATGAACAGATTTACAGGACCACTGGAGCAAGTCTGTATTTTAATAGCACCGCAGAAGTAGGGGCGGTCAGTACAGACAGAGTCCACCAACACCAGCCCAACAGTGTGAGAGTTGGTTATATAGCAGCTTCAGTCTGTGAATGGTCCAGTGCAGGCCTGTGATTGGTTCCAGTTCGGGCATGCTGATTGCTCTAAGTGCAGATCTGTGATTGGTTCAAGAGGGTGTGGGGCAGCTGTCTTGGAGGAGATTCAGAGAGGGGGCGGGGCCACGTGCATTGTGTGATTGACAGCGGTTGCATCTTCAAGACAAAATGGTGCAGCTGGAACTGGTGAGTATTCAGGAGGGTTAGCTATGTCCCTCGGGGGCTGCAGAGGTTGGATTTATTAATGATGGGCCCAGATCTTAGCTGTGTTAGGGCGGTTCCTCGGCTGCTTCTGCACTGTCTGCAGTGGAGGATGTGGGAGGGGCCCAGTGGCTAACAGCTGAGCACAACCCTGCTGGATCCATCTGGAGGAGGTGGCCGCTAAATAACCAGGGAGGACACCAAGGCGAGCTGTCCCAGTCCACGCTGGAGGAGGGAAATGAGGCAGAAGAGCATGACAGCTTTTGGCGCTAGCTGTCACAGCACAGAGAGTGTCAGATGCCCTCGGCTGATTCACTGGTAACCACCTTCCTGCTCTGTGAATTGGACTCCTCTAGGCAGCTCCTATTAGAGGAATCAGATGACATCTGTCTTCTTGTGACGTGCTCATTTCTCTTAACATGATGTGCTTGAGGGCCATCCATGATGAAGTACGTGTCCACCAAATCTCTCTCTCTCTCTCTCTCTCTCTCTCTCTCTCTCTCTAACACATTCACAGTGGAATCCTAATTCATAGTGTGGCTTTTGGGTGACTCTGAGCCATCAGTGGTACTTGCCTGACTGTCTCTTTGGCCACCTGGGTCTGTCCCATTGGGTGGTACAAGCCGTCTAATGGGAAAGCCATGCATGGACTGGTTCAAGAGTGGTTCAAGCTAAAGGGACCTGATGAGGCTGAAAACTCTCCATGGAATGGCTGGACCGTTTCCTCTACCCATTCATCTGGGGCTGAACACTTGAGTTCATGCCGCCCTGGATTCCTGGGAGGAGAGGTGTGCAAGGAGAGAAACTGGGTGTGAACCCTGAGCGGGTCTGACCCTGGGAGGCAGGTTAGAGCAGTCCTGAGCACAGCCCACACAGAGTTCAATGGCAGGCTGTCTGAACGGGGAAGGGTATGAGGTATAACACAGTAAAGACAGCTGTTGGCTCTTTGGGTTCAAAAATAAAGGTCCCCACCAATGGTTGTTGATTTAGGGTGCCTTTAGTTGTAGGGGTGTTATGGATTAAAAACTGACATTCAACTTAAATATCAACTGGGCTGAATCAGCGTGGTGCTGAGTGTAGATGGCCCATCTGAGGATTATTTGCTAGACTAAAAAGGCGACTTAAAGTAGTATTGTGGATTCTCCTGAGTGTTGTTGTTTGGAGCTGTTAGCTCTTTTGGAGCTGTTGGTTCTCCTGAGGAGCTTGTCATGCAGGCTTCTCTGATGTGAACTTGGCTGTTCTCATTGTCAGAGCAGCTCAGAACCTCATTGTTGCTGAGGATGGTGGTGGTACTTTTGGGGCATCCTGGTCCTTGGTTTGAGCAATGCTTCTTGGCTGCAGTGCAGAACCCTCAACCTACTGGCACAGACCCTTCACCCCACTGGCATAGATTTTCTAGCCTCCACTGCTGGCCTTTGGGTCTTCCCAGTGCAGATCCATGAAATAGACTTGCATAGGTCATTGTTGTGGGCTCTGGGCCTCCAGCTGGACTTATGGGAGACATTTTCATGGGCTCTAGGTCTTCAGCTGAGTTCATGCAGGACATTTCTGTCAGGTCTAGGCCCTCAGCTGGGATTTTTAGGTCTTTAGTGTGTAGACAGATTTCCTGCACTTTCTTTGTGTTTGACTCCTTGGGTGACCATTACAAATAATACTGTCAATTATGTGTCCTGTATTGTCTAGTTCTCCTCGCAAACTCTAACTGCAACGAAGGTTAAAGTGGAAGTTCCTCTCTTCGGCAGCCCTGATCTATGGTAAGGGAGGTCAAGGTCTCAGACATCGCTGCTGGTAATGACAAGGAGACCAGCAGGTAGAAACGACCCGGGGAAAAGGCCACTGGCTGTGCTCACACTGGAATGTATGCAGGGCCTGACCACCATCGGGGGTGTCAAGAAGCCCAGCTTGAAGGATTTTAGTTTAAAAATAACGTGCCAATGCAGTTTTTGAGGCAGCATGTGCCTGTCCTGACGCCTTCCACACGGTCCCCACCCAGTGCCCCACAAGGTCCCTACCCAGGCCACTGGAACCTCCTGGGCCACTCTGGCTGCCTAATTTCTGCCGGCTTGAACAAACACCAGTCAATGATTTACTCAAGAAATCACAACTGTTATGCCCTCTTTTTCTTTTTCTCAATCTCCACTCCATTATATACTTTTTTATTGTTATCCATTTAATTAAAGGGAAAAATATAGCAGGATATAATATAGTAACCCACTTTGACTTTCTATTTTCTCGATTTGAAGCCCTGTATTACTCTCACCATCTTGTTTTTGACTGAGGTTCCTCTATTCTGTTTTGCTGAATAGTATCAGGTTCGAAAGTTTAGGCATCAGCTGAGAAGATAATGAGATTCATTATAACGCCCATTCTCGTTGACTTCTATCTACTTTTGAAGACCTACAATATCTCCAATGTTTTGGTTTTGTCGGTTTTATCCTTTATGGTTTTGTTCAATAGTATTACAACTAAT